CCAAATGGATAGAACAATTTAGTTACCAAACAGATAGAACAATTTAGTTACCAAACAGATAGAACAATTTAGTTACCAAATGGTTAGAACAATTTAGTTACCAAATGGATAGAACAATTTAGTTACCAAATGGTTAGAACAATTTAGTTACCAAACAGATAGAACAATTTAGTTACCAAATGGATAGAACAATTTAGTTACCAAACAGATAGAACAAATTAGTTACCAAATGGTTAGAACAATTTAGTTACCAAATGGATAGAACAATTTAGTTACCAAATGGTTAGAACAATTTAGTTACCAAACAGATAGAACAATTTAGTTACCAAATGGATAGAACAATTTAGTTACCAAACAGATAGAACAATTTAGTTACCAAACAGATAGAACAATTTAGTTACCAAATGGATAGAACAATTTAGTTACCAAATGGTTAGAACAATTTAGTTACCAAATGGTTAGAACAATTTAGTTACCAAACAGATAGAACAATTTAGTTACCAAATGGATAGAACAATTTAGTTACCAAACAGATAGAACAAATTAGTTACCAAATGGTTAGAACAATTTAGTTACCAAATGGATAGAACAATTTAGTTACCAAATGGTTAGAACAATTTAGTTACCAAACAGATAGAACAATTTAGTTACCAAATGGATAGAACAATTTAGTTACCAAACAGATAGAACAAATTAGTTACCAAATGGTTAGAACAATTTAGTTACCAAATGGATAGAACAATTTAGTTACCAAATGGATAGAACAATTTAGTTACCAAACAGATAGAACAAATTAGTTACCAAATGGTTAGAACAATTTAGTTACCAAATGGATAGAACAATTTAGTTACCAAATGGTTAGAACAATTTAGTTACCAAACAGATAGAACAATTTAGTTACCAAACGGTTACAACAACTTAATTACCAAACGGGTACAACACTTAGTTACCAAACGGTTAGGCCACGACTATAACCTAAGAACCTCTAAGTACTATCAAGTTCCCCACAACTATTCCGTTACTCAATGGTTACTACAATTGAGTTACCAAACGGTAACAACTGCAACTTAAATGTATCAGTCCTAACAACAGCCACCTTACAACTATTTAGTTACGAGACTGTTACAGCTAGAACTTAAGAACCTCTCGCAACAGCACCCCCCCCCCTCTCCCACACAAGCCGAGAATCCTTGAACCAACATGGCTGTAGAGAGATGCTGAGATGAATGACCTAAATTCACGTATTGATCAGTGCCATATCAGCACGTAGCGAATACCTGAATTCGTCGCGTTGGCACCGGGGACACATTTTTATCTGGCAGATCAAACGAGTTTATTAGAATTTCAACTGATAACCAAACATTAATGCTTTACGCATTCTTTTTAGTATAAAACTATTTTAAAATAATTTTAATGAGCATTTTTTTTCAATTGATGATAAAAACATCAATAGTATTGTTTACTTTCAAAATATTTACGTTTTGATTGCACTGACCCCAATCCCAACCCTTGAGTTGAACTTTGAACCTGACAATATCGATTGTATCCTTGCGCCACTCTTGTCGTGTGTCGCCATCAGGAAATCGATTTGGTTTCAGTGTCGAGGTCGCCTAAAGGGTCAGGCAAGGATGATGGTCAGTGGACAATACAAATTAAACGGTCACTCAAGTTCATGTTCAGTGACCAGTTTCAATTGAAATGGTCAGTCCAGTTCAAGTAAGTATAGGCTTACAAAGTAACCTAGAAAACAACATCAATATGATGACCAGAGGTTTATATCAAAGAATAGAATGTCAGTGGTGAGATGAAACGCATGAACTCCGTGTTTTTGGTCAACAGATCCACCTGATATCGTGGTCAACAGTCATTTAGATTCATGTAGTGTAGATATAGTGGTCAACAGTTACAGATACACCTGTAGTGTAGATATAGTGGTCAACAGTTACAGATACACCTGTAGGGTAGATATAGTGGTCAACAGTTAGATACACCTGTAGTGTAGATATAGTGGTCAACAGTTACAGATACACCTGTAGTGTAGATATAGTGGTCAACAGTTACAGATACACCTGTAGGGTAGATATTGTGGTCAACAGTTACAGATACACATGTAGGGACAGTCATTTAGATACACATGTATCTGTAGGGTAGATATAGTGGTCAACAGTCATTTAGATACACATGTATCTGTAGGGTAGATATAGTGGTCAAAAGTCATTTAGATACACATGTATCTGTAGGGTAGATATAGTGGTCAACAGGCATTTAGATACATGTAGGTTAGATATTGTCATTTAGATACACATGTATCTGTAGGATAGATATAGTGGTCAACATTCAGATACACCTGTAGGGTAGATATAGTGGTCAACAGTTACAGATACACCTGTAGTGTAGATATAGTGGTCAACAAGCATTTAGATACATGTAGGTTTGATATTGTGATCAACAGTCACAGATACAGCGTAGATATCTGACATACTAGCAACTTCAGCAGACAGCTACAAGATTGGAATCCCCAAGAAAAGATGAAATTTAATTAGGCAGGAAAAATTAAACGTGGGAAATATTATTTGTCAGTGAAGCAGAATCAACCGGAATGTTGTGAGCAGAACTTGGAGGAGTTGCTTAGAACCGAGTACGATGGTGAGATGTGTCCACAGAATGATGATAATGAAGATGTAGCATAAATATCCCATCTATATTAGCTGTGACACACCTTCGTGTATGTGACTGGTTAAATTTGTTGTAGATTTGAATTTAATAAAGACACCGAGAGTTAATTGGGGAGTTAATTGGGGAGCTAATTAACTTCTCGTGAAACTTGAAGAGTTCGCATATTCTTTTACAAGTTATTAAAAGGGCGAGGAAAAAAATCAGTTGACGTCATCTATTTACAGTCAGAGAGAATTACACTGATTGGCTGGGGGGATGTTCTCACGTGGAATAGTGCGTTCTTTGGGTGGAAGGGGGAGGGGGGGGGGGGGGGGGGGGCACGTGAAATAATGTGCTTCTTTCTTTTAAAAAAAAAGACATTAGACACTCAAATTTCGTTATACTACCGATCTTAATGCAGAGGCGATTTTATGTAAGTACATTTCCCTTTCAAGTGCACGGGGCGGGTGGAGTAGAGTTTACCTGTTTCAGTGACCTCGGTATATAAAGGGGTAGTGGGTTCAGCACGTTGCCCTTTACTTTCTCTAACGTGAGTCAGGTACCCATTAGAGCTGGGTGGACTCAGGGACGTCGAGCGGACTTGAGCCCCCGGGGTACGAAGTATTAGGGTTAGCCCTACCCTTCCACACCACCGTCCCATCTACATAATGTCATTAGATAAATTATATTACGTCAGTAGATGGTCTAAACAATATTACATGATCAAATCAGTAGATAATTTCAGGAGAATTACATAATGTCATCAGATGGTTTGTATCATGTCATTTTACGGTCTTCATCACATTATGCTGTAGATGGTTTACACCGTGTCATTAGGTGGCTAGACGACATCATGTCATTAGATCGCTAGATCACATCATGTCATTAGATGGCTAGACCACACCATGTCATTAGATGGCTAGACCACACCATGTCATTAGATGACTAGACCACACTATGTCATTAGATGGCTAGACCACACCATGTCATTAGATGGCTAGACCACACCATGTCATTAGATGGCTAGACCACATCATGTCATTAGATGGCTAGACCACATCATGTCATTAGATGGCTAGACCACATCATGTCATTAGATGGCTAGACCACACCATGTCATTAGATGGCTAGACCACATCATGTCATTAGATGGCTAGACCACACCATGTCATTAGATGGCTAGACCACATCATGTCATTAGATGGCTAGACCACACCATGTCATTAGATGGCTAGACCACACCATGTCATTAGATGGCTAGACCACATCATGTCATTAGATGGCTTAGATAACATAAATGTCATTTGAAGGTCAGCCCATGTCAAAACATGATCATTATAACGCCACAGGATAGTCTACACTGAGCTTTAAATGGTTAAATTGTCTACATTTGTGATTAGATGATCTTCACCAAAACATCTCATTAGATGCTTGTTAATCATGTCATTCGTTTGATGGCCTACTTTATGTCATTCTAAAGCATTCATCATGTTATTAGATGACAGAAATCATGGTATTAGATGGCCTACATCATGTCATTAGATGACATACATCATGTCAATAGATGGCCTACATCATGTCACTAGATGGCCTACATCATGTCACTAGATGGCCTACATCATGTCATTAGATGGCCTACATCATGTCATTAGATGGCCTACATCATGTCATTAGATGGCCTACATAAGTCATTTGATGGCCTACATCATGTCATTAGATGGCCTACATCATGGCATTCATTAGATGGCCTACATCATGGCATTAGATGGCCTACATCATGGCATTCATTAGATGGCCTACATCATGTCATTAGATGGCCTACATCATGTCATTAGATGGCCTACATCATGTCATTAGATGGCCTACATCATGTCATTAGATGGCCTACATCATGTCATTTGATGGACTCTATCTTGTCATTAGATGGTAGCTCTCACTTGTAATGTTGTTTTATTAGATGTCTCAACTATTTTATTATATAGCTTACATCTATGCAACACTTCAGTTACTTAGTATTTGGTGTTGTTACTAGATCTAGCAATGACAGTGAATGTAAATAACGGTACGCTACTACCAATGATAATGTATATAAATCAACAAACTGTACGACAATACCAAAGACAATAAATGTGAAAACCACGGCCCCTACCATATTGAAACTACCAATGACAATGAATACAAAACAAGAAACGATACGATACTTGATCTACCAATGACAATGAATGTAAAAACAACGGTCCTTACCTTATTGAAACTACCCCTGACATGAATATACAAAACAACAAACGATACGATACGATACTAGATCTACCAATGACAATAAATATAAAAACAACGGTCCCTACCTTCGAGTAAACTCCAGCCATGTTCAACTCTGTCTCCAGAACCATGATGGCGATACCGAACATGCCAAAAACTAGACAGTAGTCCGAGATTTTTTTCCGTTTCTGGTACAGCGCCCGTCGCTTGCCTAGCCTGTATCCAACACTGGGCTTCTGTCTGTTCTTCTGCTGCTGCAGTCTCTCCTCGTTAAACTTGTGAAACTCCGACCCTCCTCCCACCAAAGCGAACCCGGCCTCCTCCGTGTAGCTGAGCTTGGAGGAAGTCGGTAAACTCTGCATGGATGTTGGTTTCTGGAGCTGCTTGAAAGATCCGATAGCGCCATTAACACGCATGTAATCAGCCCCTATGTCAGACAGAGTGTGAGCATTGTGTTTACCACCGTCGTCACTGTAGGCCCGACCGGTGTCCTCCTCACTGTTAGCCCGGGCCTTGTCTTTCTGGGAGGAGAAGTACGGCGACCGTCCCCGGGAGATGTTGGACGCTCGCAGGTTCAGCTCCGACTTAGACACGACGTTAAACGTGGGCACCGGGTCGGTGCTGGTGGAGGCGAGTTCGTAGCTCGGGCCCATGTTCCTCAGCTTCCACTCTGGGGAGTGTCTCTGGAACATCTGACCACGGGCAGGACCGATCTGGAACTGTTGGTGGGAATATTCCTCCGGGCTGGGTTGGATATCCGAGTAAGACGCGTAGCTCTGGAGTTCGATATCAGGCGAGGTGTATCCCTTGTTGACTCGACCATCATTCGCTTCAGGGGTGAAAGAGTTGTTGGTGCAGGAGGCGCTCTGTGGGATACAGCTGGTGATGAACGCGTTGTTGACGGCACTGCCCCCTATGTTGACATGAACGTCGGGCAGGTACGTCACGGGGCAATCAGCTGTGAGATGAGGCTCCATGGCATATCGTGTCCTCTCCTCATGGTTGTCAACAAGTTTCTCCCAGTCGGCTGTAGCTCTAGAAATGTAGTACTTGTGTCTACTGGCATCGTGCCGCTGTTGTGTCGTGCCTGGGTATTTACTCGTCTTGCTCGCTGATCGATGCTTGCATGGCGCCTCCTCGCTGATCGTCTGCGTGTCTGAATGTAAATTGTAGAGGCTGGAACACAGCGCGCGCCGCTCAGTGGCGTCGCTGCCGGCGCCGTGCGGGGATTCCCCTCCCGCCCCCAGCAGCCGCTCGTTGGAGTTGATTCTGTGACGCGGGCTAGCGGGCTCCAGAAACATTCTAGTGCACTGTGGGCTTGTGTTTACACACACATCATGTTTTGTGGGCTTGTTTTACAGAAACATCATAGTGTATTGCGGGCTTGTTTTACATAAAAATTATGTATTGCGGGCTTGTTTTACAGAAACATCATAGTGTACTGTGGGCTTGTGTTTACAGAAACATCATAGTGTACTGTGGGCTTGTTTTACAGAAACATCATAGTGTACCGTGGGCTTATTTTACAGAAACATCCTACAGCGCTGTGGCTTTGTGTTTACATAAATAAACGTGGTCTATAGTGTGGTTCTGTCGTGTACTACACACCAATCTGTTTTGTACTACTCATCATTTTATCTTATACTACACATCAGTCTATGTAGGGTGTAACTCATCAATCTCTTTTGTAGGAAACTTCCCATCAGTCTATTTTGTAGACCACTACACACCAGTCTATGTTGTAGACCACTACACATCAGTCTATGCTGTAGACCACTACACACCAGTCTATGTTGTAGACCACTACACACCAGTCTATGTTGTAGACCACTACACACCAGTCTATGTTGTAGACCACTACACACCAGTCTATGTTGTAGACCACTACACACACAAAACATCAGTCAATGTTGTACTACACATCAAAATGTGATATACTACTCACCACTCATTGTTCTACCTGTAGCACATTTTATCCCACATTGGAAATAATTGTATGGTGTACATCATTACATTTCACACCATCAATACTGTAGAAAGAATATCAGACATAGCTGTTATACACATGACATTAGTCTATGATGTGCTAGCCTATGTTTGATTTTTTATCTACATTTACATACATTTTCATTTACATACTTTGATTTAGATTTTTTCGTCCTAAAATAAAATACATGCACATTTTGTTTTACTTTGTATTTTTTCTTAAGTATCATAAGCTTATTTAATCAAAGACATTTGAATTATTTTTTATTTAAACTTTTTTTTAAATCTATTTTTAAGACAGCAGCATTTGGCTCGTATACATATTGTTTAACTGGACATAATAGACCCACCCCGATTCGATATATCCTATAACACGTCCATAGACTACAACCCTTTAAGATATAATTTTTTTTCTAGGAATTACACCACCCACTTAAACCATAAACAAAAAGACGAAAACAAAATTGGAGCAACTACAAAAATGTAATTTTTAAAATGTTCATAGGGCTCACACAATTTTAAAGAAAGTTGATTCTTACATCTGCCTCCTGAGTATGAAATACCACTTGCGTCAATTAATTAATTCATCTAACTCTTCTATAGTGGTAGAACTTTGAACAATAAAGAAGTGGAATAAATAACATCAAAAGCTAGTACATAACATTGCTCTGCACACCCAAACAGTATTATACTGTTTACCTAAACCTAAATGATCATTCACCAGTGGCGGAACTAGAAAAAAAGGGCCACCCCGCAAAAAGAAATTCTGGGCCCCCTATATATATATATATATATATATATATATATATATATATATATATATATATATATATATATGTATATATATATATATATATATATATATATATATATATATATATATATATATATATATATATATATATATATATGTATATATATATATATATATATATATATATATATATATATATATATATATATATATATATATATATATATATATATATATATATATATATATATATATATATATATATATATATATATATATATATATATATATATATATATATATATAAACACATAATACAAATATTGGATACTCATTTCTAGCCTGATAGAGTTTTTTGAAATTTTTTTTTTTTCAATTGAAATAAATTACAACATGTCGTGTGTGTGAGTGTCATGTGTGTGAGTGCATTGGTCTGTATAGAATTTTTTTTTTTTAAGATTTAGAATTAGTCTATTAAAAATGCTGTAATACTGCCAACACTGCCCTATTCGCTAGATTTTAGCCGGTCAAAAGAATATAAAACGTTAAAGCTTTGTATATGTAATGGTTTCTCGTGTTATGTTTTTTTTTTTTTTTTTGTATTTATATTATTTGTTTCAAATATATTTCCTTTTTATGCTATGTCATTCTTTAGTATGCATTTTTTTAAAAAATAATAATTAAGAGAAGTTATTGCTTTTAATTTGTTTAGTACAAATACATTAAAAGGAGCTTAGGATCGCCCCTATTTAACTATTTAAAAAAGGGAAAGAAGTCATGGAAGTGTTTTGAACGCTTGCCTGTCTTTCATACTACAGCTCAGGCATATATTTTTTTGTACACAACAGCATGTGTTAGCTACTGTATAACATCACTACTACAGCAGATCTGTTTGTTATTTACAAAAAGCTTTTTACCGTCAAGTCACAAATGCAAGAAACTTATTTTTTTAACTATACTATAAAAAATTTATTATGGTCGGCTATGGGCCCCTAAATGGCGTGGGCCACCCCGCATTGCGGGGTCTGGCGGCACTGTAGTTCCGCCCCTGATTCACACGTAGCACTTCGCTAGTTGATAGACTTTGGGACGTCAATTGGTAGACTTTGGGACGTCAATTGGTAGACTTTAGGACACGTCAATTGGTAGACTTTATGACGTCAATAGGTAAACTTTAGGACGTCAGTTGGTAGACTTTGGGACGTCAATTTGTAGACTTAGGGACGTCAATTGGTAGACTTTGGGACGTCAATTTGTAGACTTTGGGACGTCAATTTGTAGACTTTGGGACGTCAATTGGTAGACTTTGGGACGTCAATTTGTAGACTTTGGGACGTAAATTGGTAGACTTAGGGACGTCAATTGGTAGACTTTGGGACGTCAATATGTAGACTTTGGGACGTCAATTGGTAGACTTTGGGACGTCAATTTGTAGACTTTGGGACGTCAATTGGTAGACTTTGGGACGTCAATTTGTAGACTTTGGGACGTCAATTGGTAGACTTTGGGACGTCAATTGGTAAACTTTGGGACGTCAATTGGTAGGATTTGGGACGTTAATTGGTAGACTTAGGGACGTCAGTTTGGTAGACTTTGGGACGTCAATTGGTAGGATTTGGGACGTCAATTGGTAGACTTAGGGACGTCAGTTGGTAGACGTTGGGACGTCAGTTGGTAGACTTTGGGACGTGAGTTGGTAGACGTAGGGACGTAAATTGATAGACGTAGGGACGTAAATTGGTAGAGGTAGGGACGTAAATTGGTAGACGTAGGGACGTAAATTGGTAGACGTAGGGACGTCAGTTGGTAGACTTAGGGACGTAAATTGGTAGACGTAGGGACGTCAGTTGGTAGACTTTGGGACGTCAATTGGTAAACTTTAGGACGTCAATTGGTAGACTTTGGGACGTAAATTGGTAGACGTAGGGACGTCAGTTGGTAGGCTTAAGGACGTCATAGATGGGTAGAGAGTTTCTAAACTTAGGGATGTCTTATGTACAGACTAGCGGGTTGAAGCTATATGCCTTATTTACGACTGTAGTGACGGCTAAACAACCTACAGATTTAATAATTATTACTTTTGGCAAATACTGTATTTCCTACTTTACACGGATACTCAAATGTCCTAGACAGCTGACCAGACCTAAAGTGTTAAAACAAATACTAAACTGTTGTGTTTAGCTTAAGTTTATGACGTCTGTGTTAGGTATAGGTTATGATGTCTGTATTGGTTATAGGTTTATGATGTCGGTATTGGGTATGGTTTGTTATGTTGGTATTGGGTATAGGCTTATGATGTCGGTATTGGTTATAGGTTTGTGATGTTGGTATTGAGTATGGTTTGTGATGTCTGTATTGGGTATAGGTTTGTGATGTGGGTATGTGGTATAGGTTTATGATTTCGGTATTGGGTATGGTTTGTGATGTCTGTATTGGTTATAGGTTTGTGATGTCTGTATTGGTTATAGGTTTGTGATGTCGGTATTGGTTATAGGTTTATGATGTCGGTAGTGGGTATAGGTTTATGATGTCGGTATTGGGTATAGGCTTATGATGTCGGTATTGGTTATAGGTTTATGATGTCGGTAGTGGGTATAGGTTTATGATGTCGGTATTGGGTATGGTTTGTGATGTCGGTATTGGTTATAGGTTTATGATGTCGGTATGGGTATAGGTTTGTGATGTCGATATTGGGTATAGGTTTATGATGTCAGTATTGGGTATAGGTTTATGATGTCGGTATTGGTATAGGTTTATGATGTCGGTATTGGGTATAGGTTTGTGATGTGGGTATTGGGTATAGGTTTATGATGTCGGTATTGGTTATAGGTTTATGATTTCGGTATTGGGTATAGGTTTGTGATGTGGGTATTGGGTATAGGTTTGTGATGTGGGTATTGGGTATAGGTTTATGATGTCGGTATTGGGTATAGGTTTATGATGTCTATAATTAAGTATAAACTATGATGTCAGAGTCGGACATATGTTATGATATATGTGTTTAGCATAGGTTTCTAATGTAGGACCTAGTAAAATATAACGAATCAACTAGTTATCTGCTGCTAGTTAAGCACACAGAAGTTGTCAGGATGGCGACACGAGACATAATTAGGTAATTGGTATTAATTATCTTGACAAAAATAAATTGTTTGACATTAAAATAAATTCGCGTTACAAGTTAAATGCGCACTACCAGGGGATAGAACTCACAAACCAAAAATCGTCAAGGGAGCGAATTATCATATTATAAGATGATAAACAACGGGCAATGAATTCTATTTCTCAAGCAAGTAATTGCCTATCAACCCAATTAATTACATGAGACCCGCCACCATAAATTAATGATTCATTGTTGATTGACCATTGGGAGGCACTAACAGGATATGCTAATGTGGGTACTACTTCTGTGTATTCATAATGGAACGTAACCTTTGTCTGGACTTACGGTCTTGTTCTGACCGACACAGCCTGTGGTCAGGGACTATTTGACCACCCACGGACTGGCATCGTCTCTACAGTTTGGTGAATTATTTTCTGACCTATATCATGTCATTAGAGTAGTTTTTACATCCGAACTTATTTCACTCGAGAAACTACGTTTTATGATTAGTTGTCTGAATATGAGGTCGCTTTTATTCTCTCTAGCTTTATATATATATATATATATATATATATATATATATATATATATATATATATATATATATATATATATTACATATATATATATATATATATATATATATATATATATATATATATATATATATATATATATATATATATATATATATATATATATATATATAAATAAATAAATAAATATATATATATATATATATATATATTTATTTATATATATATATATATATATATATATATATATATATATATATATATATATATATATATATATATATATATATATATATATATATATATAAACGTATACGTCTTGTAATGTACACACAGACTCCCCCCCCCTTCCCCCTCAGATATATAATTATATATAAATGATGGCTATCGACTACAAAGGATTAAAAACTATTTGCCTAGGTCCGCGGTAATTGTGGTGTAATTTAAGCCAGCTGTGCTACTATCCCATCTGTTGCCAACAATAGTTGTATGTATCCTCGCTAAACAGCATCGACACTGCCATGGATATTTTGCCCGATAATTCGAAAACAAATTCACTAATATTGAAATAAAATATATAGATTAAAATATAGGAAATCATAAAATTTTGAACTAAATGATTATATACCTAATGCCCATAAAAATGTAATGACAGTAAAAATACATTTAATGTAAGCATCACTACACTACCGATGTTTTATCTAATGTAAAATCCTACAATCGAAAACCTCAGCACAGTAAATAACATACCTGATTGACATAGCAATAACAAAACCAATTTACAACCACACAGATTATTTTATTTCGTTAAAAATATAATGTGCTATTTGCAGTTAAATTAATGCTTGTGTCAAAGAAAGAAAAAAGAAAATTTTATTTTAGGAACGTTAACTCCCAAAGGTATAAAAATAATACAGCATTAAATGAATGATCTCCCTTGAAGAATAAACCCGTACACTAGCAGCCTAGTCAAATGTAGTACCCTGGAATGGAACATCGATTTTTCCCCAAACTCATTACCTTTTGTTGTAATTCTTTTATAAGTTAGTATTTTAAATATTTGTAAACATATATTTATTCATTTAAAAAATAACCACTGAGCTTGGTCAACCTAGATTATATTAATTTCTATTACAATTCACAAAAACATTTTTCTGAAGCGCCAAATAGCGGCTAAAATACAGTTTTTAAACAATACTTTTTTAAATGCAAGAGCTTAACGTTACACCATCTGACCCCCTCCTCCCAATCCCCGACCCTCCCTCTTTTCCTCAAAACAATATCGTCACAAAATTACGAATCCCTCCCTCTTCCTTATGAGTCTATGAGTGTTAATCATTGATGTTCGACCCGTAAGTTAACCTTAGCTAACATGTTAGAAAAACTGAAGTTTACGGTGATGTTTAAGACAGTTTAACAGATTTGGGGGGGGGGAGGGAGACTATTAACTTGTAATACACGTTTGTTGAATGGATGAATGTAACCGAAATCAAAACCACGGTTATAAAGTGCGATTATAACTTTTTGAAAACATCGGTATTGGCCTATAATTAGAAGGTAGCAGCTACAATGACTGGCTTTTGGTAAAAATAGATTAACTGCTAACTAATAAATTAATCATAAGAATGGCAAATTTAGCTTGTAAATATTAATCACATTTGAGTTTAGCTAGGTCGTTTTTTTAATGCTTCTCAAATCGTAAAAAAATTTCAATCATTTCAACACGCCTGACAAGCATTCCAACACGAAATAAAAGATTATAGTGTGGTCGGCAAATGGAAAAAGTTAAAACACAAGCTTCAAACATTGCTAGATTAAGACTTCTATTTTAGACATAGTGCGACAAGCGATTAGGGCAGGGGTTCCCAACCTTTTTTTACTCTAGAGCACATTCTAAACTATCGGTAGGGTGGCGGGCACCACCTATTTTAAATCGATAAACTCCTTCCAGAGGCGTAGAGACCCTTCCCGTCACCCGGGGACAAAACTTTCGATTTGCACCCCCCCCCCCCTCAAATTTTCGATTTGCACACCCCCCCCCCCTCAAATTTTCGATTTGCACCCCTCCACACCCCCCCCCCCCCCCCCCTCAAACTTTCGATTTCCATCCCCTACAACCGTTCAATAATGTTTTGAAAAAAATTATGTCTTTGTCGAATAGTGAGAGGCGGGCACATATGAATCGTTCGGCGGGCGCCATGGCGCCCGCGGGTACGGGGTTGGGAACCCCTGGATTAGGGTAAAGGTTATGACTATGACTTCTAAAATGTGGATCAGTGATTTTAGGTTAGTTGTGGTGAAACTTCGACAACTGTCTTTATACTGATTCAGCTTTTTTTTCTCATTTATTATAATAAGTAAACTGAAACAATTACATAATCTTCAATATAACGAAGCTCAATAAACAATTAACACAATTTTAAAGTGATACGTCTAATTCATAAATAAAACTTTTAAAATCGAAACCTGCTATTAAGTTTAACTTGTTCTCTCTCATGTTTTCACAAATAGTTTCTGCTATCAATGGCAATATGAATCAAATATCTAGGTAAAAAAAAACGCGCGTAATTCAGTTAGAACAGCCTGACCACTGACCAGTGATTACAACACATCCACGTGTTATTCAATTAGAACACACTGACCACTGACCAGTGATTACAACACATCCACGTGTAATTCAGTTAGAACACACTGACCACTGACCAGTGATTACAACACATCCACGTGTAATTCAGTTAGAACACACTGACCACTGACCAGTGATTGCAATACATCCAGCACTGACGAGTGGTCATTAGCCCGAGCCTGAAACACACTCCTAGAGTCTGTAATCAATACTGACTCTCAGAGTCTGTGATCAATACTGACACCACCCTGTCAACATCGAGTGAAGGCCTGTCAAAACTCAAAGGTTACATTCTGTGACGTCAGTACTGACGGCCCGGTCAGAAAATTGCCGGGAGCTCAATCAGCCATCTTGAATTGTGAGGCAGACATTTTAGTCCAGCTATCTTAATTTTAGAATGCTGAGACAGACTTTTGTTTAGCTTTGACACCTTACGAGTTTTAGGACAGACATTCGTTTAGCTTAGCCATATTACGAACGTGAGGGCAGACATTTGTTTAGCTAAGAATCTTAAAAAATTTAAAACAAACATTATTCAGCATTGAACACATTTGACGCTTTCTTTTATGGGACCAATAAATATTTTTCAAATCGTTTGCGGGGTTATTCAAACATTTGGTTACAAAATCTTGACTGTGTAGTGTTTGTACCTTTCCTATAGCTCGGACGTTTTTGTTGTTTTCGGTAATTAAAAATAATTTGAAAAAAGAAACCTAAAAAAAATTTCCCTCTGGGAAATACCGAAAATGTGTGCAAAGAATTGCCTTCTAATTAACTTTTTACAGTTTGTTTAACAACACTGAAAATAAAATCATTAGCCCGGATCATTCTGTTAACAGCCAAATGATTATTAAAGCCCCCCCCCCTCCCTCACAAACTTTTAATACAAGCTTTGGTGATCGTCTTTACCCTATGTCCGTCCCTCGATGAAGTTTTGCTTGAGTTATGTTGCTTTGGTTATGTTGCTTGGCATTTATAAATAATATCTTTCTTTATTTTTAAACAGCATATAAGTATAATCTGAAACCGATAACTTGACAAAATCTTAACAAAATGATAGAGATTAAGGTACCCTTTATAAAGGCTTTATAGCTTGGAGAAAGGGAGAATGGCTAAACGTTAGAAACCGGCCCTTTGATGTGTAACAACAATGCTGACATAATTAAATGAACATTAGTAAATGTCCGATATATTTTGAACTCTATGATTGATAATTAGGAACGTTTACAGCAAAACATGAAATAAAATACACCTACGAAGGAATACTTTTTAATTTACCAATTTTGTATTGCCGGAAGTACATGTTTTTAAAAAACTATAAACTCAGCACAAATGACAGGCTTTCTATGAGAAAATAAAAACAACCATGGGCTGTTCCATCTTTAAAAGTTCGCATGGCTCTTCGCAGTCTCCGGAAATCGCCAAAATCGTGGAGCGGCGACGGTCACGCGGGGCGTCAGCTTCAGGGCGCTCGTCTGTTTCTTCTACACCAAGAGGATCATTGAGGTACCGTATCGGGGAAATATGGTCAGGTTTATTGGGTTTAATAGCAAATAGAAATGATAAATTGATAGATCTAGTATAGATCTAGTGATACGGTTAGACGTAAAATACTTGTTTCTTGCAGGCGTCTCATCGTGATGGGTGGGTGGTGGGGGGAGGGGGGGTTGAATTTCCTTTGTTAAAATTTTTTTTAAATAGACGTTTTCTATTTTGCTGGGGAATTGGGTTGAAGTTCTACTTTCCTTCTCCCTGAGTAAAGCATGAAAGAAGCACTTGTATTGGAGTCTTCGAGCTAGGCAAGATGTACTTCAGGTGAATACCCACCATCAAGCAGCTTATTTTTTTGTATACGTTGGCTAATTTATTTGTTGTGGGGTGACTGGTATGGGAGGTGGTGTTGTAGTTGATGTCGGGTGGCTGGTATGGGAGGTGGTGTTGTAGTTGATGTCGGGTGGCTGGTATGGGAGGTGGTGTTGTAGTTGATGTCGGGTGGCTGGTATGGGAGGGGGTGTTGTAGTTGATGTCGGGTGGCTGGTATGGGAGGGGGTGTTGTAGTTGATGTCGGGTGGCTGGTATGGAAGGTGGTGTTGTAGTTGATGTCGGGTGGCTGGTATGGAAGGAGGGGGGGGGGGGTTGTTGTAGTTGATGTCGGGTGGCTGGTATGGAAGGAGGGGGTGTTGTAGTTGATGTCGGGTGGCTGGTATGGGAGGTGGTGTTGTAGTTGATGTCGGGTGGCTGGTATGGGAGGGGGTGTTGTAGTTGATGTCGGGTGGCTGGTATGGGAGGTGGTGTTGTAGTTGATGTCGGGTGGCTGGTAGGGGAGGGGGTGTTGTAGTTGATGTCGGGTGGTTGGTATGGGAGCTGGTGTTGTAGTTGATGTCGGGTGGCTGGTATGGAAGGGGGTGTTGTAGTTGATGTCGGGTGGCTGGTATGGGAGGGGGTGTTGTAGTTGATGTCGGGTGGCTGGTATGGGAGGGGGTGTTGTAGTTGATGTCGGGTGGCTGGTATGGGAGCTGGTGTTGTAGTTGATGTCGGGTGGCTGGTATGGAAGGGGGTGTTGTAGTTGATGTCGGGTGGCTGGTATGGGAGGAGGGGGTGTTGTAGTTGATGTCGGGTGGCTGGTATGGAAGGTGGTGTTGTAGTTGATGTCGGGTGGCTGGTATGGGAGGGGGTGTTGTAGTTGATGTCGGGTGGCTGGTATGGAAGGAGGGGGTGTTGTAGTTGATGTCGGGTGGCTGGTATGGAAGGGGGTGTTGTAGTTGATGTCGGGTGGCTGGTATGGGAGGTGGTGTTGTAGTTGATGTCGGGTGGCTGGTATGGAAGGAGGGGGTGTTTGATGTCGGGTGGCTGGTATGGAAGGTGGTGTTGTAGTTGATGTCGGGTGGCTGGTGGATGATATGGGAGGTGGTGTTTGATGTCGGGTGGCTGGTATGGAAAGGGCTGTTGTAGTTGATGTCGGGTGGCTGGTATGGAAGGAGGGGGTGTTGTAGTTGATGTCGGGTGGCTGGTATGGAAAGAGGGGGTGTTTGATGTCGGGTGGCTGGTATGGAAGGAGGGGGTGTTGTAGTTGATGTCGGGTGGCTGGTATGGGAGGGGGTGTTGTAGTTGATGTCGGGTGGCTGGTTGCTGGTATGGGACGTAGTATTATAGTCGAGTTTATCGCGTCATCATTAATTATCTGTTGGTTTGGTTGATTTTAATTCTACAAGCTGTTAAATTCGACATTCCATCTCACTTACTTATCATTAGAAATGTAAACCATTTTGAACGGGCTGATAAGTTTGTAAGCCTTCATCAGGGAGATGTAGTGTAGGTACACTGTGACGCCTTCCTCGTCGGCTAATCTTGTTGTCAATTTTTACTTTCTCGTATATGCGAAGTATAAAGTATTGTAATCGTGCAAAAAAAAAAAAATCGAGATTTTTACAAATCTCGACGTTTTACACCTCACTGATACGGAAAAACATAATTTTGCAATCTTGTCTGTATGTCTGTGTGTCTGTGTGTGTGTCTGTCTGTCTGTCTGTCTGTCCGTGTGTAAACACGATTACTTGAGAACCGTTACAGCTAGGTTGATGAAATTTCATATATAAGTATGTTATCAAAATCGTAGATCCGTATCAACTTTTGAGCGATTTCCGATAACCGGAAGTAATACTTTTCCTACTTTGAATTTTTCAAAAGCCTATAACTTGAGTACTATTTCAGATAGATAAATGAAATTTCACATGTAAGTAAAAGATCTAATTCTCTACCTTCTGTCAAATTTTGAGTAATTTCCGTTGACCGGAAGTAGTAATTTACGCTACTTCCGATTTCTCAAAAAACTAATGTAAATTTTTAAAGTACTAATAATATTGCGCACTATTATGCGCTTTTTTATTTGGCGTTCACTTGGTGTGCAATTAATTTGTCTACGAGATTTTATTCTATTTTTAAAACTTTAAGAATTTAAAATGGATTAAAAATCATGTCTATAGCCCGAGTTCCCATCCCCTGTTATTTTATATATGAATATTCGAGAAAGTTTAGGGGAGATCACTCCCGGTTTATTATGTTGTGTTTTCGCAAAGCTATTTAAGATTTAGCCTAAAATGAGAATAGCTCTTGAATCTCGTCCTTTCTCTCTTTCTTTTAATAATCTCAAACTAGCAAACCCCTAGCGCGTTCCTACGATCTCAGAAGAAACGAAATTCAAGGAAACTTAAATTATGATTATTTAATGCTACCAATTGTGTAATTTATTTTACCTCGTTTTCAAGCTATTCGCTGATCACTCATTGTAATAAGATGCACATTTCATAAAAAAATAACAACAGACCTTCAGTATACCTTGATCACCCTCCGCAAGGGTGAAGTAGAGCACCCCTCGTCGAACGCAACCATCCTTAGCCTACCGTATCCCTAGAGTAAGGCGTTCTTGAACATGATTGTTTATGATTATAAATGTAAATGATTATAGTGCTCATGGGGTGCTCCATGTCACACAACCTCAGAGGCGTTGGAGAACGCCCATGGTACTCTTTGATTGTCCTAATAGTACTTTTGACTCCTGTTGCCTTAGGTTATCGTGCATGCTAACTGAAATCATCAATGCCCACAGAAAAAAGCTGCGTTTTTGTTTATTTTTGCTATAGGTTATCGAGCATGCCTATTGAGATCATCAATGCCCATAGAATCAACCGAATCCTCAACAACTACAACACATCGTCCGTGTTTGTTACGGTAGACAAGTGCCCAACCCTGGATCCCAAAGACGTTGAGAAACTTCGAGCGTCTCTCAAGATAGTGACCAACCCTCCCAACCCCGACCAAGATTTACACCACTTTTCACAGTGGCTCTCCAAACAATTTGATATACTCGACTACTACTTTTCAAATACCAATGTAGACATACCGTCTATACCGTATCTTTCTCAGGTAAAGAGAAATACGACAGTATAAACGGAATAAAATATTGAAATAAGCCTACTCAATTTTCAGTTATTTTCAACGTGATTTCCTTTAAAAGTGTGAATGCAACGAGAGAAAAGTTGCTTTATTTGTTGTTGATGGAAGCTTTTGAAAAAGAATACACAAAGTATTCAGAATGGCAGAGATAAGTTGAACGAATGTTTTCGTTATTTTGAGAAAATGGAAGTAAATACACAAGGGCTCTTTTAGGCTAAATTTTATGCCAAATCCCACACCGGGACTGTCTTAGCATGCGTCTAAGCAGTTTAAAAATTTGATAGGTCGGAGGGTGCGGTGGTTTAAAACGAATACATAACTTTAGCAATATATACCGATATATATATATATATATATATATATTATATATATATATAAATATATATATATATATATATATATATATATAAAATATATATATATACATAAGTACATATATATAAATATATATATATATATATATTATATACATAAGTACATATATATATATATATATATATATATATACATAAGTACATATATATATTATATATATATATATATATATATATATATATATATATATATATATATATATATATAATCTACTTGACAGGATGAAAAGGTGGCACATCATCAAAAAGAAGTGAACAGAGTCATTATAAATTGCTTTGAAATGGCGTTTAATCAAAATCTTAGCTCTGCTCAAACCACTTTGAAAAGACTCGGTGCTTTCCATGCAGAGGTAATAAGATTTCATTGGTAAGAAGTGGCTGAACTAAAAAAAAGGCATCCAAATGTTCGGGATATTTATATATATGCATATAGGCCTATATATATATATATAGGCCCTATCCTAATATATAAAAGACCCCGTGCGCACTTCTCACTCTCTCTCTCTCTCTCTCTCTCTCTCTCTCTCTCTCTCTCTCTCTCTCTCTCTCTCTCTCTCTCTCTGTCCGCAAAATATTTTCGCCGGACATCACATCAGAAACGGCAGCGATATATGAAGAACTTTATACGGACTTTTGTTGAAAATAATATGTTAGATGTTTTAAATGTATAACCACAATTTTATTTAAAGAAGACAAATAAAAAAATCAAGGCGTATTCGAATGTAGAAAAACCATTTTAATTATGCAACCGGAAATGTGTTTAAAACTTGGGACAAGAACGCATTTAACAATGACGTCGCTTATCGTTTACACTAAAAAAAAAAGAGCAAGAAACTGATGACGTCATCTTCCGAGTTTTAGAATAAAAGAAATGAAGTATTTCATTCGAATATGATTTAGAGCTATGTACGCTATGAAATGTAACAATACGATTTTCTCGGCTTAAACTTAAACTTAAAAAAAATATTTCATCTATCTGGATTCTAGATCTAGAGATTCTAGATCTAGATATTCTAGATCATCTAGATCTAGAGATTCTAGATCATCTAAATCTAGAGATTCTAGATCATCTAGATCTAGAGATTCTAGATCTAGATGATCTAGATCTACGGAAAAACTAGACTTACACAGATGTAGACCCTACCTAGATCTAGAATCTATTCAAATAATAAATTTCTATACTAAAGTATTTCAGGCCTTAATTACTTTATTGAAATCTTTGTTTATCTATGCAATTTGCTAATCTCTATAATATATAAAGCTAAGTTGTCGGGTGCCCGATATGGCACTTTCCGGCGCCGCAGGCGCTTCAAATTTGGCAGCATCTTGCCTTGGGACGACGGAACACGGGGGCCGGTTGGCCGAAAAGTCTACGATGAGGGGGTCAAAACTGACCTCGACTGACCGGCGCCTTATATGGGCGAATTAATTAAGCATTCAAATTCTCAATGTTTTCGAAAGCCTAAGCGAAGCTGGGCAGCATGCCTAGTATATATATATAGGCCCTATATATATATATATATATATATATATATATATATATATATATATATATATATATATATATATATATATATATATTGCGTACCGGTATCCGCGATCTAGTTGTACACACCAGAGTGACAACACGTTTTGTAATGGTTTTATCAACACGATACTAATTGCTTATTTTAGAGGTGAGATCTCGTTTTCTAAAAAATATATTTTTGTAAACATTGGCGCTGGTTTGTCCACACTATCGCCTGCTATATGAAAGCATAGACTGCATTTTAATCACCCTCCGTACTAGTGAGGTAGAACACTTCTCCGACGCCCGGATGTAAGGGGCGTTGTGGGGCGCTCTCGGTGCCACTGGGGCGTTGGTGGCATTTTCATCATTGAAATGAAATATTTTTTTAGTATTTGCTTGATTTGCTGGTCGTTATTGCAGTTAATAGCATTGATTTGCTGGAGGCAAAAAAATGCTTGATCTACAATAAAACTGCAAATATAAATTTTATTGTACATATTCCTTTATATTTTATTCATGTTCTATAAACATTTTGCTCATAAACAAGGCAGACCACAGCGTGTGTATTGGGAAAATAAATATCTCTTGCATCTAAGATGGCAGCACTTTTGGCCTGTTCTTCACATGCGCTTTGCGTAGGTCACATGAATACCTACGTGATAGGTCATCCACTTCTTTTTCTCCTTCGTTCTTTATTAATCGTAACATTGGAGGGCATTTCCTTTCTTACGGGTCAACATGTTATGCGCAGCTGCGGCACGTTGACTCCGGCCTCATTCTACTTTTCTTTCTCGATATAACCCATAGCCTTTAACCGTCCAAGAACAATCTACAACGCAGGAATTGTTTGCTTTTGAAGTTTCTGCTATCCCCAGCCTCGTCTGTCCGTGGATCGAGAATTTTAGATTTGTAACTCTGCGCTCCCTGAGCCGCCCCTCTACTAAACTTGTGACTTCCGTGTTTGCAAGCCGACCTAGACTAAGGCCTGCCGTACTAATAGCTTATGCTCTTTTTCCTGCCTTTGTTTTTCTTTTTCTGTTTCCTTTTTTTACGAACTGATGTTCAAAGACTGTAGGGCTCGAGTAAGGATTATACCACTTATTTTTTATTTTATCCAAATAATTTCCTAAACTATTATTTTCGCTCTTTTGCCTTTGACTGGTTATCAAAAATATTGGACTACCAGAAGAATATTAAACAATTAGCTTCTACAGCGTTTTTTGCGTTCGTTTGGTGCACTATTTATTTTCTGTGTGATTTTGTTGTTTAGTTTTTTTCAAAAAATTTATAAAACACATTTTAAAACGTTATAAATCAAAACAACAATTTTAAGAACTTTTCGCATGTATGTGTTTGCCATTTATTTCTGAACGATTTTCGATAACCGGAAGGGGTATTTCGCTCTATTTCTGACTACTCCAAAACCTTCAGAATTTGATTTTATAACATATTCTCATAAAATGATGAAGCGTATGCGAAAACATTTTTTTACATTTGTGTGTTATCTCAAGAAAGAATATACTAGAAAGTTTAGGGGATTTCACTCCCTCTTTATTTTATTTCTATTTGTTTTTGTCACCAGACAATTTTCTCAACAAAAATGCTTAATTCAAAAACCTATTTGTACCTTTGTGTATCTATATTTGAATCTAAGAAACCAGTTTCTTATTCCCTGTTATGATTCTTTAGCTGTTTCCTCTAGAGTTACAGACATTTTTATACATTAGTACATCAGTACATGTACATAAAGTGTTAAAAAGTAGTTCCCTTTCAAACGTGACGTATATAGGGACTTGAACCCGAGACTAACGGGTTAGCCAACCAGCTCCTTCCCGTCCCTTCCCCTACAAAAAGTGTGCACTATAAAATTTTATACGGAGGAGTTTCATATATATATATATATATATATATATATATATATATATATATATATATATATATATATATAGTATATATATATATATATATATATATATATATATATATATATGTATATATATATGTATATGTATATGTATATGTATATGTATATGTATATGTATATGTATATGTATATGTATATGTATATGTATATATATATATATATATATATATATGTATATATTATGTATATTGTATGTATGTATATATATATATATATATGTATATATATATATATATATATATATATATATATATATATATATATATATATATATATATATATATATGTATATATATATATGTATATGTATATATATATATGTATATATATATATATATATATATATATATATATAATATATATATATATATATATATATAAGTATCTGTACATGTGAATGTCTGTTTGTTGCCTCACTATCGAGAAGTTGTCCATGTCACCAGCGTTACTTCCATATGATATATGATGTGTGGACTTTTGTCAAGCGACTCAATTTCTTTCAGTTCTATGTGACAGGTAAGGACGTGATGGCTTTTGAAGAAAGTTTCTTATTTTTCGTGGAGTCGATGGACAAAACGATGACACCCAGCCGTCAAACAGCTCTGGAAGAGCCATGTAGCATATGTATTTCATTCCATGATTGTAGGCATCAATGAATATAATGATAGGGTAAGTTCGACATTGTTGAATGTAATAAAATACGTGCACCATCGAGAAAAAAAAAACGTGTATCAGTGAACCGGAAGTATGACGAGAGAGTGAAACTTACGTTGATGCATGAGTTACAACATTAACTTTCATTAAGGATATCTTCTTCGTTCTTTTTTTAGTGTTGGATGAGATTCCCAAATAACACAAATAAGTATTACGTGTCAACTTGTTATGCGCCACAAAGGACGTTGACTCCTATATATTAGTTTTCTGTCCTGGAAGAGTTTGCTGTCTCCAGTTGGGGGATTCGAACTCGAAGCTTTTCGATTCAGCAACCATGATCTTTACCGACCCGACCACGCCGAATATAATGGATATAATGATATTAGACGTATTACTTTTAATTACTATAATAAACGTATCACACTGAAGTAAGAACTACGCTGTATATTTTTACGCTACATCAATTCGTCCCTACAGATTTTACGGAGTCTTGGGCCTAAGGATTACAAGAAGCAAAGAACCAACTCCATGTTCAAGTTAAAAAAATCGTAACCTCGCTATGCTGTTGGTCCTGGTGAGCTGCAGACAAGTCACGTGTTCTGTCGCCCGTCTCTCGGGTGCTGTGGAGTCAAATAAATTGAGAATATACCCCACCGCCAGATTTTCGTCTTGAAATTTATTTTTACTTTATCATACTTTATGTGCTACGTAGGGGGGGGGGGGGGAGTAGAGGGGACATGTGCAGATGTGAATACTGACTAAAAAAATGTAATTTACAAATTGTCAGAAAATAAACCGGGAGTGATCTCCCCTAAACTTTTCTTGAATATTCTTATATAAAACAACAGGGGATGGGAACTCGGGATATAGTTATGATTTTTAATCCATTTTAAATGCATAAACTTTTTAAAATAAAATAGAATCTCAATAGAAAAAAGTATTGCACACCAAGTGAACGCCGAATAAAGATGTTCATAATGGTGCGCAATATTATTAGTACTTTATAAATTTAGATGCGTTTTTGAGAAATCGGAAATAGCGTAAATTAGTACTTCCCGTCAACGGAAATTACTCAAAATTTAACAGAAGGTAGAGAATTAGATCTTTTACTTACAAGCGAAATTTCATTTATCTATCTGAAATAGTACTCAAGTTATAGGCTTTTGAAAAATTCAAAGTAGAAAAAGTACCACTTTCTCTATACTACGTAGACTATATACGAGAAAGTAAAAAGTTAGTTTAGCAATGTGTTGTTGTTGTTGATTTTTACGAGGGGGGTGGGGGGCCTGTATATTGACAACCCATGACACAAAATTGTAAAGGTGGGTATTTGTAAGGAAAAATCGACTAAAGTTGTATGATACAAAAGAACTTATTACTATGAATATTTTTAAGTGAGCTTTTTAATTTCTACACAGCAATATAGACTAATTTCTTGTCTGTCATTTAGTTGAGTTTTTACTTTTTAATAGCAGGGATTCGGATCTTGCGTAAATATTCAAGATTCCACCTCATGATACTGAGATCAGAAACTGAAGCTATACTGTACGTTTAGTTACAATTTTCAATACTATTAAATGAACATTACTATTACACATTCCTGTACTGGATCACCGTGTACTTCTTCTTGTTCTTCGTCCTTAATTGAACTATAAAAAAGAATTCCCTCCAACACAATTAACATATTACGTGTCAACATGGATGCATCATATAGGCCGTTGACTCAGACTTCACCCTGCTTTTCTATTGGGATTTGCTTTCATCCCCTCCATCCCCTCTGTATTGACGGGTGACACCTAAATCCTTAAACCAAACACAAATAGAACACATTATCTAGCCTAAGTAACGTTTGGTTTGCATCTCACCGGGCCAAATAGTCAGGTGGTATAGGGAGGGTGGGATAGGGGCAGGAGGGAAGTCCGACGGACAGACCTTGCAAGGTCAGCTGCGACTCACATTCCCGTTCTGCTATAAGATCTCAGCTGTGGTCAGTTTCAATTAATTTAAGTCACCGTCAGTGTGTCGCTAGGTCCGATGTCACCCGGTGCGGAACCTCATGCTGTCACCCCCCCCCCCCCAACAAAGGAAAAAGTATAGGCTATATATATATATATATATATATATATATATATATATATATATATATATATATATATATATTGCAATTATATTGCAATTTTGTTTTGTCCTGGTGTCACCCCCTAAATGGTGTCGCCCGGTGCGGTCCGCACCCCCCCGTCCCCGCCTTTCGACGCCTCTGGTCACCGTCCACAATTTACAAGTGAATTCGGCTTGCTCATTGCACAGATAATGTGTGCCCGAAAATGACTGAGCGAAAATGACATTTTCTTAAATGGCTGTTTAAATTTAATTAATGATTAATTAAACTAGGGGGAAAACATTTCTCATCTGTAAATTTTTAAATATTTTGCCTTGGTGTCATCTCTAGCTAACTGATGTCATCCTGTTTGGTCCACCCACCCTCCCTCCTCTCGCGACGCCACAGACTGTTAGTTTTATGCACTCTGCTTTCTAACAGACAATTTGTTTTTTTTTGTTCGTGCCCCCACAATTGTTTTAAATCACCCCCCCCCCCTCCATTCATCTCCCACAGTTAAACGGTTCCCAGAAAGAACCGCAACGGAAAAAAGCGCAACGGAAAAAAGCGCAAATCAAAAAGCGCAACGGAATAAGCGCACACGGAAAAAAAGCGCAAAGAGAAAAAAGCGCACCACAGAAAAAAGCGCAAAGAGAAAAAAAGCGCAAACGGAAAAAAGCGCAAAGAGAAAAAAGCGCACCACAGAAAAAAAGCGCAAACAGAAAAAAGCGCAAACGGAAAAAAGCGCAAAGAGAAAAAAGCGCACACGGAAAAAAGCGCAAAGAGAAAAAAGCGCAAACAGAAAAAAAGCGCAAAGAGAAAAAAGCGCACACAGAAAAAAGCGCAACAGAAAAAAGCGCAAACGGAAAAAAGCGCAAAGAGAAAAAAGCGCAAAAAAGCGCAACAGATAAAAGCGCACACGGAAAAGAAAGCGCAAACGGAAAAAAGCGCAAACGGAAAAAAGCGCAAACAGAAAAAAGCGCAAACGGAAAAAAGCGCAAACAGAAAAAAGCGCAAACGGAAAAAAGCGCAAACAAGAAAAAAGCGCAAACGGAAAAAAAGCGCAAAACAGAAAAAAGCGCACAACAGAAAAAAGCGCAACGGAAAAAAGCGCAAAACGGAAAAAAACAACGAAAAATGTGCAAAAGAGAAATTTTAGCACAAAGACCATATGGACTAGATGACAATCTTTATACATGACTGTTAGGGCTGCTGTGAGAGTGTCGTGTTTGATCACGTGATCTACTACCATTTAAAGCGTACCACTACCATCTGCATTCCCATCACCACGATACAGGCGATAATCACTTTACACAATGCCTATTATTTTCTTGGTCAATAATTATTCAACTACTATTCTCGTATAAACATAAAACTATCGACATTACACGAAGTATCTTTCACATTCTCCCTAGTCCGAACTACCTAGCTTGCATACTATAACAACCCGTTCCTATGGCAAAACTTCAATCTCTTTCATCCGCGTCATCAAACATGCTCATTCGTCATATCTCTCGTAACAACATTCATTCGCACAAAATAACAATTTTGTATTTAATATTTTTTCACATCATGACGCACCTACCTACCTACCTACTACCCACCTACCCACCTACCTACCTACCTACCTACCTACCTAACTACCCACCTACCCACTTACCCACTTACCCACCTAGCCACCTACCCGCCTACTTACTTACCAAACTACTCACCAAAAAAGTATCGGCGAAGTTCGTAAGTTTCGTAAACTGTACTAGACGTCTTTTTTTTAATGAAAATTCATTGACCTCATTGACATATGTTACATATATGTTACATTTTGCGACAACCTTAATTAGTGCGTTGGGCTTGTATGAAAACTCACTTCGAACTAACTCAATTACATGCTATTTATTTTAACATTACACGTTAAGCGTCACCCAACTGTTGTGATGTGAGGTGAGGACAGGTTCGACAATAAACCAATACGAAAGTACGAAAGAGACATAGATTACCTATTAGAGAATGGACCCCTTAACTTTCCTACCCCACCATTTTATTATACCCTACCTAACCTCTAAATTTACTGCGCTAAATGTCACTTCCCTCCCAATCGTTCCTATTCTACAGAATTGTGTATACTATTTATTTACATTCTTTAATCTCAATATAACTAAAATAGACTTTTGTTTGAAGGGAATGAAAACATGTAAACAAAAGGGACGCTACTCTAAATCTATGCGAATAATAAGTTATATTGCAGTGGCGTAGGCAGGGGGGGGGGGGGTTTATGGGGGGTCATAACCCCCCCATAGACCCCTCGGTATATATATATATATATATATTATATATATAAATATATATATATATATATAGTACTATATATATATATATATATATATATATATGTATATATATATTATATATAATATATATAATATATATATATATATATATATATATATATATCTATATCGTATATATATATATATATATATTATATATCATATATATATATATATATATACTATATATATATATATGTTGTGTATATACTGTGAAAGATACTTCGTGTAATGTCGATAGTTTTATGTTTATACGAGAATAGTAAGTTCAATAATTATTGACCAAGAAAATAATAGGCATTGTGTAAAGTGATTATCGCCTGTATCGTGATGATGGGAATGCAGATGGTAGTGGTACGCTTTAAATGGTAGTAGATCACGTGATCAACACGACACTCTCACAGCAGCCCTAACAGTCATGTATAAATGTGTCCATCTAGTCCATATGGTCTTTGTGCTAAATTTCTCTTTTGCACATTTTTCGTTGTGTTTTTTTCTGTTTGCGCTTTTTTCCGTTTGTGCGCTTTTTTCTGTGTGCGCTTTTTTCTGTTTGCGCCTTTTTTCCGTTTGCGCTTTTTTTCTGTTTGCGCTTTTTTCTGTGTGCGCTTTTTTCTGTTTGCGCTTTTTTCCGTTTGCGCTTTTTTCTGTTGTGCGCCTTTTTTCTGTTTGCGCTTTTTTCCGTTTGCGCTTTTTTCTGTTTGCGCTTTTTTTCCGTTTGCGCTTTTTTCCGTTTGCGCTTTTTTCCGTGTGCGCTTTTTTCTGTTTTGCGCTTTTTTTCGTTTGCGCTTTTTTTCTCTTTGCGCTTTTTTCCGTTTGCGCTTTTTTCTGTTTGCGCTTTTTTCTGTGTGCGCTTTTTTTCTCTTTGCGCTTTTTTCTGTTTGCGCTTTTTTCTCTTTGCGCTTTTTTCCGTGTGCGCTTTTTTTCTCTTTGCGCTTTTTTCCGTTTGCGCTTTTTTCTAGTTTGCGCTTCTTTCTGTGTGCGCTTTTTTCTCTTTGCGCTTTTTTTCCGTTTTGCGCTTTTTTCTCTTCTGCGCTTTTTTTCTGTGTGCGCTTTTTTCTCTTTGCGCTTTTTTCCGTGTGCGCTTATTTCCGTTGCGCTTTTTTGATTTGCGCTTTTTTCCGTTGCGCTTTTTTCTCCGTTGCGGTTCTTTCCGGCCACCCAGGTTAAACACGTCCGATGCTGTTTTCCCATCTTTTCTTTTACTTTTTTTTTTCGTTTGTCCATATATTTCATGCTTTTCAATATGTTGCTTAAAATAAAATCTTTTTTAACAGTAGGATTATGTGAATCAGAAAGGTAGGCAGTTAGATTGAAACATTCGCAAGTACATATATATATATATATATATATATATATATATATATATAATATATATATATAATATATATATATATATATATATATATATATATATATATATACATATATATATATATATAATATTATATATATATACATATATATATATATAATATATATACTATATATATATATATATATATATATATATATATATATAAAGAGATGCTGGCACCTTCCTGTGCACCCGCCGCTCCCCCAACTCCTAAAACCTGCTCTAGCACACACACACACACCCTCCCCCCCCCCCCCCCCCCCCCCCCACACACACACATCTGATTTGCGAGTTTGCCGATGCCACTGACAGTGTTGTATTTCTACAATTTATGCCTGCATTTGCGTTTAACCAAAGCTTCCTTCACAAAGATCATTAGTGCCCAACCAAATAAATGTTTACACATGTTGCAATCAATAGTTTGATGATATATCAGTGTAAAATTCGTTATCTAAGCATAAATAGACAATATTCTCTACCTGTTTGGCTTTTGTCGTTCGTTTGATTACGCCCGCTTGTGAAGAGACGTCTAGGTATGGCCGTCACAATAGAAATATAGCATGTGATGGAACTGTTTCAATGCATTAAAAAACTAGTTTTTCGAACCTGGAAGTCAATGTACAGAAAGAAAAAATTCTGTTTTCATATAGTTTGTAAATTAGTAGGCCTAGTAGTATATCTGCCTAAAGAACTAACCATTCTTAAAGTATTTAAATTCATAAAATATTAAACCATTTCTCTACAACACTAGTGGCCAATGTTTGTTTTAGTCTTTTTTCTACCGGGTGGGGGGGGGGGGGGGGGGGGGGGGGGCACGTGAAACAAACTTTGGTTGGGGGGGGGGGGGGGCGGAGCGGACACAGGTAAAAGTATATATTTTATTACCTAAATGATAGATTACCATATTTCCATATTTTCTATATGAATTATACATTTCGTTGGGTGGGTGGGGGGTGGGGGGCAGAGCCGGCGTTAGGAATACGCGGGGCCTAGGGCCAACCATCCGCGCGGGGCCTTCTTTTTTCCATTATATATATATATATATATATATATATATATATATATATATATATATATATATATATATATATATATATATATATGTATATAAATATATATATATTATATATGTATATATATATATATATATATGTATATATATATATATATATATATATATATATATATATATAATATATATATATATATGTGTGTGTGTGTGTGTGTGTGTATAGTCCTATATAATATGCGTACACACATAATAACACATAAATGTTTTGGAGTCTATAAGACTTTAATAACAGATGTTTTACCTCTCCCCACGTTTTAACCCAATGTTCTTAGTTTTTTTTATTCCTTGCTAAGATATTAAATCACTTTTGACAGTTATGTGACAGTTATGTAATTCAAACCAAATAGCTTAAGAAAATTCAATCATGTGCCAAATAATTAGGAAAATAAAGTTGATTAAATTGTTTGTTGATGACTAATTGTTAATTAATATAAAAGCAGGGGCGTAGCGAGGGGTGCGGGGGTGCGGACCGCACCGCGTGACACCATTTAGGGGGGGGGGTGACACCAAGGCAAAAAAAACATATACAAAAAATTATAGTTCCACATTAAAAAGTGGTTAATTAGAGTGTTCAAGTCAGTAGACCGTCTCTGAGTCCACCCAACTCTGATGGGTACCTAACTCATGTTAGGTAAAGTAAAGGCGGCTGGGCATAGTGCTGACCACACTATCTCTTCATATGCCGAGGTCACAGAAACAAATGAACTCTACTTCACTTGCCCCATAGACCGTCAGGCTTGAAAGGGAACTTTATTTTCTTTTTTTTTAATTAAAGTGTTAAATAGTCTTTTAAGAGCAAATTTGATAAATCCCGACAAGGGTGGAGGGGTTGGGGGGTGGTGACACATTGACGTAAACCTGCTAATGATAGAGAAAACATGCTACATCAACACTTTTAACTTTCTTCCAAAAAATAATAATAAATCACTCCGTCTAATGCCCCTTGATATAGATCCTAAGGGCCTCCCCCCCCCCCCCCACGTCGCCCTCTTCCCACCCCTCTGCACGCACAACATGAATGTAAATTTTGTTATACCAAGACAAGTACATATACGAAAACTACAACAACGAAGTCAGGACTAGCGTTCATCAAGTCATTAACTGTCGTCTACTACAGGCATCCCGTCTGGGAATCCCCCTCCCCCCTTACAGAAGAGATGCCCGAAAGAAACACTGCGTATGGCTTAGATCAGGGGTCTCCAAACTACGGCCCGCGGGCCGGATGCGGCCCGCGAGGCCCTCTCATCCGGCCCGCGGAGATCTTTTTGTCCACGGAAAAAAACGTTTGTTAGTGATGGCTGAGGAACTTTGCCCAGAAAAATCAAAGACATGCCCGGAAGAAACTGGCCCCCGAACTGAAATTTGATAGTTAATGCGGCCCTCGGACTGAAAAGTTTGGAGACCCCTGGCTTAGATCTAGATCTAGATCTATAAGTAGTATAAGCTATTGATCTAGCAGCGGCGTTTCTCTTCTCTAAGTTTAGTAGATTCTTAATAGTTTTCTTATACATTTTTAAAAAAAATTCATAATAGGTTTAGTCTAAATTTAAATATGAAAAAAAAGGCATTCTAAACCTTTACAATTCAAACAATAAGTCAATAAGTAAAATAAGCGTACATTTTGTTGAAACAAAAAAAAATACAATCTTTAGGTGTCTGCTAGACATCACGACTCTAGTTTGCATTATGCGCATGCGCAACAACTGGGTGAACTAAGACATTAAAAGCGGTATCGATACTTTGTACCTAACGATGTGGTTTACGTTGTTTTTAGATAAGTCCACACTACACATGGGGTTCAAGTTGTTTTTTTTTTTTAAATTATGTTCAACTCATTATTTTTTTTAATAAAACTCATTACTTGTTTTGGAACACAGTTATTAAATTTCTAAAATTCCAGTTATAGACTACAGACTACACATCAACAAATAGGTGAAGATTTTAAAATTGTCCACTATAAGTGCTGTGTCAAATACCTGGCCACCTTTCCCCCAACTTCTCGCGTTAATTTTGCTAACATCTGTTTAGTTCCGTTTTTTGACGTAATTTAGGCTCATCGACCGTCAGGAACAGTATGGTAGTCCTAATAAAAGAAAATTAAAGTGAGCTATTACGGCCGTTTTTTGTTTCCATAACCGCTTGACCACCCACATTCCGCCCACGATTGAATAGATCTTTTTTTTTAGGTATTTAACAAAGCCATTAATTTTAGCAACGGTCGATTTTATCTGAGAAACATTGAAGTAAATAACGTTCCTCTTTCAGTAGAGCTAATGAAAAAAAAAATAACAAGAAAAAGAAAACATCGGACATAGACATAGACATAGACATTGACATAGACATAGACATAAACATAGACATAGACATAGACATAGACATAGACATAGACATAGACATAGACATAGACATAGACATAGACATAGACATAGACATAGACATAGACATAGACATAGACATAGACATAGACATAGACATAGACATAGACATAGACATAGACATAGACATAGACATAGACATAGACATAGACATAGACATAGACATAGACATAGACACAGACAAAGACATAGACACAGACAAAGACACAGACATAGACATAGACATAGACATAGAGAGAGGGGGGGAGGGAGAGAGAAGGCGTAAACCTATTTATGATATTTGCATGTACAGGTTAAATCTGTAGCGTCGGGTTTCACCCGGTGCGAGACCTCATGATGTCACCCCCCCCCCCCCCCCAGAAAAAAAACCTGTTTTATATATATATATATATATATATATATATATATATATATATATATATATATATATATATATATATATATATATATATATATATATATATATATATATATATATATATGTGTGTGTGTGTGTGTGTGTGTGTGTGTCGTTGATTCACTTATTTGTTATTCAAAATACTCATATAAATTGAACTGGCAAAAAGCATTTTTCTTCTATATATATATATATATATATATATATAGCAATTTTTCGCCCACTAAATGGTGTCACTCGGTGCTGTCCGCACCCCCCAACCCCGCCTCGCGACGCCTATGGGTTTAATTGATTTTCAATGGCTTAATAATATTCTGTTATTAGTCCTTTTTTGGACTAGATCTATATATATCAATCAGTACATCAGTATTACATTTTAAATTTTCAAGTTTTTTTTTAGTATCGTAATCGTCTTACTAAAGTAGTATTTTTGTAGTATTGATAATGTCCGATTATGCTATATTATTATCTCCCTTATTCTACCAAACAAATAAAACGTAACGTTTTGTGGTGAAAAAAAAAAGGAACTGATTTAGAGATCTAGTGTGCTGCTCTTTGGTTTCCTTTTAAAATGTTATCTCTTCATACACAGTTTTGTACTTAGGTAAAGATTACATAAAATCGTGATAATTAGATTCTAAATCACAGGTCAGTTACGTGTTTTTTTTCTTCATTTGTAGGAAAGGGGGGGGGGGGGGGCAGTTTAGTTTAGCATTAGCAGACTTTAGTTTTAGAGAGTTTAGATAGAGATATTTATTTACTATTTAGATATCTAGATCTAGAACTAGAATCTAGATATCTTCAAGTAGAGATGCAGTAGAGTTAGATTCTAATCTCTAGATCTAGAATCTAGTAATAATTAATTAATTAATTGGGAAAGAGTAGGCAAGACTAATTTTGTAATTTTAAAATAATAAAATAATCTTGAATCTAAAAGTAAAATCTAATCTAGATTACTAAGATTAGATCTAGATCTAGATCTAGAATTCTAGATTCTACATCTGTTCTAGATTCTCTAAATCTATTAGGCCTATCAATTGTGTATTAGTCGCAGAAACTAACAGATGATATTTACAATATTTAGAATCGACCCAAACCAACCAACGGACTTGTTGCTTTCACTTTCATTAAATTAAACTCACAATCACATTTTATGTGCCACTGCATAGAGTCCTAGAGTAAAGTGGCGTATGCGGACAGTTGCCTCTGTGCGGACACCTTGCTGTTTTTCGCTTAAACAATAATTGTATGAATGTTTTATAGGAAACTAACGCAAACAACACAAAGCATGTCCATTTTTAAACACATCTGAGTCCATTTCTTCTATTTCACTCAATAGGGAGATTAATTGGAATTTTTCAAAGTTGCGATGTATGACGTTTTATGAAAGGGAACCTCACCCGGATGAAGAGCACTAGTCTCCGGATTAGAGGAATAAATCGAACCAATCATAGCTTAGTTAACTGGGTTAACTATAAATAGCTTATATATATATATAGAAAGCTATAAATATCATAGTTAAGGTTGTTTAAGCCATCTTAGAGGAAAAATTGGGGTGTCCGCATCTTTTTTTAGGGTTAACCTTTTGCGGACACTAATGAAAAATCAGAGTAGAATATATTTCTTACACTTTAAGTAAAAAGGAGCTTTGAACTAATCTTGATACTCCAGATTTATATTTAAATTTAAGTCTAAATCTAGATCTATAAGTTTTTAGTAATGTTTTTAGGTTTTAAAAATATTTTTGATCATCAAACGTGTCTATTTCAATCATTTAAATAGAAATAAAATGAACAAAATATGCCTTGTCCGCATAAGGAGCAAGTGTGCGCACAGAAAATAAAATGTAAAAAAAAAGTGCACTTACTGTCCGCACAGAGTCTCACCACTGAAAATGTTAATACATTCAATGCTATGCGTATGAATACAAAATGAATCAGACGTGATTAAACTAGAAAGAATGCGGAGTGAGACGGTACTTTCGGTTTGTTTCTATGTGAAGCGGTTACTGAATGGCGCTCAATGGAAATCGGCACTTCCGTTTTTTTTGCTACGTCTGTCCGCAGACGCCACTTTACTCTAGATTCTACTTGATTTCACACCTAAAGCGTGGAACTATAATTGTACTATCAAACTTTATCAACGTTTATTTGATTCAATTGATAATATTCTATTATTCTAGGCTATAAGAATATTATATTTACAATTAGAGCATTTGAAAGTAAAACAATAATGTCACCGACAGTTTTTCTGTTAACTACTCCTTCATCCAGTGGGACGGAGTGGTCTAGCAGTAGAGAGCTGGACTGCTAACCCGTAAGTCTCGAGTTCGAATCTGGGTTCAATTCAGTAGACCGTCCTTGAGTCCACCCAACTCTGATGGGTACCTTACTCACGTTAGGGAGAGTAAAGGCGGCTGGGCACAGTGCTGACCACTATCTCTTCATATGCCGAGGTCACAGAAACAAGTGAACTCTACTTCACTTGTCTTATAGACCGTCAAGTTTGAAAGGGAACTTTACTTACTTACTACTTCTTCATCCAACCATTCTTAACTCAACATAGATCTATATTGGGTTTTCATTTTGTTTTTTCTTCTATGTAAATGCTGTATTAGGCAGCTCTTTGACTTTATCACTATAATCTAGAACCTCACTCGCCAGTATACAGTTCTTAATAACCAAGTTAATGTAGAATAATATTAAAATGACAGTAATTTAACTTTATCCAATATGTAGGCCTATATTTTTTAAAAATAGTATTAGAATCTGTTTCTAAAATGTTCTTTACAATAGTAAAAAAAAATGTCAAAACTTTAGGCTTATAAACTTAATTTGTTTAAACTTTGCTTTACCATTTTTAAATGTAGCTTTATTCTAACCAGAACTAATGACATTAGAATTTTGAAGTTAAAAGCAAAAATTGTGTTAAACAAAAGGCACACTCAGGCCCAAATGTAGAAATTTAAAACAATGGTGACAAAGAAAATATCTTAAATAAAATCCCTTAAAATGGATATTATGTTCATTAAAGCAACTTTCCATTTCATTTGTAAAACTAAGCAAAAAAATAGTCCCACGAAAATTTTAAACTTATTATATTTTAAAGTGTTTTGTAACAATTAATAATAAATTATATTTTCCCCACAACTTAGGTAAACACTCAAACATGATGCTAACAAAGACTACCTGCTGTCTACTGATGTTGTTAGCAGGGATTACAACAGCAGTGCAAGTCAGTGAACCAAGAACAGAGGATATTTTAATGCCTGGGGCCAAACCTCAGCAGGTACATTCTATAACATTTTTTCTATATCAATAGGTTTAATGTTTTACCCACAGAAAATGTTACATTACCTAGAGCAAAGCATGTTTTGTGCTTATACCTTGTTACAGTTACAGATCTGTGTTGTATTATTTATTTAACACATACATTTCTTTGTTATATTATTGAACACTCGCTATTAAGAGTTATATTATTTAACACTTAACCGGCATGTACATGGTGCCTTAAACACAAACAGCTACAGGTTTTTGGAGCTTTTAAATACATGTTTTTAGCTTTTTTTTATGCAGACTAATGTATGTAATAGCTATCTGCTGGCATGTTCTGCTCTACTTGTAAACTGGTTCATTGAGGAAGTGTTAAGGATGAGTGGGCAGTGTACCCCAACATAACATGTTTACAGAGTTTGTTTGCTGTTACTAGTGAATCATAAGATAAGAATAATTTATTCAAGGAACCAAAAGAAAACATGTACATATTGTCTAGATGAATTCTGTCCTATGCAATATGGCAAAAACATTTTATTGAAGCTTTGTTTCCTAATCTCAGATTTTAACACCTTAGTCTGGCAAGCAAATGTAATTGCTTGGTTAAAAGGATTTAGATAATTCAAAATAGAATTCCTCTTTCAAGAGTATTATTCACAGTAGCTGTTTTTAAATTATAGATTGTTGTATTTTATTTTCTTCATGGTAGTCTGAAAATATTTTATTTCATTTTTAGTCACATGATCATATTACAATATTTACTCCAGCCGTTGTGAACAAATATAACTTAATTAGGCTTAGCACAGATCTATGTATTATTGTATTATTTGCTTGCAACAGCAGAGAGATGTGTATGTTCTTGCAGCTGTGTATTGATTTTCTTTGCTCCCTAAGGTGGGGGTAAGATAAAATTTCTGGTGGTTGTAACTATAGGTTAACCTGTTTGTGCAGTTACATTGCATTGTTTAAACAAATTTCTATTTACATGTCATTTGCAAAAAGAATAAAAAGGCTTCTAAACAAACATAATATTGGCAGATGTTAATATATGTCATGATTTAGATTAAGGGCATGGGCGGGTGTACTTTTCGTCATAAATCCACTAAATCATCGATTTCCCACTTTTACTTGATCTATACAGAATAACCATCGTTGAATCTAAAAATGACATTGTTATGACCCTGAAAACATTATTTATTTATGAAAAACCGGGTTCAAAGTAGTGTGTTCAGGGTAATTTGTTCACTTTTTCGGTAAAAATAGCCATTTTTCGACCTAGAAAAGTACTATTAGATTTTGCGGAAGCCTAATGTGTTTCATATCAATGGAAAGGCCGTGACCTCCTTTCTTTATTTGTTCTAAAATTAAAGGACCAATCAAAATACCTATTTTAATGTGATTATTTTTCTACGTCATAAAGTTGTTTATTTTACTCAGTCGGGTTTTTCCGGTATGCAAATTTTTGACCTCAATTTTTTCATTGGCATTCAACGGCGGAAGCTAGTTAGCGATTGGTCGTTTCGCTTCGTAAGTAAACAATCCCTTAGTTTCAGCGCGTTGCTAAGTTTGATCTAGTTTTGTTTCTCTAAGCTTCTGTGAAATACTTACATTATTTTAACATATAATTATTTAAATTAAATATACTTTTAACAGTTTAGATTAGTTTGTGTGAATTATCATAAGCAGTCAGACGATTTAATTTGTTTCTCTTTCGATAATGGGTAGAACAAAACACTCGCTAAAAATAGATACACACATCTAACGAATTTACTAAAGCAAAGGCACGTCCGAATGCAACTGATTGCATCTACCTCTACTCAATCTAGCACTATTCAGACAAGCACTGGTGCAGATGTAATATGCACATTTACTAAGAAACTGCGGCAATGTAAGACAGTTTTTACAGACAGAAGAAAGCACTGTTACATCTAGTATGGTAGTGCTAATTGTAAACAACAGCCATGCAGAATTATTGTCGACTGTGATTTGCTTCTTGATGTTATCAATACATTTCCTTGCCCAGAGTGTAACTGTGATGTAGTGGCTACTATTGATGAAAAAAGTGTAAAGGGTTTGCTTCAAGCATGGTGTGGCAGTAATAAAAATGTTGTAAACCGTATGTATACAACTGCAAAAGAATCCAGAACAAGGCCATTCATAATAAACAAAGACATCGTCTTATCATAATTGGCTTTAGACATGAGACCATGCAAAATATACTGCTGTTTCTGCGATAGCATAATTCAGTATTGGGCCCATGCATGCTATAGAATTGCTGTCAAAAGAAGGAAACCATAGTCGAAGACTCAGTGAAGGACGCCAAAAAAGACGCCTTCGCAACAGCTTTACTACAGCTCTAGGTACAACAAAGAAAGCCAGAAAAAAAGGAAACTAACAGCTGAACAAGCTCAGAAGAAATATATTCAGCAGCACCATACTTCAGGCAATAAATGTGGTCAATTTTAGTGACATACAGCTGTAAATTTTCTTTTTTTGCAACTTTTTGTTGGTTTTTTGCGTTTTTCTCAGTTTGATACTTTTGTGTACAATTAGTGAAATAACTTTGTTAATAATTATCAGAACTGAACTAAATTTGCTCCAGTTACTCTGTATATATGTTCAAATAAAACTGATAGAACACTTTTGGAAATTTAAAAAAAAAATTTTTTTTATTGTTGAAATAGTGAAAAAATTGGACGAAATAATGAAATTTTTACAGTGATGTATAGGAAAAAAAAGTAAAAAAAAAACTATCGTCTTTTTTGAAAATGTAATCTATCAGAAGTGTTAAACACATGTGTCTTCAGACTATATTAAGTTTTTATGAAATTTGTACAAACCATTTTTGAGTTATTTCCATTTAAAAATCGTCAATAAAATCCAATATGGCCGCCGTCACCATGGCAACGGAGGATTTAAAAAATTAAAAAAAATATTTTTATGCTTATCTCTTTGAGTTATAACTATTAGCCAAGTATTACATCTTTAGACTCGGAAATAAGGAAGTTGGTACTCATCACCCGCCCATGCCCTTAAATTCATCATTTCTGTTCTGTTGAATATTAGTTCACTTGTTGCTACAGCTAAACAGGCAAAAATTGTGAATAAATTATTTATTACATAAATAGGCATACTTGACATTCTATTCTTTCATGAACAAAGCTCAGCTTACAAACAATTTTATCTGTTTCAGATGGATGCTTACCTCTGTACAGCTCATCCTGTCTCTGATGTTGAAGCATATATCTGTAAGATTTTTCATGTATTTTCTCATTGCTTCAAATTTGGTGTCTAAGCAAAGATATTTTAAATTTAGAGAAACTAAATTGAAAAAAAAAAGTTTTTTAGCAGATATTCCATCCTTTGTGCATGACCAGATAACAGAAAATATACCAACAGTTTGTTAAGTGTGCTGTATCTAGAAAGTTACCTGTTGTTTTACTTTTACTAGATAAATTTGAGGCTTTGGCTGATGCAACAACTGCTCATCACATGTTGCTCTATGGTTGTGATGGACCAGCTTTTTCTAGTCTAGAAATATGGTAGGTCTAAATCAATTGTCTTGGTTTCTAGAACAAGTAAATGACTGAAGGGATAATTCAATAATATATAGGGAAAACCAGTCTAGCCCCACACATTAGTTCCCTATTGTATTATACAAACTAGTTTAAAAAGTTGTATATTTTAAGTAGAAAAATTCTCATATCTTTAGGGATATAATCTTCACCCATTATCATTGCTATGTAATTGTACCAAAGAGTATTCAACATCGTTGATTTTAATTTTACTTAAAGCCTATCTAAAAAACATATGCTTATATAATGATAGAAATGCAACTATTTTAAAGTTTAATATTTAATTGCCTAATCAATTGCAAATTCTATAAGAGTATTGAATAATTAGTTTTTGAATTTTTTTTAGCGAGAATCACACAAGACAGGGTTGAATTATTTTATCTATATATATAATTCTCTTCTTGGAGACCATAGAAAACACCAAGCTGTAAGCGCACCTCCTAGCAGCCCCCTCTCTTCCTCTCTAGGCATATCGCTACCACACCCACCCCCACATGGTGTGGTGAGCTGTGGTTCACGCTAAATGTTTACAATCATAGAGCCGGCTTTAGTGACGGCTGTTAAGGGCATATATTTTAGTTTGAAATGATTTTAAACCTAGGGGAGGTAACTAAGAGGAGGCTGCTTTCAACGGGGGGGGGGGGGGTAGGGGTTGGGAGAAAGGAGGGTTTTAGTGTTTTGAAGCAAATATTTTCAGTGGCAGCATTCAAATTATGAATAACTGAAAAGTAGAAAATAAAACAACTAAATAGCGTTGTATGATTCGCCACTGGTCGGCTCGTAATTAATAAATCAAGATAAACTGTATTGGTGTTTACAGATGATGTTATGACCCTTGTTTCAAAAAGTTAAATATAAAAGCTAAACATGGTTTATAATATTTTGATCCTACATTAACTATGAAGTAAAATGTAGACAATTCTTTTCAGGCCCTGTCATGTTATGTGTAAAGGATCAAAATCTTCCATTTTATTTGCTTGGGCTAAAAATGCACCACCTACAGTTTTACCTAAAGGTATTTCCATTTTATATGAATATTTCAATTTGCAACTTGTTTAAGAATTAGTTTATGAATTTGTACATGTTTCTCATTAAAAACATATACTATACTTCTCTGGAAAGTGAAAATGCATTGTCTTTCAATTGTTTTGTAGATGTTGGTTTCAGAATTGGTTCAAACACAAGTATCAAAACATTGGTTCTACAAGTTCACTATGCCAAACAGTTTGAAGGTGATATTTATATATTTTTTTCTCACATGTAAATCATTTAGTTTTAAACATGTTTAAGGCAGGATTAACATTTTTAAAATTGTCTGATTTCTTTTGTCTAGAATCTGATCCAGCAGATCACTCTGGTATGAAGATTTATATCACACAGACAAAGTAAGTAATTTCAGCTATATGATATGATAGCTTTGTTGCTCTTTTGACATGACCAATGACTGTTGCATAACTGTGCAAATGCACTAAAGCGCTGTGCTATAGGTTGGGTAATTACCTTATTATCTCACTTCTTCAGAGAGGTACTTGGTTTGAAGTCTTGGATTTTGATTACATGTCTATTTTTAAATTTAAAAAAAACTGGTTTGGGGATCTGCATTGTCCAATGGTGAGGGTATTTTTTGTTCCTTTGGCAGTATGGCCATTAGCATTATCAATATGTTCTGCCATATATGGCAAGGTAGATGATTTAGTATCTCCATGTGCCCCCCCCCCCCCCCCCCAAAAAAAATATTTTTGTTAATACTTATTTACTTCACAATATAACTGTTGTTGTCTAACAGCTCGGCCATTTCTCTTAAAAATGTGTAGTAACATGAGAAAGATATTTATTCTCTAAGGAATTCTATATGTAAATAGTAGATAATCAGAGTTAAAATCTTCACAATAAGTGTTTTACCATAGTTTTTCAACTACATTGATTTGTTTGTTTTTATGCAGCATCATTACCCCAGGCTAACCTGTAAGGAGTTGGGTAAATTTGAGAGCACTTGTAACCCACTCTGCAGTCCTATTAGTGGTCATACCTTGGTAGCTTTTGTTTTTTTCCAACCCTTCACCCATTTACTTTTTTCTGTGAAATACCATTCTTTAAAAATGAGGGCACTTTTTTTAAATAAATGAAATTGTTTATGTGAATGAATCAGTGTAAAATTACTAATTATATTTTCTTTAATCTCCTTTACTGTAACATTCTTGTAAAATTGGTTCATGGAAAAAGTTACCAAGATGGATACAATAGTTTAAATTGAGACATTTCAATAATAGAAAAAATATCATCCTCATCTTTCCCAAAACTCACTAAATGCACTTCAATGCTTTTTCCAAAAGAATGCTTCCTTTATTATTAATGCAATATTTGGAGGTGAAAAAATGGTTTTGTAGGCACTATTTACATGCACATAATTTGTTTTGTTTTTGCATACCATTAGACTTTTACTTGGCATTTTTTTGTTTTTTAATAAACTGATTATTTTTTTTATATTTTTAAGGGAGATTTTTAAGTATATTAAGTACTAACACTGCATTCAATTACAATCTACCAATTTATTCTGTAGACCACAGTTTGTTGCTGGGATTTTTCTTCTAATGGACACATCATTTACTATTCCTAATGGCAAGAAAAGTAAGTTTGATGAACTCACTGTTTTCAAACCAAATTTTGTCTTTGAAAAATATCCCAACAATTACTATACATTTAGATTTTTCTTATTACCTATTCTTTAGTTTTACTTTGACAGTTTAAAATACCAACTATATTTTTATTTTACAATTTCATAGAAATACCATTGTATTCCTATTTACAATGTTATTATCATGTATATTACCCTTCTCCATTGTTAAGTTTATATGGAACATCTAAATATTAATTTTTTCTAAAAATAATTGCGTCATTTTTCTTCTAGCTTATCCTGTTGATATCTCATGTGAAAATTATATGGATGCAAGTATTTTCCCCTTTGCTTACAGAACTCATGCACATGGTTTAGGTTAGTTTCTGTTTGAAGACGGTTATATTGGAATAATTTTTTTTTCTCATTAATTAAGGTGTTATTGTTTAGTATGCCCATGTGTGTGATGTTGTTATTGTAATATATTTATTTGTAAGCTTTTGTTATTGTTGTTAATTGCATGTGTTGTCTTAGTAACTTTTCAGTAAACTGTTCATATCAATGTATTAGGGATGTTTTGTGTTATTATTCATACTTGTATAAAAATTGTCTGAAAACTAATATATAGTGCAGTTTTTTCTCTATTATCACTGTATGGATATAAGAGCTAGTGTAATTTTTTTTTTAATTTTATAATTTCCTTTAATTTTGTTTTTGTTTTACACATTGTTCTTTATGTTCAGAGAATAGAAAACAATAGTTTCAAACTAAGGCATTTAGTTATTTCTTGTTAGCAAAATATTTTTTAAAGGGGCTATTTATATCTGGGGTATGAAATATCACTTGCGCAATATAAATTTTGTTTGTAGTCAAAAACCAGAAAACCTGTACACATTTTTATTGGGAAATTGTTAAAATATTTAACCAACCCTTAAAAGCAGAGCTGAAACTTAATGTATCAACCAAAAGAATTTTTTAATAAAATATTTGCATTTAATTATAAATGTTTAGGTCGTGTCATTACTGGATATCAGTATAATGGAACTTATCATGAAATTGGCAAGGGAAATCCTCAGTGGCCTCAGGTGCTTAAAAAAAACTTTTTTTAAAAATTATCATTATTGAAAATATTTATAAGAAATACCATCTGTTTGAGAGATTTAATTAGTTTAGAAATGTCATCAGTTATATGAATATTTTATTTAGATGAAGAATCATATCTCTAATTGTTGTTATTATATTTCAGGCATTTTATCCTGCAAACAAAAACATTGAAGTTAAACCAGGAGATTTTCTGGTAAATGATTTTCACATTAACCATTGTGTTTTAAATTATTACTCTACTTCATACTTTCTACTAACAGAAGAATTATACAAAACCTGAAAGCAGTTATCTCTAATTCTTTGTAGGTCTACACAAACAACATTCATGAACATCACTTTTTCATCTTTTCATTGTTATATTCTCCATGACATATTCCTCTGCCAGTCATGGGTAGCACTGAAATATTTTATGATAACTGCTAATAAACAAAGCTTGTTTTTTTTTAGGCAGCAAGATGCACTTATGACTCTACCTCTATGGTTTATCCTGTTTCTGTTGGGTAGGTTTTTGTCAAACTTCGTGAAAATAAATGTGTCCTCTGTAATGTTGATTATACTCAGTGTGGCATTAAACAGGGCTTCTGGTTCACTTGTTACTTGGGAGGATCCATGAGGGACAGACATACCACAGTCAGGAATATTATTTCTCTAGAATTTTATTTGTTTGTATTTTAAACAACTGTTAAACTCATAGCAAGCCATAGCATTCAAGTTCCCTGTCAGCATAGTGATGAAATAAATTATTAAGACATGGGAATCTAATCAGTGGAATTATCATGCAATTACAATGAGAGTATACAATCAAATACTTTACTCACATGGTGTTAAAAACCAAAGGATGAAACATTAATATACATATAAACCTGAGGTCAAATGGTAGAAATGGGCTGAACTACTATACATCTAGACCCCGCAATGTAGGGGGGCAGGCCATTAAGGGCCCAAAATCTGACCCAAAAAAAAAACAATTGCATCTTGATAGACTAGTGGTTTTGTAAAAAAAAAAAAAACTTCTACAGCAGTGATTGTTCTACCTTATATTGTTCTACCGTAACTAACACACACTTATGTGTAGAAAAAAAATAAAACAACTACATGTGCTGTAGTGTGAAAGATAAGCAAACCTTTAGACCACTTCAATGTCTAATGCCACTCCTTAAATAGTCTAATAGCTCATTTAAATTGTTTTGTACTAAGTAAATTAAAAAGCAATTTGTTCTGTTAATTATTATTTATTAAAGTAAGGCATTGTAAAGAATGACAGCTATAAAAAGGAATTTATTCAAAATTAATAATATAATTGCGTATAAACATTAGACGTGTTCTCTTTGTATGTGTGTTTGCGATGAGTCCCAAAAGATAGAATTTGTGTCAAATATTTTTACAGATATAACCCCTCAAACACACCACATTTTAGAGTGTCAAAAAGTTAAAAACCATCATTTTAAAACTTAAGGAATGAATTTGTTCTTAGAATCTATAGAGTTCTTGACATACCAACTTTCAAAAAAGCTCATTTTACAAAATGAATTTTTTTTTACAAACTGTGTAAAAACTTGTTCTATTGTGTTTGACAGGTCAACAGGCAATGATGAGATGTGCAACTTCTACATAATGTTTTACACAGACAGCTCTGTACAAGACCCTTCTGGTTCTTGTGGAGGTAATGATATACCTGAAATCACTGGAAAACATTTCCCTCTTGATGTCAGTGATCCACTACCACCTAACCCTGACTTGGAGGAAGAGGCAAAGGGAACACATCACCATGGTGGAATGTCTGGTTCACATAGCACAGGTATAGTACACAGCATTGTCTTTCTAGTTCACAAAATTACTTTATATCTTGTTTTTGTTTACTTAGTTGTTATTTTGTGCGGCTGATATGATTTTTTTTCTCTATTCAGTGATTAATGACACTCAGACTGAAGAAATTTTAATGAGAGGAGCCAAACCTACACAGGTAATTACAAATTGTTTTTAACAGTCTATAAGTGAGTTTTACTTTAGTATGTCACTGGCAAGGTGAAGGCTCTACTGCTTTTGTTGTGACAGTTTGCATCTATCCCTTATTAATTATAGTTATCAGTGGGTGTGCTTTGACTGATTGACATTATAGAATTAGCTTAAAAGCTTCTAAATAATGCATAGTTTAAACTGATAAAGAGGTAAATTATGTTCATAGAGCTTTTAGAAATATTTTATTATATTATCCCTTTTTAGCCTGATGCCTATCTTTGCACAGCCTACCATTTAGATCAGGAAGAATACTTTATATGTAAGTAAATATACTATGCTTAGCTGCTAATGAAAATAACCAGTTCTATTGTACTAACTTTAGTGAAAATTGAATTTTGTGTCCATTTACTGGGAATTCAGATGACATGCTGCTCACACATATCATAAAGGTAGTAGACCTCTGTCTTACTCATCTATAGTTGACATGAAACTAAACATGCATGCATGGTCCACTTGTCCATACAAACAGTTAAATATAATTTACTCAACCCACTCCTCTATCTATCTATCTATCTATCTATCTATATATATATATATATATATATATATATATATATATATATATATATATATATATATGGGAGAGTGTAGGCGGACCAGTGTACTCTGTCACAGATGTTTGCTATAAAATCACAAAAGCAGCTTAACAGAATTGTTTGTACTTTTTATGTCTGACTTATAGATTTTGTTGCATTTACTGAATTCATTTACATTACATGGTTTTTTTTAACTAGAAAATAGTTCTCTGAAGATGTGTTTATAGTTTTCATTCTGCCCAGTGTGTACATCAGGTCATTGTGTGAAAATTGCTAGACTCCACCCAGACACTGGCTATTCACATATTACATTCAGACCTGTCAAACATGCCTGTTGTATCTGACTTGTTGACTGTAAGATGGTCAGCATCAGGTCATTGTTAGAACTATAATCGTTGCTCAGCTCTCTCCATACAATATACTGTGACATGTCAAACCTGCTGTGAGATGTTTGCTAATAACAATAGTAAGAATGTTGAATAATTAGTGCTAATAACAATAGTAAGGATGTTGAATAATTGGTGCTAATAACAATAGTAAGGATGTTGAATAATTGGTGCTAATAACAATAGTAAGGATGTTGAATAATTGGTGCTAATAACAATAGTAAGGATGTTGAATAATTGGTGCTAATAACAATAGTAAGGATGTTGAATAATTGGTGCTAATAACAATAGTAAGGATGTTGAATAATTGGTGCTAATGAGAGCTGTAAGGATGTTGAATAATTGTTGCTAATGAGAGCTGTAAGGATGTTGAATAATTGTTGCTAATGAGAGTTGTAAGGATTTTGTATAAACTGTTAACAAAATCTTTTATTCCAGATAAGTTTGAAGCTTTGGCTGATGTAGCTACAGTTCATCATATGTTGCTTTATGGCTGTAATGGTGAACCTTACAGTACAGAAAGTATCTGGTCAGTAAATATGTGACTATTTTATAGAACATTCAGGTCTAGTCACTCAAATTATAATCATGGAGTATATATACATCATGTAGTTTTTACATTGGCATTACACATCTAGTAATACTATATATATATATATATATATATACATATATATATATATATATATATATATATATATATATATATATATATATATATATATATATATATATATATATATATATATATATATATATATATATATATATATATATATATATATACATATATATATATATATATATATATATATATATATATGGTAGCACTTTTTAAAGACATTCTCTTTCAACATCTGTTCAGGCATTGTCCAGCCATGTGTAAAGATGCTCAACCCTCAATTTTATTTGCTTGGGCTAAAAATGCTCCACCAACAGTCCTACCACCAAGTAAGCTTTGTCGTTCCTTTAATTGTTTTTTATAAAGTTAATGCTTCTACGAAGTGACGATAATTTGTATAGTTTTTCTGTAATTTACTTTTACAACATTAATTTTAGAATTTTCTCATTTTCAATTGCAGGTGTTGGATTTAGGATAGGAAAAAAGAGCAGCATTAAAACATTGGTACTCCAAGTACACTATGCCAAGTCTTTCACTGGTTGGTCTTTTCTTTTATTTAAATATTCTTGTCAAAGGACTTAAGTTCATAGTTTTGGATATTCAGTGTTTACTTAGCAAGATAACCCTATTTCTAAAGCTTTTCCTTTTTTTCTATTAGCTCTGGTCTAAATGTCTGCTGTCTAAATTTTAATTAATTTTTATAATTGTTAGCTAATGAAAAAGAAGACACATCTGGAATTAAGCTTTATACAACCCATCAAAAGTGAGTATCATTTAAAATAAATGTGATTGATAAAAGACGTTTTATAATTGTTTCATGGTGCACTTTGTTATGTACATCCAGGCAGTGTGTTATGTTTGTTTTAACTCACAGTCTATTAGGAAAAAATGAAAATTTTTTTGTATAAAAGTTTAATTGCTTCTTGAAACCAAGTGCTTTATATGTTTGGTAAGTACCCTTTCAGATCTGATGGTCTAAAGGACAGATTAAGTAGTTCATCTCTTACTCCTCTGCATACTAAATGACAATGGGGTCATTTCTATATTCCTGTATACTTTCACTGACTCAAATGTGATGCTCAAAAGAGCTTATAGACTCAGGGGTGTACTACAAACCAAGCCAGAACCAAGCTGATGATTTTAGTGTTGGCTATTGTGTACTCCACCATTTAACTACACCATCCCATATTTACAAACATAGTATAATTTTTTTACATCAACAATATTCTCTTGAACTATGATCAAAAATTTTTTAGTCAGCTAATATATTTCATAATTGAATTATTTTAAGGCAAGATTTTGTGGCTGGTATATTTTTATTGGCGGATTCATCCTTCTCTATCCCCAATGGGAACCCAGGTAAGCTGTAGTAAGTTAATACACATGGTTTAATATTGTAAGTCTCTAAATTTATAAATCCATTTATAAATTTTGGGAAACAAATTTAATACTATTAAACTAATTTACCAAGATAATATTTTTAACAAAATTCAAGTACTTCTACTATCTTTTCAGCAAACCTGTTTCAATGTATGTCATTCTTTTCAGCTTATCCAGTGGATATAAGTTGTAAATTTCCAATGCAGAAGAGTATTGTACCATTTGCTTACAGGACACATGCCCATGGATTAGGTAAGTTCATATCTGCAACTTTTCAACACTTTTAGATATTATTATTAATGTCATAGATTACATCACGTAATGTAAGTTTGTGGTGAACTATTACTGCACAATGGGCATGATTCTGCAGACACCAGTATAGACCATATAGGTTTAAAATTATACGTTTTAAATTAATAACACTCGGTTTCTTTTTTATTCTTTGATATTAGGACGTGTTATAACAGGATATCAATATAATGGGACACATCACACAATTGGAAAAGGCAACCCACAGTGGCCACAGGTATGAGTAGAATGACAGAGTGTAGTGCATGTATATGATCTAATGGTGTAAAATTCCTATAAGCAAGTCCACTGGAAACAGTCAATGCAATGAGTTTCTATTTCCGCATTTTTCTATTGTGCTTTTTTAAAAGCTAAGGCTAGAATATCAACAACACAAGAACCATTCACTTGTAACATGGTGGCTGGTGACTTTTGGATTGGCAAGCATGGGTTCTGCTGCTAGAATGTATTTTCCCTAATACTCTTGGGTTCTAAGCTTCGACCTCATTGATACATACATTAAAAATGTTTATTATTTTGTTCTAGACATTTTATCCTGTTCAAGAAAAAATAGAGATTAAACCAGGAGATTCATTGGTAAGTTTTTATTTTGTATTAGTTCTAATTTTTCTATTGGAGCTGAAACAGAAACACCATAAGTTATACCAGAATCTCAAAAACTGATGTACATTTATAACATTTCAAGTTATTGAGATCTCACAGGATTTGTAGCTTGTTCCATATCTTCTCTAGGCAGCAAGATGTACTTATGATTCAACTTCTATGGACAAGCCAGTCAATGTTGGGTAAGGACTTTATTTCTGATTGGCATAATATATGCATTAAATAAATCAATTTTTAAGTACATAAGTAGTTTCCTCCATTGCTAGCCATACAGGCCCTGACTGTAGACACTTGTCCTATTTTGTTTGACAGGTCAACTGGCAATGATGAGATGTGCAACTTCTACATAATGTTTTACACAGACAGCTCTGTACAAGACCCTTCTGGTTCTTGTGGAGGTAATGATATACCTGAAATCACTGGGAACAATTTCCCTCCTGATGTTAGTGTTCCACTACCACCCAACCCTGACTTGGAGGAAGAGGCAAAAGGACCACATCACCATGGGGGGCCATCTGGCACACACAACACAGGTACAGCCTACAGCACTGACTTTCAACTACACATTGCCACCTTTTAGCTAAATATTTCTTACTTACCATGTTATCTGAAAGTTACTAACCCAAGTACACAGTTTGCTATTGAATACATGTTTATTAATGAGGAGTAACTATCTGCTTAATTTTTAAAAAATTGTTTTCTTTTCAGTAATTGACGATACCCAGACCGAAGAAATTTTAATGAAAGGAGCTAAACCAACAGAGGTAGTTTCACATTCTTTATAAGAGGTGTAACATAAATCTATATCAGTTGTCTGTTTTCTTTTGAGAGTAAATTTTTCTGAAATATTATGCTAAAAAATGCACCAAACGTTTTTACTGATGATTTATGGAAATTGTTTTATCCATATGCAAAAAGTGGTCCACCTTAAAAAATAAATATTTTACTGCTGACTTATTCAACAGTTATTCTGAGTTTATTACTTCTAGGTAATAAAAAGAGTACTTTATCTTAGGTTTGACAATTTTAGAGACATTTTTTACAAAGACAAAATAAGGTTAATAAATGTTAAAAAGTTAAATGTAGTGTAAAATAATCAAGTAAAAAGACCAAAGACCTACTAAACTTTGGTTACCACAATTTATCAAGGCAGAACGAATTGTTTTAAACTTATTTTTCCATTAATATAAATCGTACTTAAAATGTTTAAAAAAACACAGAAAACCCTTAAATTGTTTAATTCAGTTTTGTGTCATAAAATTAGCTTTTTTAGGGTGGATGCTGTGATAGCCTAGATAACTATATGACGAGACTAAAACAGAATGTAATAAGGACCAAGGACGATTTAAATTTAGTTTATATTGACAGTAGTATATGGTCGGAGAGTGTGGTTTTTTTTTATTTACTTGATAGTATCTGTGGAGTGTGAGTATTACTATTACATGACAAAAATAGAGATTACATAGGAGACAAGACAAAAGAGTTGGGGGTACAGCATAAAAGGAATTATGCATTTGTAGTGGAGTTGTATTTAATTAGATTAAAGTTTTATATTTTGTTGTTATTCTTGAGTGAGTTCATTGTTTATTACGTACGGAATCAAGAACAGTTCTGATCTCTTTACAAGGAAGACAGAAGTCATAATAATATACTTATAACGTCTATATAAAGATTCACAAAAACTTCCCATCACAGATGGCTACATAGCTTGTTATGACACTTAAAAATATAAACCGCACATTAAAACAGGTTCTGCACATTAAAACAGGTTAACCGTGCACCTATCTTGTATATAAAGAACAGGGACATACTTATTTTAAATATAGCTCCATGCTACTGACTACTAGCTAAGCCTATACCTTGGTAATTTACTAATAATTACATACCTGTAAAAGCAATCCAAAAGTAATAATGAAATTATTTGAAAATATTCGTACACAAAAAACATTAAATTTTAGAAATATATTTAGCAATTGATGCTTAATACTACATAAGTTAAAAGCTAAAGACTTCTATTGTCATAGCCACACAATTTTGCTAATTCTACCCTCTCTTTTGTTTTAACATTTGCTGTATTGTATTGTGTTCTTGTTTTTAGCCTGATGCCTATCTTTGCACTGCATACCATATAGATCAGGAGGAATACTTTATATGTAAGTCAGTTATTTTTAATGTTTTGTGCAAATGTTACTTTGAACTTCATAAGCAAATAATAAAGTTTTTTTTTTACACATTAAGCTAATAGAATGGTGACATTTCTTTGATTTTCATTTTATACAAAATTCAATAAATTAAAAATGACATGTACTTTTTTAGAACAAGCTACGAAGTGTTCTAAGGTTTGTTTAATGTTTGTTTTTTTTTTTTAATTTTTTAAACATGTATTTTGTTTGAAGATTCAGCTAAATCAATTCAAATAGGATAAAATAAAGACTCACCATATTCAAAATAAGATACTTGTGTTCACCAAAGTTTAAAATATTTTTTTTAAAATGTTGATTATGTTCAAAGATTCTGTATTTTGCTTTAACTTTTGACACATCATGATACCCTAGGACTTTTTAGGTTGTTAAATCACAATGTTTTTTTTTTATAAAAACAAGCTTTAAAGCACAAAAAATAGATAATAAAAACTTTTTCTTGAATAAAAGTGTTAGTTGCCCATGAAATCTCTAACACATTTTGACAAGCAATTAGATTTTTTTAAAATTAGTGTATTTGTATTGTTTTGTATTTTTGTTTTTCTTTATTTTACTTTTTAGTAATTAGTAATTTTTAAAATTAAAATAGTGATTAACTTTTAAAAAACAATTGGTACCTTTTTTCCCATTTGATTTGCTTTGAATTAATTTGAGACCCAACATGTCTAAAATATTTGCTATAAGACCTGTTATTGCCCCATGATTTCAACTTTAAATAACAAAAGTCAGCCCCTTATTCAGGTCAGTGGTGGTTGACAAGTTTAAAACATCCATGAACACAACTTACCATCTACCTGATTGATTGGTTGCTACAATTTAATCCTATTATCTCCCCTTTTGTCATTTTAATACAGTAGTTAATTGTAAATAATTTAAATACCTATCTACACTGAAAAGTAGCTTTTTTTGCATTGTCTCAAAAAGAAATTTATCTGGAAATTTTGAATAAATGTGCTGCACCAAATTGGCTGCAAAATTGAGTTTCTTAATTTGACCAAAAACACATCCACAAACAGACAGACATTATGCACTCAGCAAAAGCTTGTTTTATTGAAAGGCAGTTTGTCTGATAAAGGTAGTTTGTCTCATTGTGCATGATGAGCTTGTGGTTTCTGTTAGGAATGTTGTTTACATCTAGGCACACCCTGTTAGTGCAACATCAATATAATTTTTTGTAGAATGTAAATATTTTCAAAGTCAACTGGTGGTTTATAAATGTGTGCAACAGGGCCAATATTTAATGCTCAGCTTTTTAAAAGTATTTGCCCACATTCAGGCTCTGGTCTGTCACTCAAGACAACCTGGCTAATTGTGCTAAACCTCTATATAATCCAACAACTTTATTGCATGGTCACAGAAAGATATAAACACTACTTCACCTTTCCTTTTTTGTATGCATTTCATTACTGACATGCAGTGCAATGAAATTATAGTGATTGAAATGGCTAACACATATTTTTACAATTGCAGACAAATTTGAGGCATTGGCTGATGCAGCTACAGTTCATCACATGCTGCTGTATGGCTGTAATGGTGACCCTTACAGTTCAGAAGATATCTGGTCAGTAATCTTTGGATATAGGCCTACTTTCATGTTTTTCAATAAAGTGAAATATCAGATTGTAAAATAGAATATAAATGTCAGTACACTGGGGTCACAAATACATTGTATTTATTTGGACAGTAATGCACTTTTTTTAGTTATTATGTTTGTCAAATACATCTTGTCACTGTTTATACTGTATATATCTGGTAAGGTTTCTAATTTTAGATGATCTATATTGTTGATTTCAATAAGTATATTCTTTTGTTAAATATACATTCCTTGCTTTTTTTCTTCTTTTTATAAAATATATCTAGTAGAAAATAAATTAAATTTAAGACTTGTCAACTGTTCTTTCTAGGCCATGTCCATCCATGTGTAAAGATGGCCAGTCCTCAATTTTATTTGCTTGGGCTAAAAATGCTCCACCAACAGTCCTACCAACAGGTAAACTCTGCTGTCCTGCACTTTTTAAAAACTCCAGTGACTTCATTTTTGCAGCTTGTCAGTAAAATAACTCCAGTACTCATAAGTGTGTTCTAATGTATGATTTCAGGTGTTGGGCTTAGAATCGGGAAAAAGAGCACTGTAAAGACATTAGTACTTCAAGTCCACTATGCCAAGTCTTTCACTTGTAGGTGTTTCTTAATAGTTTGTAAATCTATTCTAATTTTAAATATAAGCTAGTTATTTAGTTTTCTGAAAAGATTTAGTATGCCAAAGTCTTTTTTTCTCTTTTCTAGCAAATGAGAAAGAAGATCATTCAGGATTAAAAATCTATACAACTCATCATAAGTAAGTTTATTATATTTTTATTCCGCCACTTTTTGAGGTTAAAGATTAATATCTGGCATCAAAATGCTTTAGTCAGCCTAGTAATACTAGTTGTATAAAAGCCATGGCTTTTCATAGTTGTACACAATGTAGAACTAAAGAAAACTAGTTCAGTAATTTTTAACTTTTTAAATGCATGATAGAAATTATAGATAATCCCCAATTATCGTAAAATATTCTAGGTTTTTGTCATATGTGGATGTTTAAATGCAAATAATAAAATTAAATATCAAACATGTATTTTTCTAAAGGCAAGATTTTGTTGCTGGTATATTTTTATTGGCTGATTCATTCTTCTCCATCCCCAAGGGGAATCCAGGTAAACAATTGCTAATTAATTATTTATTACTTTTGCACCGTCTTTGAAATATGAAGATCTACTTAGAGTTTTAGGAAATTATTTGAACACTAATGTTTAATCAAAATAAAATATTGTAATTTAAAATTTTAATGTCAGTTTAAACTAAGTTCAAACTAAGTTAACTCGAGTATACAGAATACATATTGTATACATTATTGTGTTGCAATCACTTTCTACAGCTTATCCAGTGGACATAAGCTGTAAGTTTCCAATGGAGAAGAGTATTGTTCCATTTGCTTACAGGACACATGCTCATGGACTTGGTAAGCTTTTAAGTACAACTTGTCTGTGGAATGTTGAGGTACACAATTGCTACCATAGGCATTCCAGATTATTTCAGATTGAGAGAAATTGGTTGGTGAATGCTATATAGGCTACACAGTCCCAATTAATTGTTGCAAACTTATAATTTAATAAAACATTTTCACTGTTTGAATTGCACATTGTTTTTATTTATTTTTTAAATTATAAATACGTTTAAATATTATACAATGATGGAAGATGACGGAAAACCTTTTTCTTTGAAATTAGGACGTGTTATTACAGGATATCAATATAATGGGACATATCACACAATCGGAAAAGGCAACCCACAGTGGCCACAGGTATTTATTTTATCTCTTGTTATGATATAATGGGTGTGAGTTGGTGGGATTTTCAATTTGAAAATAGTGGAAAATAAAGTGAAGATAGATTGTCATAATATGCCTTTTAGAAATAAAACGGGAGTGATCTCTCCCAAACTTTCTCAAATTCTTAGATAATACTAATGGGGATAGCAATTCTCTAATTTTTTAAATATAATAGAATTTCGTAGAAAAAAGAATAGCACACCAAATGAACAGCAAATAATATGTGTATAATTTATAAAGAAAGACAGAGGAATCAAGTTAAAAATAAATTCATTCGCATGGTTTGAAAAGTCGGAAATTGAGTAAAGTACTACTTCCAGTCAATGGAAATTACTCAAAATTTGACAGAAGGCAGGGAATTAGATCTTTTACTTATATGTGAAATTTCGTTTATCTATCTGAGCAGTATTCAAGTTATAGGCTTTTGAAAAACCAAAAGTAGAATAAGTGCCACTTCCGGTTACCGGAAATCATTGAAAAGTTGATACAGAAATACAAATTTGATAGTACTTATATATGAAATTTCATCAACCTAGCTGTATTGGTCCTCAAGTTATCGTGTTCACAAACACACGCACACTCACAGACATACAGACTCAGAGAGTTGGAAAATGTCAAATCTCGATTTTGATTTTTTGCACGATTACAGTACTTCCTCTATGCATTGGATACGGGAAATTTAAAGCTGAAATATTTATCACTTCCATAGAAAATATTTATAAGTGTTCTTCACAGTCTTTGGGACATGTGTTAACAATTGTTTTATTGTTGTTTTTTGGCATATAGACATTTTATCCTGTTCAAGAAAAAATAGAGATTAAACCAGGAGATTCTTTGGTAAGTTGTTTTTTTGTATTAGTTTTTCTAATGGAGCAGTAGCAGATACACCATAAGTTATACCAGAATCACAAAAATTGATATACATTTATAACATTTCAAGTTATTGAGATCTCACAGGTTTTGTAGCTTGTTCCATATCTTCTCTAGGCAGCAAGATGTACTTATGATTCAACTTCTATGGACAGGACAGTCGATGTTGGGTAAAGACTTTATTTCTGATTGGCATAATAGACTATATGCATTAAATAAATCATGTATTTACTTTAAGTACATAAGTAGTCTATGGGGCAAGTGAAGTAGAGTTCACTTGTTTCTGTGACCTCAGCATAGATCGGCAGGTTTGAAAGGGAAACTTTACTTTACATAAGTAGTTCCCTTCATAGCTAGCCATTAATAATACTTATCTTTCCTTAAAATATTTAACTTTATACAGGCCCTGACTGTAGACACTTGTCCTATTTTGTTTGACAGGTCAACAGGCAATGATGAGATGTGCAACTTCTACATAATGTTTTATACAGACAGCTCTGTACAAGACCCTTCTGGTTCTTGTGGAGGTAATGATATACCTCAAATCACTGGAAAAAATTTCCCTCCTGATGTTAGTGTTCCACTACCACCTAATCCTGCGTTGGAGGAAGAGGCAAAGGGAACACATCACCATGGTGGGCCACCTGGTTCACAGAACACAGGTACAGTACACAGCATTAAAAGTGCACATTCTAAGCAAAATATATCTTGCAGATTCTTTAAAACTTATTCTATTGTTTGTCATGATGCTGACCTAAAGTGTCACTAAGGTATACACTGCATAGATACATTCAAATAAATTGTTCAACTAGAGCTCTGTAAACAAATGCACTGTTGAGCTGATGACATGTACAATACCATTTTTGACCACATTTATTCACAGACCTACAACCTTTTGTACATATAAAGCCATTATCTAAACATCATAAAGCTGGTAAAAAACATGGCCAGGGAAGTAAACACAAGAAAATTTCTTATGTAGTAATGGATAGAGTTAAATTTGTAAAGAAACGTCAAACTCGTGAGTACTATGAAGACTATTCAGCCAATGACCTTAGAGAGAAAGGCATGTATGGCCAGGGTAAGCTAGAAGAGGGACTAAGCCGCAATAGAAACAAAGATTTTGAAGCTATCAACAAAAAGCTGCAGCAGCCAGCACAAGCTCCGCATCAGCTGATGGCTGAGAGCAAACAGTCCATACAGCCAGCTGTCAAACCCCACAGTCGTGAGTTGGCTGTTCTTGCTGTTGTGAAGCTATGATATTTGGCTTGATGTAGCTTGATATTTGCTGTTGTGGAACATTTGATACTTGCCGTTGTGTAGATTTGATCCTTGCTGTTGTGAAGCTAAGATACTTTCTTTGATGTAGCTTGACATTTGCTGTTGTGGAACATTTGACACTTGCCGTTGTGTAGATTTGATTCTTGCTGTTGTGAAGTTAAGATACTTTCTCTGATGTAGCTTAATGTTTACTGTTGTGGAACATTTGATTATTGCTGTTGTGTAGATTTGATTCTTGCTGTTGTGAAGCTAAGATACTTTCTCTGATGTAGCTTAATGTTTACTGTTGTGGAACATTTGATTATTGCTGTTGTGTAGATTTGATTCTTGCTGTTGTGAAGCTAAGATACTTTCTCTGATGTAGCTTGATGTTTAATGTTGTGGAACAAAAATTGATACTGGTTGTGTTGTAGATTTGATTCTTACTGTTATGAAAATACTTGTTGTGGTGATGATTAGACATCTGCTGATGTGTAGACATTTTTTTGCAATATTGCTATATTACTCTGTGTTAAGATTTTTTGTTATGTAGGCCCATCATTTGCTATTGCATTGGTGTATATGTGTAATATTTGCTGCTATCTAAAACCAGAACTTTTAAATAAAATTGTTTTTTTTTTTTTTTTTTGCATTTATGTTAAACCAGTGTTTGCTGATGTGTAGATGTATTGCTATCATACAATTTTATTATTCACTTTTGTATAAATAGATATAATGTGGTGTAACCGTATTTAACAGCTTCTGTATTGTTGCATTATGATTTTAATTGCATATGTGTGATAATTGCATGTAGAATCTTACAATATGTAATTAGCTATTACATATTGATGTTTCATTTGCAAAATTTGCGATTTTCTGTTGCGAAAAATTAGATTTTATCCTAATTTTAACTATTTTGTTTTTGTGAAAATTATCTATCTTGGTTTAGAATTGTATTCTGTTTATTAATACAAATATTTTCTGCTTTGTAGAAATTGGATTTAATTCTTTTTAGCTGAAGCAATATGTTCTTCAATTCATTTATTTATTAATATAATTCTTAAATATGTTAAAAGTAATGGTCTTCATTATAATTGCAAATATTGTCTCAAGTGAACAAAAATCATTAAAATGGTTGTTATTTCAGGAATACATTTTGATCACCCCCTGGTGGTGAACAGTCCTTGGCCTGACAAAACACTCAAGGTCGGGCAGATTGGAGGCCTAGCTACAGATAAACATGGCAATGTGTACATCTTTCATCGTGGTTCTAGGCAGTGGACAGCAGAGTAAGTCATGACTATGTTTGAGCTTTATCTTGGGTTAAATTTAGGATAGGCTAGTATTCTTTTTTTTTAATTTCAAAAAATGTGACTTAAACTTATTAGAAAAACTACATTTCCCTTGTAAGTAAAAAGACTTTTTTTTTTTAAAAATAATGTATTACAAGATCCTGATGTTTCAGTTTTTTGTGCTAGAGTAATATTTCTAAATTTGTTTGATCTTTAGTTCCTTTGGTTTAGACAACAACTTTCTGCGCACTGACACACCTATTGCTGAAGATGTCATTGTCATTTTAGACTCGCAAGGTCGATTAGTTCGGCAGTTTGGTGCAGGACAGTAAGTAACTATATCTCTTTTGCATAAGAACAGCCTGCTGTTTAGGCAAGATAAATGAACATTGTAGCTGCAGTATGGCTAATACGTTATCCAGAGATAGATTTGTGCATACTGGGTATCAATTTACACCTGTTTGACACTCTCTATGTGATGAACTGGATTAATAACTATTATCATCCTGTGTAAAGGCACCCTTTGGGCATTGTAGCTATTAAATTATAGTCATTAAAATTAAATGATGCAGTTGTGAAATAATTGCTTATAACTTTTTGCAGATATTTCATGCCACATGGTATTGAGGTGGATCAAGAAGGTAATATCTGGGTAACAGATGTGGCATTGCATCAGGTATGTAGACTGTTTTAATCTGCCCTGTGCAACTCTTGTACAGGGTTCCCACAGAGCTGGAGAAAAAGACGGGAATTTTAAAATTTACTGGCCAGGAAAGTAAAATAGTTGGGAAATCATCATAAAAGCTGGAAATATTTTTAAAATTTCAATTTAGGTTTCAATATTGGTAAAATTTTGGGGATCGAATTTCAGGATTCTCATTAAAATAAATTGTTTCTGCCTTATTTTGTGGATTTATTTCATATTATTTTGCAAGTTAGTGTTCAGTAGTTTTGTTTACATGATGAAAAATAGCAGGAAATCTTTGGGAAAAGGTTTTATTTGATCAGAAAATTGTGGGAACCCTGCTTGTAATGTATTTCATTATACCTCTATTGCTTTTATTTGTCATGATCTTTAACTTATTCATTATAAGTTTAAATAGCTCTAATACTTAAAAAAAAAAAAAAAGAACCATAAACTTGAATACATGTAACAACTTTCCTTTAACCACACTAAGACAAGTTTTAAGGACAGACCATGCAAGCAACTGCTGTCCACTAAATGTACCTCTATATATAGTGGGGGTGGGGAAGAGGCTACAATTACATAACATAACCTGATACATGAACAAATACATAACATCATTTAATAATTAGAAAATAAGTAACATCACCTGATGTGAGAACAAATACATAACATTACCTAGTATATAAACTAATACACATTGTCATTTGATTTTTGGACCCATACTATTCACCACATGTACACAAGTTTGGATGATGTAAACACATGACACCTCCATGTCCCTACAATAAACATTGCTTCAATTCCTGTACAGTCCAGTGTGCTCTAGTCCTATATAACTTAAACATATTATCTCTAATGTGTACAGATGTATATGCATCTCTCACCTACCAAGTATTCTGTAAACCTTTTCTTATTAAAGGTATTTAAAATTGCTGCTGGTGAAAGCAAGCCTACCTTGACTCTTGGTCAGCGTTTTCAGCATGGTGAAGATACAACCTTGTTCTGTAAACCAACAGATGTAGCTGTCCTTTCCAATGGAGATTTCTTTATCTCTGATGGGTAAAATTTTCATTGCTAGTTTAGATGTGTAGGCTCATCTTGTTGAATGGGCCTTATATTCAAATGGTTGTGTGTTTAATTGCTGATACTTGCTGTAAGAAAATGAGTTTTTGTTACTGTGATTTGAAAGGATGACAGGTCTACATGTATTTAGGCAGTGTATTCAATTAATTTTTATAATTTAGTTTTTTGACATTTAAAAAAAATCAGTGGATTAAAAAATATATACAATTGTTATTAAATTAAAACAATTGACATATTTTATAATTTAATTATCAAAAGTAAAATGCATTTTATAATGAATATAGAAACAATGAAAACAAAAATTTAAAGCCTTTCGCCTTAAGAGTTGAATTATGAAAAACTATTTTCCAAAAATGTATCTTTTAATTAAGTGATCAGTAGGTATTGATATGAATAAATAAAATTGACTGTACTGTTATATAAAAAATTGATGAACTAAAATGTTATTCAACAGATACTGCAACAGTAGAGTATTGAAATTTTCAAAAGATGGAACACTTTTAAAATCTTGGGGTCAAAGTAATTCCCAGTTCAGTAAGTTCTTTAATTAGCTTTTTATTTTTGTTTATATACCAACAATAACTTAGGTTGTCTCACTTTGTTTTATTATTTAAAATTCTTGATCCCTGTTGAAAATCTTGACATTTCAAATGAACAAAATTTTTTAACCAGGTAAGGCACCTCCTGCAGGAACATTTGATATCCCTCATAGTATAACAGTATTGGAAGAAAAGCAACTAGTTTGTGTAGCTGACAGAGAAAATGGAAGGATTCAGTGTTTTGACTTGGAGGGCAATAACAAGCATATCATTCAGCATCCACAGTTTGGCCCTCGCTTGTTTGCCATTGAAAGTTCACCAGAACATGGTAAGACACTAACTTAGTGCTTCTCTAAAACTTTCTGTTAAACAGGATGTGAAATCCAATGATAAACTGCAATCTTTATCTTCAGGTGGGTTGCTGTATGCTGTAAATGGCCCTGGGTATGATGGCCCAACAGATTTTATTGTACAAGGTTTCACTTTAGATATTGAGACTGGGGATTTATTAGAAATATGGAATGTACCACAGGTAACAAAACATGTTTTACTATGTAAAATATAATCATTAAAGCATGGAATAACAGTTGGCTTGTTTAGCTGGAGCCATCAGACATTATTTATATATGGCTGCTCTGTAGATGAGAAGATTCCCAGTATTATATAATTATATAATAAATTTGTGGGTTAAAAAGAACACAGGAAATTTCAACAAAAAATACATTATTGATATTTCATAGAATAATGAAAAAAATTAACAAAAGCAGAGATAAAAAAAAGGATTGCCTTTAACTTGTACCAAGTCAAAACAGCAACTGAAAATAAAACATTTCTTGCAGCACCTTAAGAACCCTCATGATGTCTGTGTGGATGTAAGTTCACACTCAGTTTTTGTTGGAGAGCTGGACCCTCAACAAGTGTGGAAGCTTACTAGAACTACGGAACAAAAAACTCCTCAAGGTAATTCTTGTATAGTTTTTTACAATTGCAGATTTTTATTTGTCACAAGTATTTGACATTAATGACCTTTTGGTTATATGACACTACCAGTTTATAATTACGTGACTAGTTACCCTGAATGCATCTACTTCCAGATGCTGTTAAGACACTGGACAATCATGAAGACACCTCCTTGTCTCAGCAAACTCTGAATGCCACAATCAGTCCTCCTAGTGAATCCAATGATTTCTCACCATCAGTGATCATTGGGATTTTACTGGTTATACCTGTTGTGTTACTGTTGGTGCTAGCACTTTTAGTCAGAGCACATCAGTCAGGTTAGTACATTTTGATTTAGTTTGTTGAACAGTTAACTTGATATAAAATTTCTGGACAGTGTTAACAATATCCATTGTTAGTTGGAGATTCTTTGGAAATAGTTCACTTAATAGGTTTCACTTTTGTCATGTTATACTACTTATACCCATTATGGTAAAGAGGGTTTAATTTTAATTTTGTCAAGATTTTCATTACTAATTTTTTAAACAATTTTTTATAGTTTAAAAATATTGTTTGTATTTCATGACATTCAACAAATTTTAATTATTCTTAAATTTTTCAAGCAGTACCAATAGCAAAAAAAAAATAGAATAATTGACTTAGTACAAACACCATTCATTCTGATCTTGCTTAATCATAAGTTTTTCTTTTGCCCATATCCCTTAGAAAAGTGTGAAAAAAAATTCATTTGTTTTATTACTATTATATACTTTTTATTTGTGATATTATCCAATCAGTATATTTTCACCACATATTCTTATTTAGATCAAGCTATCGGTATAATGTAATATTTATTATTTATTTGGAATTTATGTTTTCTAATTTTAAAAATATTTTTTTTTCCTCAGGTAAATTAAAGTGTTATGGACATAACAAAAAAAGAATGTTTAATCTTCAAGGCATCATTGGCAACTCACACAAAGGCTTTGATCCTCTTAGTACAGAAGAAAGTGATCATGAGCTTGACCCTGAAGATAACACACAGTACTTGGCTCCTAAGAAAATCAAAAGCAAAGCATAACCATTTCTACATTGTGATATACATTCCATTGTTTTATTTTATTTAAAATTCACATTTCCTTTTTAAATGGGCTGTTTTTATTTCTTTTAAAGCCATCTTTATGATCACTGTACCGGTATTGAAATTAGTGATGTTTATTTCCATAAAAACATGATGTTGTTTTGTCATAGTAATGTTGTAGTGAGGTTATCTTATTCCAACCCTGACACTTATCTCTTGTTAAGTTTTTGACAAACTTAAAAAAAATCATGTTTATTTTACAGTATGTTTATATACATATGTGTATGTATGTATATATAGTAGAATACATTGCCAGCTAAGTAGAAGTTCAAATATTCTTAAGAATTTGCATTTAATAGAAGTCTTTGATCCCTCAACTTACACAGCCTGCCCTACTGAGATCTGGTTGGACACTGGGGCAGAGTAAGGTTTCAAATGCTTTGATTTTGTGCATAAAAACTTCATAGTACAGAAACTTTTCTTCATTTTCATAAAACTTTAGTGCTATTAAATATATATTTATTGTTTCATATTAAAATATCTCATTTTCATTATTCACTCAAACTGTACTAGTTTGAGATTTTTACTTGCTAGTCATCTAATAGAATATCTGGATTCTATACTTTGCCTGCAATGTGTACACCTAGTGTGTCATTATTAATATATGTGTATGTATATATGTTTTATATATATATATATTTATACATATATACACACACACACCATTGAGCAAATTATTTATACACATACACTTGATAAATTTATACATTATTGTGATTTGTGACTATTTTTTGGTGTCTTGGGCTGGCAATAAAAATATTTTATCCAACAGTGTTGCATCATATATTTCCTAATTTCTACATAATACATGTATACAAAAGCACATGATTTTATTTTCATTAATCTGTGCATAGTAGTAGCCATTGATTAGACCAGGGGTCTCAAAACTACGGCCCGTGGGCCGGATGCGGCCCGCGAGGTCCTCTCATCCGGCCCGCGGAGATCTTTTTGTCCACGGAAAAAAATGTTTCTTGTAGGTGGCTGAGGAACTTAGCCCAGAAAATTCAAAACAGTTTGAAAATGTAGCTTTGGTTGCAATACCATTGCCCGCCGTTTTGCAGCAAGCTATGTGTGCTAACTATATGGACATTAGCAGTGTACTGAATCCTGTAATGAAGATGGTGAATTTAATAAGGTCACATGGGCTTAACCCAGATAGTTCAAAGACATGTTGAAAGATACAAACACAGAATCGCAATATTTACTATATTACACAGCAGTACGATGGTTAAGTTGTGAGAAAGTTCTGAGCAGAGTATTTAAGTTAAGAAAGGAAATAGGTGACTTCCTGAAAAGTAGGCAAGACACGTCCATTAATGTCTGGTGAAGAATGGGTATAGAAATTGGCCTCTGATGCAAACATAACTAGTCATTTAAATTTTCTGAACCCATAACTACAAGAGAGGGAAATATAGTTTCTATACACCCAACTAAAGGCCTTTCAGCTACCCCGAAGAGATGCCTGGAAGAAACTCTGGCCCCCGAACTAATATTTGATAGTTAATGCGGCCCTCGGGCTGAAAAGTTTGGAGACCCCTGGATTAGACCACCACTTATATGGCTAATTTCTCACATTAATTCACAGATTGAATATCAAATTCGATATTTTATTAGATTATATTTCAATTTAGATGATGAAATTCCAAGTATTATTTCTTAACTCCATTTGTATAAAAAGATCACATAGAAACATACTTTTCTCAAATTCTTTTTTTATTTGAATAATAATATTATTGGCTAGAAGATGATCTTGTTGAATGGGTATTTATACAATTTATTTCAATATATATAAATCTAGATTTAAGAATCTATCTCCAACCTAGTAATGGAACTACAGCTAATGCAGAAAATATTTTTTTAAAAATGTATTTAAATTGTTTATCATTCCAGCATACGATTTCATTTGTGTTTAAAATGTTGGTCATTGCAGTATGACAGGGACTTAGATTAAGTTAGATGTTTGATTAATAAGTTAAATATTGTCTTATGGAGCAATATAGAATCACACATTAAGTCATTATCTAACTCATGTTAAGGAAGTTAAAGTGGCAGGGCATGGTGCTGACCACACTATTCCTTCATATGCCAACGTCCCAGAAACAGGTGAACTCTACTTCACTTGCCAGATTGATTGCTAGGTCTTAAGAGATGGGTGCAGGCAGGATTTTATTGCCCCAAATAAGGGGAATTAAGGATTATAAATTTATCTGACTAGTATCAGATGTCTTGGGTTTTGCTTAATGCCGTTCAGAAATTTATTACTATAAAAAAAACTAGCATGATGTTGATCAATAAACTTTTACTCTTGAAATGATAAACTAAAAATGATGGAAAATCAAGACAATGTTCAGAATCAACAAAATAAAAATATAACAGTACAGCAACCATGAAAATGGCTTATGATGAGTGGCCCAAAAATTCCTAAGCTCTATTAATTTTGAAAATAAAATTTGCATGATGGTTTTATGGAGGTGGGAAATTTTGAGGAGTACTGCTAATTCCACTTTTATCTTCTCCCTGCTGAACCTTGAGATTGAGAGTCAAACATTACAAAAGTTGAATCCACTACTTGACTGTAGAACAGCAGAAGTTGTTACCTCAATGTAGTTTAGTAGTTTTACTGGGAATTTTATGCAAGTGGGTTGCTGACTGGAGGCTAATAGTCTAGTAAGAAGTTTATTCATTTTATTTAACTTTGCTTTACCCTACCTTTACTAGATGTACTACAAGCTTAAGCAGCCTATGCTTGTTTTATAACTTAATTTATTAATCTTTATATTGCAATAAAAAGTTCATTTTAAATTGAATGATACACATATTAATTATTTTTCTTTTTAGTGCATATTAAATAAAAACGTTATTAATAATCATACACAATTTTATAGGTCTGTTTTTACTATTCAGACATTTAACAAAACGGGTTTTCCCTAAACAAAAAAAATGAAACACATTTTAAACTTTTTCTCTGGCAACGCAGTTCTGATTTCAGCCATCAAAATGGCAACTCTGAATGTTTGTGCTAGACATTCGGACGGAATTAAGCGTTTTCAAGTAACTGTCAGCTTCGAAAATTCAGTGAAAACTTTAGCAGATGAAATAAATAAGCACATACACTTAAGTGATTTTGGTAGGTTAAATAACTCTGATTTAGCCTCAGCCTATCATTAACATCTAGTCTAGATCTGGTCATTATTAATTTACTAGGTAATCTATCGTTTTGGGTACGTAAAATCGCCCGCGGCTATTTATGTACGAAAACGTTACCTCATTGTCAAGGCTTTAATAGAAGTATATTGTCATACTTTTGTGTCAAATATTATAGATAAATGAATACTAAACCTAAATCAATGGCTAAATATATCGATATAGGCCAGAAATTAACTTTAAACAGCAGTGTCTGAGAGCAAGATTTGCTATATAAACAGCAGCCATTTGTAAAATAGAGTGGCTTCCCCCTGAATCTGGCGCTAAAAGCTTATAAAAATAAAACTTAGACAAGATGGCTGCTATAGTAGATGAGCATGGTTGCATCTGTTGGAAACATCGCTAGTCTTCATTTATTACGGAATAGTTTTAATTCAATTGTTTAAAAACAGGTACATAAATGAATCAAGGAAACATTTTTGAATTTTTTAAAACATAAATCCTCCTGAAAATGTGAAATAATTATTAAAACTTAAGGAGTCACCTGTTTTTCACATTACAAATCGCGGGCGATTTTACGTACCCAAAACGATAGATTACCATTTACTATTATTAATATTAATCATGAAATCTTCACTTCTTTCTTTTCTTTGTTTGTTTGGTTGAATTAATGAAGTTCGTTTTGATTTACGCTGTTTTTGTGCGGGTTTGGGATGTTTTACTGTGTTAGTGTTAAACATCTAGCTAGATCTAATTGGAATCATCTTAAAAAGGAAAATGAAAAGGATGTTAGATTTAGATCTAGATAATAAATAAAAATTGATAGGCCTAGTCGGCTAGTGGCCTAGATCTAGATCTAGTAGTTACCTGAATGAAAACCTGAGTTTCCAGTGTGAGTGACTTTACGACTTAATTAAACTTACCTCTTACTTTACTACTTAGAAGATTCTTAGAATATTACTTACTAAGGCCAATTCTAACCGGAAAAAGATATGCATGCGCAATGGAGAGAAACTATGACTTTCCTTTGTTGTGATGTTTTCGATGGTACTGCGCCTGCGTGTTTACAAACAAACCGCATAACTCTACTACTATCCCTAAATTAAATAAAAACCTAACCCTAGCCCCAGCCCTAACTAGCCCTAATCCGAGTAACCCTAGCTCAGCTATTAAGGTCACTGCGCATGTGCCGAATTATCTTTTGCCGACCAAATGGAGACGCTTCTATTTCAATCAATGAGATTGTTTTGTTTAATTTAGCCTAGAATGCCCTAAATCTATAATTCTAATCCATAGGCCTATTTAATATTTAGCCTAATTAATTTTCAGTTTGTATTTATAATTTTTACTTAATGGTCTAGATGTTGAGAGCTAGACTGCCAACCCGAAATTATCCAGTTCGAATCCGGGTTCAAATGAGTTGAACGTCCCTGAGTCCACCAAGCTCTGATGGGTACCAAACTGATGTTAGGTAATCAAAGGCGGCAGGGCGTGGTGCTGATCACAGTATCCCCTTGTATTCTTAATTCTGAGGTCATTGAAACAAATCTGCCCCATGTGTCTTGGGCACAAACAGGAAAATATGAATAAGCCCACTGGTTGGTTGAGGCCGGCGGGGGGGGGGGGGGGGGGGGAGACGACATTCTGACCGTGATTCAAAGGGACAATTCAAAATATCGTCCAGTTATTTTACCTAGAGGCCAATTTTATTACCGACTGTGTCTGTCCCCGCCCCTTCACCCTCTCTGTTTTGGTTTATTATTTTTAATCTCACCTTAATTGTGTAACAAATGAAGAATTTACATGGTCGCCATCATCTGAAAATTAATCTACACCCATGAATGTATTATAATAATGTTGTAGTGGGATTGATTGAGACTAAGAGGTATTACTACTTGTTTAGACAAATATAGATCTTGAATCATTAACCCACTTTGATTTCTTGGCCTTGAAACATCCAGCAAGAGACAACGGTCTTTCACATGCACAGCTCTTGTGTAATCAATTAGAGGTCAATTAATCAGGTTACATGCACATGATTCTAGGTCTTAATTAACTGAATATATTGTAGAGTCGCAGTTTTGGGTACTTTATTTAGCCGAGAACTATCAAATCCTTACCTTTAAGTGTCAAGTACATCATGACATTTTTACAAGCGCCTCCAAAGCGAGGGTTGATCTGAACAATTTCTGGCCATTATGAAGACCTAAATACTTAAGTTGGACGGAGTGGTCTAGCGGTAGAGAGCTGGACTGCTAACCCGTTAGTCTCGAGTTCGAATCCGGGTTCAAGTCAGTAGACCGTCCCTGAGTCCACCCAACTCTGATGGGTACCTAACTCACGTTAGGGAAAGTAAAGGCGGCTGGGCATAGTGCTGACCACACTATCTCTTCATATGCCGAGGTCACAGAAACAAGTGAACTCTACTTCACTTGCCCCATAGACCGTCAGGTTTGAAAGGGAAACTTTAAATACTTAAGTTGACCATTTTAGCCTCAATTAAGCTCTAATCTTCAAATTTAATTTAGTGTCTGGATGGATTATTTAAAATTATAATATTAAAATTGACAGATTAGTAATTTTAGACTTTAGAATTATATTCTATCTAACAATAATCCATTTTACATTAGTTAGAAATGGCCCAGCCCATCCTTGCTTGGTAAAAAGTAAAGCTCCCCGTTCAGACTTAAAGATCCATAGGGCAGATGAAGTAGAGTTAATGTTTCTTGACCTCTGCCTACTAATCGATGCACTATGCCTAGCCGCCTTTACTTTCCCCAACATGAGCCAAGTTCTTATTATAGTGGACTCTGGGACGTCCCAAGTCCAGACCAAGATCCAAACTCGAGACCTTTCCGGCTAGTAGCTGAACGCTCTACTACCATTCGATCACACCATCCTTTATCTTGGCTTGGTCCTGAGGAAAATTTGCTAGAAAAGGTGTCACACAGAGTCTTCTCTAATTTCAGTCTAGAATAATTTTTATAAACAAAGTAATGTCAGGCTATCATTGTTATGTAAAAAAAATACACTTGGTCATGTGACCTCAAAAAAAAATTACTTACCCTAATTTCCTTTAAAATTCCTTTTAATTCAAAATGAAAATGTGCTTAGTTTTACAAAACTAATGTGCTATTATATTATTCTAATGTTACTTAAAATTTGGTAATTAGGCTAATGAACCCACTGAGATAAATGTTGCCAACAAAGCAAAAGGAGACTTTATTAACAAAACCGCAGACAAGAAAGGTTAACAGTTTGTATTTGCAGATATGCCCTGACCTCACCTAAATAAATATGAATAAAACAAGCAAAATATTTTTTTTTAGGGCAGCACTATCATGATTATTAATTAATTGATAATAACACTTAAACTAGGATCTACCATTACCCATATAGCTTGTTTCTCACAAAGAAATTTTGTGTTAATGCTAGCATTATTTACACCCTAATTAACCACATGAACTTAGACAGGCAGTTTCAATTACTAAAATAACCATACAATCATTAATATTTATCTAGTAGGCCTACTCAATGAAAACTAAATGGACAATGGTTTTATGGGCAATACAACTAGAAGCTCCACAAGGTCCATTCACCTTTACTGGTTTTGACAATTTTTCTGATAATGGCATCCTCAAATGTGAATTTTATGGTCACTTGGAGAATAAAAACAATTTTTTACATATAAATATACCAGATATCTGATATCTTTAATACTTCTTTACTTTATTTGACTGGGTATTACCTCTCATGAAACATGCAAGCAGATGATTAGATTAGCTGATTACTATAAAATCCCTATTTTTAATATCTAATACTTGATTATATAGAAGATTAGTACAATTTTAACACACACTTCAAAAAGTAGGTGGATACGAACAATGGATTGAATGCTCTACACCATTCACTGCTTCCAATTGTAGATTCTTCTTGTTTTTAAATTTTGAACACCTTTTTCACCAGGTATTGTTTATTGTGGCCAACTATTGAATCCTGACTCATTCTTGTCTGCCTACCCCCTTCAACCTCAGTCCACAGTATATGTGATCAAGACAGACCACAAACCCAGCTCTAGCACAGATGGTGAGTAGATAGATTTTATCTTGTGCTGGCTATGTATCTAAAAAATAATTGCAGTAGAGGTTGTATGATTATTTTTTTTTTACAAACATGTATTAGATGTTTGAACTCATTGAATCTGCCTATAATGTATTAAAATCAATTTTTAAAACATTTCTATTTAACTTTGCTTTTTTTAAATTGCTCAGACTTGCAACTGCAGTACAAAATTGCATTGAGTTCATTAGCAGTTTTAAAAATTATTTAATATTTTAGACTTGTACACTCGTCTTGTCATGACTTTCAGTCAACAACTTGACTATCACTTGGCTGAAAGGATGAATAGGTTCATTAATAATATAAACTAGAATTATGTACATGTTGCAGCACTAGCTTTTAGGTTTGTAAATTGTAATACTTTTTGTGTTCAGCAGATTGCGGGGGTCCAAACAAAAATGAAGTGACAATGGCAATACAGTCAGCATTGCTCAATTTAGAATACAGATCAATTGTAAGTTGGAAACAAAGTAAACATATCTTTATAAACTAGATCCATTGGATTCTAGTTAGTGGTACTTCTGTAAATAACTGAAGAGACATATTTTTGTCTGTAAGCTGACTGAAATTTGGTATATAATAATCGTTACTGTTGTGTAGGTTGAGAACATGTTAAATGAACCAGACACAGTGGAAAACATCATCGCTGCAACTCCTGGGCTGGACAAAGATCCTTGTGTTCTAGGTAACCAACCCAGTTTTCCTGCTAACTATAGTGATGCAAATATTTGTAGATTTTTTCTGTTTCTTTATTCTTAAATCCTAGTTGGAGACATGAGATTATATATATATATATATATATATATATATATATATATATATATATATATTTACAATTTGGATGGAATCAGCCTTACAGTTACATATTTATACCTTTTTTAAAAAATGTAAGAACTCTGGGTTTATAAATTTCAATTTATCAATTTCCCAAAAGCTGATAACTGTATAAGATAGTTAAATGAAATTTCACATCTGAGTATTAATTATGTAGATAGGTTCCAACTTTTGTGGGAAACTATTACTTGGTACCATTTCAGTTAGACGGACCAAATTTCATATATAAGTATAGAATCTTATACTTAATATATTTTATTGTATTTTGAGACCAAACTGTCTTCTTACCTCAGTTTTGTACTGTGACAAAATATGAATGCAATTATAAACTGTTATGTGGGTAAATTCATGCTTGTAATTGTGAGCTGTTCATGAGTTTTTCAATTGTATGATGTTTTTTGTTATTGCTTGTCTTTGCTTGAGGAACTTGTTAATTTTTTGTGCCTTCAAATGTTTGTTTACTTTTTCTCTAGCAATGTTACAGGAACCTGAACTCTTGGCTGTGATGGCGCACCCCAGTAACATGGACAGGTAAAGACCAGTCTCATTTTCATCAGGTCTTTTCTTGACTTTTTTGTTTTTTACATTTTTTAAATTAACCCTTCTTTAGTGCTATAAATCTTTTTGTCACAAGTTGTATATAGTGCACCAATGTTTAAAACTCAATGTATGCCTATAAAAGTTAAAACTTATTAGTTTAGATAAAAATAGTTTGCATCTTTCTTTGCCTTGTACATTTTTGACTTGGAGGTGATTTTAATCTGGTGCAATATGAATGGTATTTTGTGATTGTGGTATGTTTTTTTTTTTTAAAAAACATTTTTGTCGTCAAAAATGTTTCTTTTTTTAAATATCACCTTGCAATAATGTTTGTGGTTGAGTATATTTTCTTAGATCAAACATTTCAATTTATTTTTAGCTTGCTTCGGCTTCACCCAACGTTTGCCCAAGCTGCTGTTACAATAGCTACAGCTGTTAATGAAGAGGGTGCTAAGGTTGGCCAGAAACCAGGGCTGGGTAAGTTTGGGTTAGTGTTTTATGTAGGGTTATATTTGTTTGGGTTAGTGTTTTATGTAGGGTTATATTTGTTTGGGTTAGTGTTTCATACTGTGTTAAGTTTGTTTGGGTTAGTGTTTTATGTAGGGTTACATTTGTTTGGGTTAGTGTTTTATGCAGGGTTACATTTGTTTGGGTTAGTGTTTTATGTGGGTTACATTTGTTTGGGTTAGTGTTTTATGTGGGTAACATTTGTTTGGGTTAGTGTTTTATGCAGGGTTACATTTGTTTGGGTTAGTGTTTTATGCAGGGTTACATTTGTTTGGGTTAGTGTTTTATGCAGGGTTATATTTGTTTGGGTTAATGTTTTATGTAGGGTTACATTTGTTTGGGTTAGTGTTTTATGCAGGGTTACATTTGTTTGGGTTAATGTTTTATGCAGGGTTACATTTGTTTGGGTTAGTGTTTTATGTGGGTTATATTTGTTTGGGTTAGTGTTTTATGCAGGGTTACATTTGTTTGGGTTAGTGTTTTATGCAAGGTTACATTTGTTTGGGTTAGTGTTTTATGCAGGGTTACATTTGTTTGGGTTAGTGTTTTATGCAGGGTTATATTTGTTTGGGTTAATGTTTTATGCAGGGTTACATTTGTTTGGGTTAGTGTTTTATGTGGGTTACATTTGTTTGGGTTAGTCTTTTATGTGGGTAACATTTGTTTGGGGGCTCCCGGTCAAAAACCCCCTGGACATAAACCCCCTGGACATAAACCCCCCGACATAAACCCCCTGGACAAAAACCCCCTGCGACATAAACCCCCTGGACAAAAACCCCCCGCGATATAAACCCCCTGGACAAAAACCCCCCGCGATATAAACCCCCTGGACAAAAACCCCCCAATTGAGGTTTATATAAGGAAAAACCAAAGATGACGAGAAACAAAATTAATATAAAAATACAAAACAAACATTAGGAAAAAAAAAATTATTTTTATTATAACTTTAAAAAGACAGATTGTGAGCGATGCCTCGCAAATACTCAATAATGGTGGACTCATTAAAATTTTTAACAACAGTTAAAATTCGAGAGCTGCTATCAATATATTTTTTTTTCTGTTTTGGTAAACAGTGACCTGAATTAATCTGTGTACAATAAACCTCTTGGAGAGATTGTTCCTTTTTAATAAAGTCAATAAATTTCCAAATATTTGGGTGGCAACATCCCATATGCGACTGAAAACTTCTGTGCCAGCCTTCAACTGAGTTGTTTGTTTTTTTGGCATATGGTCTTCTGCACGTGTGTGCATGTTCCAAATGTCAAGTGGAAACATAGGTTGTCTTCGACCTCGACGTTGTGGTCTGCCAATATAGTAGTCCTCAAAGTAGTCTGCAATCGGCATTGCTTCTTGGGGGAAAATTTCCAATAATTTTTCAAAGGCATAACTCATGTGTTCGATGGGAACAAAGGCCAACGCAGGTAGCATTCTGAGCTTGAGAGCAAATTCACTATCAACTTGGTAGAGTTGTTGAAGGCCAGAGTCCTGAATTTTTCTGTATATATTTTGGCTAAGATGGAAGAAACATCCTTTTACCTCACACTCTGGAAATACCCTTTCAACACTTTTTATCACAGCCATTTCAAAGTCAATCATAATAGAAATTGGTTGCAGGTTTGTGTTTAAGACCGTTAGCTGCTGTAAGAGTGCTGTGTATGTTTCCTGTGTTTTGTTTTGAAGCAAGGCATAAACACATGGAACAGTGCGTCCATTGACCAATGCATGGACTGTGTACAGTTGTGAAAACAATGCAGGAGCTGTTTTGAATGTACCATCCATAAACCAGTGCTGATTAACCTCCAATAACCTAAGGTTGTCCTTGGTTCCAAACAAAAACATCCTACCTTTTGATTTGGCACCGGAATCGAACAGAAGAAATTGTTGTCCATCTTGTGTCATTGTATATTGTTCAGGAATGATTATATCATCAACATTCCTTGGATCAGACAGTGGGTGTTTTAGCGTTTGACGTTGACGCCTGATGTTACGCCGTATGTGTGGAATCGAGGGCAGCTTAGCCTTGGCATCTTCAGTAATCGTAGTAATGGACTGAGTGATGATCTGCTGGGGTGTTGCTTCCGTTTCTTCTGCCAGTTGTTTCATCTGCTGCACTACTTTACACACTTCCAGTTGAGATGGATCTGGTCCATGCGAATGTTCATTACATCGTCCAACAAGCTGTTCACCATGAATCTTTATTTTTGCTTTGCATTCTGCCTTGTTGCGTCTTTTGGAACACTCAAATGACACAACGCCGTTCGCCAGATCTTTTTGCTTGACATAAACATAGCCTTCAAAAATCACCTTTAAATTTCCTTTATTGGATTGAACAAACTCCATTCCAGAAAATATACGATTTGTCGAGAAATAAATTTGATTTTATATTTATACCATGGTTCTGTATGCCAAGGTGGATATGAACCAAGCTTCCGCCGGTGAATCCCTCACATCTTTTGAATTGTTAAGAATGTGTTGCTTTGATCCGCACGGCTCCCACATGTGGATGACCTATATCTAAGGTGTTGTCGGTGCCCGATCTTTGATCAAATACAACTAAGGTCACTCCTTGATTTCGAAAAGCATTTTTTTAGGTAGAAACTATTTTGTTAGTCGTAAAAAATTAAATTAATTTAATGTAATTTTTTTTTAATTTCTTGGTTCACATCATCGTTATTTTTTCTTTATATAAACCTCAGTCCGGGGGTTATTATCCGGGGGGTTTATATCGCGGGGGGTATTTGTCCAGGGGGTTTATGTCGCGGGGGGGTTTTTGTCCAGGGGGTTTATGTCGCGGGGGGTTTTTGTCCAGGGGGTTTATGTCGGGGGGTTTATGTCCAGGGGGTTTTTGTCCAGGGGGTTTTTGACCGGACACCTTGTTTGGGTTAGTGTTTTATGCAGGGTTACATTTGTTTGGGTTAATGTTTTATGTGGGTTACATTTGTTTGGGTTAGTGTTTTATGTGGGTAACATTTGTTTGGGTTAGTGTTTTATGCAGGGTTACATTTGTTTGGGTTAGTGTTTTATGCAGGGTTACATTTGTTTGGGTTAGTGTTTTATGCAGGGTTATATTTGTTTGGGTTAATGTTTTATGTAGGGTTACATTTGTTTGGGTTAGTGTTTTATGCAGGGTTACATTTGTTTGGGTTAATGTTTTATGCAGGGTTACATTTGTTTGGGTTAGTGTTTTATGTGGGTTATATTTGTTTGGGTTAGTGTTTTATGCAGGGTTACATTTGTTTGGGTTAGTGTTTTATGCAAGGTTACATTTGTTTGGGTTAGTGTTTTATGCAGGGTTACATTTGTTTGGGTTAGTGTTTTATGCAGGGTTATATTTGTTTGGGTTAATGTTTTATGCAGGGTTACATTTGTTTGGGTTAGTGTTTTATGTGGGTTACATTTGTTTGGGTTAGTGTTTTATGTGGGTAACATTTGTTTGGGTTAGTGTTTTATGCAGGGTTATATTTGTCTGGGTTAGTGTTTCATACTGTGTTAAGTTTGTTTGGGTTAGTGTTTTATGTAGGGTTATATTTGTTTGGGTTAGTGTTTTATGTAGGGTTATATTTGTTTGGGTTAGTGTTTTATGTGGGTTACATTTGTTTGGGTTAGTGTTTTATGCAGGGTTATATTTGTTTGGGTTAGTGTTTTATGCAGGGTTATATTTGTCTGGGTTAGTGTTTCATACTGTGTTAAGTTTGTTTGGGTTAGTGTTTTATGTAGGGTTATATTTGTTTGGATTAGTGTTTCATACTGTGTTAAGTTTGTTTGGGTTAGTGTTTTATACAAGGTTACATTTGTTTGAGTTTGTGTTTTATACAAGGTTACATTTGTTTGGGTTAGTGTTTTATGTAGGGTTATATTTGTTTGGGTTAGTGTTTTATACAAGGTTACATTTGTTTGGGTTAGTGTTTTATGTGGGTTACATTTGTTTGGGTTAGTGTTTTATGCAGGGTTATATTTGTTTGGGTTAGTGTTTTATGTGGGTAACATTTGTTTGGGTTAGTGTTTTATGCAGGGTTATATTTGTTTGGGTTAGTGTTTTATGTGGGTTACATTTGTTTGGGTTAGTGTTTTATGCAGGGTTATATTTGTTTGGGTTAGTGTTTTATGTGGGTAACATTTGTTTGGGTTAGTGTTTTATGCAGGGTTACATTTGTTTGGGTTAGTGTTTTATGTGGGTAACATTTGTTTGGGTTAGTGTTTTATGCAGGGTTACATTTGTTTGGGTTAGTGTTTTATACAAGGTTACATTTGTTTGGGTTAGTGTTTTATGTGGGTTACATTTGTTTGGGTTAGTGTTTTATGTGGGTTACATTTGTTTGGGTTAGTGTTTTATGCAGGGTTATATTTGTTTGGGTTAGTGTTTTATGTGGGTTACATTTGTTTGGGTTAATGTTTTATGCAGGGTTACATTTGTTTGGGTTAATGTTTTATGCAAGGTTACATTTGTTTGGGTTAGTGTTTTATGCAAGGTTACATTTGTTTGGGTTAGTGTTTTATGTGGGTTACATTTGTTTGGGTTAATGTTTTATACAAGGTTACATTTGTTTGGGTTAGTGTTTTATGCAGGGTTACATTTGTTTGGGTTAGCTTGAGTAGTCTGGGTTAACAATACAGCTTGAAAAAGCCAATCCAAATAGCCATTATTCTGTAAATAAATTATTTCGACTACTTGAATAAATGGCTAACTCTCTAATACAGTGTTTCCTTATTCTGAATCAAATTTTTGTTTTTAGCAAATGTGACATATTCCATGGACCAAATGTCAGATGAAGAGGATGAAGTTCCTCAGGTGAGTATTTACACTTTCTCATCAATAAAAATTAAACACCATACTAAAATCTCATTTGGTACTTAAACCGAACATATTTTATAATTTCAGCCCAGTAGAGGTCGGGGTAATGGCATAACAGCTTCCCAGCTAGCTGCAGCTATACAAGCTGCCACAGCTTCTGCTACTGCATCTCAGCTTCCATCATCATCAGCAGCCACAGCTTCCAACTCTCAAACTGTGAGTAGTTTTAGATAAGTGTATGATGATCATTTTCATTGTTATCATTTTGCCTGGCTGCTCCACTTGTTGCTTAACTGGAAAGTTTTGTATGTGAGAAGTAAACTACAATGATAAATTGCATATCAGATGTGAACCATGTTGACACTTGTCACTAAATATGCATTTCTTGATTACTGTCGCTGACTTAAACTTCACCACTAACATAAATCAGCTGTAATAGATTTGTTTATTTCTAGTCAATCACCAGTGATTTCTTTCAACAAGCCATGGCCCATGCTCAGACAGCTTCTTCTGATGTAAGTTTCACTAATATTTGTAGTGGTTTAATTTTTCACATTAATCAAAGTATATTTCTCACTAATTTGATTGTATCCTTATCCAATCAATAAAAACTAGATCCTTCACAATTTACACTCAACATCAGATCAATTTAATATCTTTTTGTAAATAATTGCTTACTCTTGGACATTTTTAATTTGATCAGGCAGCTTTACAGCAGCTAAGGGACATGGGAATCTCAGATGAAAATGTGGCGCGGCAGGCACTTGCAGCTACAGGCGGAGACATCCAGGCAGCCATTGATCTGATCTTTGGAGATGGCTTTATGTAACCTGGTGTTTTCTTAGACTTGTGCTTGTCTCAACTGTCAGATGTCATGTGCTGGCCTTAGCTGACAGATGTCATGTGCTGGTCTTAGCTGACAGATGTCATGTTCTGCACTTAGCTGTCAAGATGTATAAACCATCAGATGTCATTAGTTTAGTGCTCATTTAATTTGTTAAAGGATATACATTTGTACTGGTCTCTGTGTATTACAGCTAAGTTTTTAAACTCATGACTAGAAGGCCAAATTAAATATTTAAGTTCCACATTTTTTTCTGTCTTGTACAAAAGAGTTTTTTATGTCAGAATGTTGTTTATAGATTGCTCAGGCAAAATTTGTGAATTTGACACTATCACCAGCATCAGCAAAATGGTATCACAGCTAGTCCTTTATTGATTCAAACATTTTATCTGTAAACACTTGTAAAAAGATTTTTCCCCATAGAAATTAAACTACCAAAACTGCTTGTAACTCTTCAGCTTTTAAGTCACATGCATACAAATTCAAGTACTATTTATGTTGCCACTGCCATATAATAAAAGTATGTGAGTGTGTCTATTACCCACATTTTCTCTGTTCACAGTATCTGAATTGTCATTTATTAAGTGTTTTGCTCTAATATGAATTTTGAATTTCCTCTGCTGCGCCATCAGTAAAAAAGTATTTATAGTGTTAAAACTTATTGCCACTGTTTTTATAGAAAGTTTCTCGTTGTTTAGAGGATAATTCTATGTATTATTTGAAAAACATAGTCCTAAAATGATTTAAGGGATGATGTTTATAGCATAGCAATATTCAGGGCATTATATGAACAACAGAACAACAGTTTATCTGAAAGATTGAATTAGGGTAAAAGTACATTGGGTGGTATTGACATGAGTAAACATTTTTTTTTTGTTGGTTTCTTTTTACTTTTACCATGTCTTAAATTGAATAAAATGAGGTTGCCTTAAGTCTGTTTTTCTTTTTCTTACTTACGTGTGCTGTGCTAATATTTGTTACCATCTGTTAGTCTGTTATAAGTTGTTTCTATGGAATATTTTTTAGAATAAGTTGTGTGAGGGTTTAATGTAACTAGTTTTAATGTATGTTTACTACATTAATTGTAATTTTAGAGCTTCATGTAACAGATGTAGTGAGCTGATAAAGGGTGTTTCTATTTTTATATTCAATTTAGTTATGACAATAAAGCCAGTAAATTAGGCTCATTTTATGCAGGTGATTGTTTTCCCAATTTGATTTGTTCAGTGAAATGAAGCAACACTGAAGAAATATAACATCACATGGATGGGAAGGTGTGGTTCACAAAACCATTTTTACCATTAAAGTTCTCTAGCTTACCTCTATATTTATACAGCTGCCTTTAGGTTTAGCCTGAAAATAGATCTTTGTGTGGTTAATAAAACATCAAAAAATTTTAATTAGCGTCACTGTGCTGTTGAGAGCTCGATTTGTTTATGAATTGCTGTGGGTTAATGAAAAAGTTCATTCAGGCGTTTCTTCTTCTTCGTTCTTAATTTTTAGTGTTGGAAGAGATCGAGCCTTATCTGCCAGAGGGTTCGAACTCAAGACTTTTTCGAATTTATCAACCCTGAGCTTTAGCCGACATCACAATCAAGGATACGTGTCAACTGGTTATGCGCCATTGACGCCATCGACTCCGATTTCAGCCTGCTTTTCTGCTTTTTTAGATTTGCTTCCATAGCCTTTGTCCAACCCAGAACAGACAGTTGTTTGATTTTAGCCTCATCTGCCCGAGGGTTCGAACTCGAGACTTTTCGGTTTAAAACAGCATCCAAGAACTTTACCGACTCGATCACGCCGAGGCTATGGTGATGGTTGAGGTGGAAACTGTGTTGTTGGTGGATTGGACAAGATGATTACGTTTATGCCAAAAGTGGTCATACGATTTATTAATATGATGCCAATAATATGTTGGATAATGTTTTTAAAATAAACACGTCACGTAATAAACCCGCACAGTAAGCGGAGTTTCTTCCAGGCATCTATTCGGGGGGGGGGGGGGGGGGGGGGGGGAGCGTGGTGGATGGGAGAGACCTCAATCGGAAATTTCCAGTGACTAAAATAGCAAAGGGAAAATATTCTAAAACGTAATCGTAAGCTTCAACATTATGATTTGTGTTCTAGGAAATTAAGATAGTGTTGGTACTGTAATACATTTTCGTTTTGTGAATCGTATTGATAGAGTTGACCGAGGTATTTGCCAGTATAGTGATTGTTAAAATTTGGAATAATTATTATAAATTATTACTAATCAACTGTATTAGTGTATCTGCATCGAAGTCTGAACCCAAGGTTTGTTTTTTTCAAAGTTGTTTTTAATTTTTTAGGCCTAGAGATCAGAGACTAGACTAGACTCACTAGAGTACTAGAGTGTAGAGTTAGAGAATAGAGAAGTGACATTCTGATTCTAGATCTAGTCAATCTAGAATCTAGATCTAGAAAATCTAGATCTAGTGTCAAGCAGATTGTGTTATCTAGATCTAGAATCTAGATTCTAGATACTAAAAAAAATATTCATAAAAAACGTTTTAATAACAAGCTTTTATGTAATAAATAATGCACTAAAAAGTAGAAAATAAATTATAGACTACTATTACTATTTATTACTATTTAAATTACTGTATAAAGAAAAGCGTGGGTCACTTTAGTATCTATTGGATACCTTTACTAATGTTAAGGAAGACACCCACGCTTTTCTTTATAGTTATTTAAATAGTAGTCTATAATTTATTTTCTACTTTTTAGTGCATTATTACATAAAAGCTTGTTATTAAAACGTTTTTTATGAATTTTTTTTCAGTACTTTACATGTTTTATTTACAACAGAGTTACATGACTAAAAACCATTGCGTGCCTACTGAACATGATGGCGCAGCCATTGAACGTGATGGCGCAGGCTATTGAACGTGATGACGCGTGTGGTGTGGTTGGATAGACATGCCTACTAATTCGGTCCAAATTTTAATTAATTCATAAAAAATTAATTAGGCATCCAATTAAGTCAAATTTAATTTCAGATTGCATTGTCTTCATGTCTTGACCCACGTGCCAAATGTGAATGGTATCGATCAAGTAGAAGTGTCCGAATTTTCACTCCAGCGTTTTGATCTAGACAGACAGACTGACGACTGACGACAGAGGAAGCGAGTTAAATAAAAGCTTGTAAAAACTGAAACATTAGCAGAGTTTCTTCCAGGCATCTCTTCGGGCTTTGGGGGGGGGGGGGGGGGGGGGCAAGGAAAGAAAGTTTCCCCCCCCCCCCCCCCCCCCCCCCCCCAAATGGAATTATGGAATTTATATAATATATAGTATTATATAGATCTAGACCTAGAAAATATTCTGGATGATATTTACTATTATTTAGAATCGACCCTTTGAATCCCGGACAGTGGGAATCTAAATCCATAATGAATTCATTTCAAGAAATAACCTCTAGAAAATCTATCCTCTGGCTCTGAACTGCACCATACTGTCATTTTTTACTGACATTGTCAGATTCATTATCATTATGTGCAGGTAGCCAGCAAACTGCCACATAGAAAAAAGATCAAATATTCAATAGGCCTACTTAAACTAAATACAGATCTACATTGGTAGACTATGAAATTAATTTTTAAAAATTTATGACTATGGGCTAAAAAAATTAAAAAGTGATCTCTAGTGGTAGGCATTATGATCCAGGTAGGCAAGGGCTTTAAAATTGAATCATTGACTGTAGATAAAGTCATTGGTGTGTTGGGTATCGTCATCAGTATATATTCTACACTGTAGATGTAGCTTATTTTGCCATCTACCTCATACTTAACAAAGGTAGAATGTAACTGTTGTTTTACTTTTAATTTTACTGTTAATTTATACTGTTTCAAGCAAACACAAAAATTGGGAGGGGGCGGGGACTATTGGAGGTGGTTGGCAAGTCCAATCTAGAATTGTAGGCCTATTTAAAAAAAAACTGTGTGATTTATCGTTGTATTTTTAATTACCATGTTTAAAAAAACATAAATTTTTCTCTCTACAGTTAACCAAGTAAAATGGATGAAAACACCAGAGAATTGCGAGTGTTTGACCTTCCCCCCGATGTTACAGAAGATCAGTTAATGACTATATTTAGAAATAAAAGAGGACAAGGAGGAGGCCCTATTGAGAAAATAATCTTGGAAAACAAAACAAATTCTGCTATCATCACTTTTAAAGATGCTGAAGGTTAATTTTTTTTTTACATTTAATTTTAAAAAATGTTTGAATCATGGAAATAAGAAAAATACTTAATAACAAGTAGAGACAAACACCCAAATATTTCCAATTTTCTAGAAAATTTATAATTTTTATTAACAGATTTAATAAAATTTGTTTTTTTTTAAATTAAATGAATTTATAAGAATCTTAGATACATATTTTTATGTCAAAATTCTTATTTATATTTTTCTCTATACTTATAAAACACAAGAAATTTAATTAATCTAATTATATGATTACTGAAGCATTAATTTTTTTTTTTAATAGCTGTTGATTTAATCATGGGCAGACCGTCACAAGTGGTGAATATTTTAGGCAAAGATTCAAGAGTTGAAAGATTTTTTAAAGCCCCAGAAACTCCAGTCAACAAACCCTGTGCAGAGGTTCATAAAAAGAAAAAGTCAAAACCTAAACCACCCCAACAACAAACTAAACCTAGTGATGAACCAAAGCCACAAGAAGAAAGGCAAACTGATTTCTGTGAAAACACAGTGAAAATGTTTGTTCTAGACATTACTAAAACAAAAGACTTTTATTTGCTTTATCTGGAAGATGAAAGTATCAATTCAGGGCCTTTTATTGAAGAGAGCTTATTGTTAGATGGTCATAACAAATCTGTTTATGTGACATTCCACCATAAGAAAGGTAAGATAGCTAGAAACTGAACAATATATTTTTTCAGAGAGATGTATAAATATATTGTTATAGATGTTATATTTATAGAATTTGTTGTCATTTTACTGATGTACATGCTGTAATTATAGTGCCTAATGTTTGCTTTTATTCAGTAACAATGTTCTATTAGGAAGATTTTTCTACTAATTGGCACAAGAGCAGGTGAAGCTTTGGAAAAAAGTTGTGTATGGGATGGGTTAAACCAAGATGACAATTTCAATACACCATTTACACATTTTATTTTAAAAGGGAAAATACATTTACGATTCTTATCTGAAATTTTTTTATGGTCAGTTTTTTTTATAAAAGTATATTTTTCAGATGCTGAGAAATTTTGCTCAGTAAAACACAAACCAAAGGACAGCAACATTCAAAAAGTCCAACTAGCTGAACCAGCAGATTTTAATACCTACAACAACCTTTTGTATATAAGGGGAGTAAATGATGACTTTGATGTGAAGAGATTGAGAGCTTTGATCTCAGAGGCCTGTGCTATGGAAGTGAATGATGTCATCCAACAACAGGATACTAGGGCAGCCATCTTTGTTTTTGATTCAGAAGAGTGTACAGGTACATGACTATCCATTTAACATATCATTGTTATGGTGATGATTACTTACCAAGTTATCACTTAAAACATACAATTTATAGTGATGGCTGTTGTTATTTTAATATTACATTTAAAAGTATAGCTTCTTATTCTATCAATATTTAGATCTATATTCTTTAAAAGAATATTTTCATTTCCAAATGTATTTAAATTAAAAAGCAAATTGTAATCATGAAGAACTTTACCTTGTAGTCTATTAGACATTATGGTGATAACACTTTTTTGTGACGTGGGCAGGTAAATTGTACAGGTGAATACTTATCCTAATTATTTCAATAAAACTGATAGGCTCTTAAAAACTGAAGTTGCCAGTTGCTAATAATGGATGATGCTAATGGCTCCCAATTTTCTTTATCTGTAACAAAGTATGAATAGTCCTATACAGGGTATAGTCAAGGTAGACAAAAGACAGTTTCCATTCATGTAAGCTTAACCCACCTGAACTAGTGAATTCTACAGCATTACTAGCAGCTATTTTTTTTTCTTGGTATCAGACATATCAGAGCTGACATGGCAGTGCAGCAGACTGCTAGAGGAGCCATATATAACTGGACCAGTCTTCCAGGAGTTCTGTGTCTTGGTGTCAGATCTAAAACCTGAAACTGCCCCAGATCTCTTAAGGAGATATATGTCAAATAAGAATCGTAGTGGAGGGGGCTCTGTCAAGTCAGTCCACAAACTAAACCCTTCAAAGGCTATTGTTGCGTTTATTGAAGAAATTGGTAAATATTTTTTTTGAAATTGTTTTTATTTATTTTATTTATTGTTTCTTCAATCAATTATTATTAGAATCAAATATTTTACATATTATATTATTACAAATGTTATGTTAATTGTTAATGCCTACGTGTAGAGGGGATGGAAGCATGCGTTGTTACTGAAATAGCAATATAAAATGAAAGGGATATTTCAATGCCAAGGGTAGACAAAGGTACAGAATATAGTCTTAGACAGAGCAGTTTTAAACTAAATGGGATCCGAACCTTCCAGTCCACGTGGCACCAAATCGTCTTCCACGTCTTCCGTGTACAAGCTGTGATTTTGTAGAGCTGATTTGCAGAAGTGTTTACACATCTGACTTGATGCAAGAAAGGCGAGGCAATTAGGTTAATTGCTTTTGTTAATGCCTGTGCATATTTTTTTCAGACTATGAATGTGTACTCTCCAAAACTGATCATTCACTAGAAGGATGTGCTATTTCTGTTCAGCAATATTACCCATGTCTCAACAAAGAAGAAATTCAGCCCCAAAAAAATCAGCCTAATAAACCCACTGCAATAGCTCATCCACTCCAGTCCATACCATCAAGGGTACATCACTCTGGAATACAAAAATATATGACAGAAAACCTGTCAGGTCAAGAGGTTCAACTTGTGACTTTTAAAAATGTTAAAAATATTAAAAAATCTTATTGTGGAATCCTGGATCTAATTTTTGAGGCTCTTCAATTTCTAAAAAAGTACCAAGACAGGATGGAGCAAGTTGCAAGAGACTCACATTGTAAAATGGAGCTAAAGCCTTTCAAGAATAGGACCCAGCTTATGCTCTGGCTAGATTGGCCAAACAAAATTACAGCCCAGGAAGTTAAACAAAAATTAGAACAGGCTATTGGGGTAATGGTAAATTTCCTCAGCAAGTTTAGAGCTGTTACTTTTAAAATTCCACAAGACAAGATTCAAGATTTTCAGAACTTTTTCAGACATCCAGAAACATCACATTACAATATATATTTTCATCATGTTTCTTTTGTTGCCCTCATTATTGGAGAGGACACAGTTAGCAACCTCATCGCTTTGGTGAATGAAAATTATTCCCAATTTTTATCTCAACCCATGAATCTTGGTGCCATAAATTATGCCAGCCCGCAATCAGCACATCAAAGTGACCATGAACTACCATATGCAAATAAAAACAAACCTACAGAAATTCCTAAAGAAACTTTGCCAGACAAGGAATTGACTGAAGTCAAAGACATGCCATTCAAAAGAGATGAGTTCATTTTGATAAAAAAAAGCAATTTCTTTTTGCCCACGAGAGAAAAATATCCAAATCTAAAAATTGAGTATGATGAAAAAGAATTTAAAGTTTTTTTTAAAGGTCGAGATAAGACTGATGTTATCAGTGCTTGCTATGAGTCATTGAAGAAATGTCAAGATGATTTGGCAAAAGTGAAACTAGAAAACTTTTCAGCTGAACAAAATCTTCTTCTTCAGAAAGCAACATTTCTTGAAAAAGTGAACTCTTCACTTCATGAAGGACACCTATACTTTTCACCTGATGGTGTCCTGACCCTCCAGTACATAAACACAGCAGACAAAGACAAAATGATTGAACAGATCAAGTCCCAAGTTGATGTAAGAAAAATAAAAGTAAACAAAGACTTGGTCCTGGTGCTTAAATCTCAACTTGGGGCAAATTTTTTGTCTGGTTTGTGTGATCAAATTGATGGTGTCCAAATGACAGCTTGCATACAGCTAGACCAGGCAGAAGAGAACCTAGTCATTATTTCACCACAGGACCAGCAATACAAACTCCACAAAGAAGTTGAAGAATTCCTCAAGAAAAACCAGCCAGACAGAAAAGAAATTGCTTTTTCCTATGGCAAACAACAGATGTTGAAAAGGTTCATGCAGAATAATCTTGACCAGATTTTCAATGACAAAACTGCTAAAGTAGAAAAACTTGCTGACAGATTTATTGTCACAGGCCTCAAGGACAGTGTCAACAAACTTAATGAACAGCTGCAACTGCTCAGGTCTGTTTTTTTTTTTTCAATTTAGTTACTTTGGCAACACATTGTAATAATTAATGTCTTTAGTGGGAAAACAAAAATTCTTTTTCTTATTTATTACAGCGAAAAAATTACTTTTCAAGAAATACAGGTAAAGTATTTTGGGATTCAAGAGTTTCTTGAAAATGCAGATGGTAAATCTTTAGTGAAAAAGGTTGAAGATCAGAACCAATGTGTCATTTTGATAAAATCAGAGGATGTGAAGGCAGCTTTTGGTTCTCCCAAAACAGAAACAAAACAAGTTGAACCTTCTGTCATAGCCAGGGCAGAGGTGAACAATGTTGAGCTAGTTTTCTTGCAAGGGGACATAACTACCATTAAAGCAGATGTAATTGTCAATCCGTTGGATTCTTCTCTAGCAACATCAAGTGCACTGAGCAGATCACTTATCTCTAGAGGTCAGTGGTTTGGATTCTTATCTTGTTACTTCAAACCAGTTTTTGACTTCTATTTGTGAATAATTTACTCTATAAGCATTATTAAATATTTGTTTAATTTGTTTTCTAGGTGGAGCTGATGTGTTCAAAGATCTTACACAATCAAGAAAGATGTCACTGGGTACAGTTATTCCAACTACAGGTGGTCAGATCCCCAACCTGAAGGCTATTTTCAATGTTGTCTGTCCAGTCTCCACTGATGATGATGAAGATGTGGACAAACTTCGCTTAGCCGTGGCCAACTGTCTGATGGAATGCAAGAAACAAAATTTTAATTCCATTGCTCTACCAGTTGTTGGAACAGGGCGTAAGTTCAGAGAAATTTTTTTAAAATTGTATCTTAATTGTATCTTTTTTTTAAAATTTATTTTTTATACAAAGAGCCAAATTACTGCGTCACGGAAAATAAATGTCAGCCCATTCTTTGGGAAAAATTGCATCTTACTAAAAAAAAAAGTGCAGTAAATCTATAACTAAATACTTTTCAAATTCTAGTGAAACTAAAAATTACAAGTGCACAAACCAAATAATAGCTGTGTGCTTTTAATAGAAATTTAATCTCATATAAAATAATTTCAGTATATCAGATTTGCATGAAGTTTTATTTGTTTCTTCTTTATATTTAAAATAAAGGCGGTTACAAATTTTAATGGCTTATATTCAAAGATATTAGACTGTGTAAAACATTTGCTCTGATTTTGTCAACAGAAATATTAAACTTTCCTGTTCTTTCTGCCTGTGTTCGCATGATGGATGCACTGTACAACTATCTGAATGGAAGTCCAACCCTGACACACATTTACTTGTGTGACATTCAGCCAAATCATGTTGAAGAGTTGATGGACAGGTTTAAAGCCAAGTTTGACCAGTGCCCTTTACAGCATGTTTCTAAACTAGGTAAGCATGCATCTAATCTCTAGTCATTTGTTATTTCTTTTAATAAAGTGACAAGAGTTAATATTTTATCAATTTTGTCTCATTTAGCACCTCTTCCAAAATTTTCTTTGGGCTCTTATCAAGAAACAAGCTACAGGAAACAGGCACCTGAGGCACCAAAACACTTTAAAAAACAAGAGTCTGTGTTAAACCTAAAGAACATCAAAGTGAATTTTGTCACTGGAGAAATAAACAAGCAACAGGTAAACTGATTCATTCTAAAAGAAATGGGCAAGAGTAAATAACATTGAAACAATGACCAAACCTCCAGATAGTAACAGTAGGGGCAAAATGGTTGTGGGGTTGTTTATCTGAAAGGCTGATTTCACTCTTGGTCTATAGCTCATCCCAGGGTACACCCAATTATGATTTCAATTTAGGGAAAATAATGGTGGTTGGGAAAAGAACTGACCATACTATATCTTCATAAGTTAAAAGTCACATAAACAAGTGCCCCATTGCTTTTTGTAATACTGAAAGTGTAATTTTTTAACATATATTTGAAAAAAAAAAGTTATTAAACACTCCCTTTAAGACCAGATGGTCAGTAAGGCAGAGGATATAGAGTTCATATGTTTCTGTCACTATGTCAGTTCTAAGCTCAACTTTCCTTCATATGTGTCAGGCACCATTTAGAGCTGAGTGGACTCAAAGACATCCTAGTCTCTCTCAGCACTTCAAACTCGAGCCATTCAGATCTGTGTCTCATTCTTACTACCAAACATTTTATTGGGCTATACATTTTGTATAATTGTAACTACCTTGATTTTCAAGGACCATTTTTAATATTAATTCAATTTTTTAAAATTATAGACAGATGTTATTGTAGTAACTGTAGACAGACATTTAGATTTGAGCAAGGGGAGACTAGCAAAAACTATTCTGGAAGAAGGAGGGCCATCAATTCAACAGGAACTACAGTCAAAGTAAAAATCAGTTTAATCTCTATTTTCTTTTACTAAAATTTTGATCAGAATCCATTGTGAGATGTAGTACTATAAATTATATAAGATTAGATTTATTTATAAATAACTGTTACAGTGCGATTATTATTACCACCACATAGCCAGTAGCAATGACAGAAATAAATCATCACATACTCTCATGCTATAGCATAACTTCCTAAAAAGGCTGGAATAGTTTTAGTTTAAAAAAATTATGTTACCCCATTTCTTTGTTTAGTAGACTATTTGTGTCTCGTGAAAATATTTTAAAATTATTTTATGGCCTAGTTATCCTGATGGCATCAAGTTTAATGATTTTGCTGAGTCTTCTGGTGTCGTGTGAAAATATTTTAAAATTAATATTTTATGGCCTAGTTATCCTGATGGCATCAAGTTTAATGATTTTGCTGAGTCTTCTGGTGTCATTTGAAAATATTTTAAAATTAATATTTTATGGCCTAGTTATCCTGATGGCATCAAGTTTAATGATTTTGCTGAGTCTTCTGGTGTCGTGTGAAAATATTTTAAAATTAATATTTTATGGCCTAGTTATCCTGATGGCATCAAGTTTAATGATTTTGCTGAGTCTTCTGGTGTCACGTGAAAATGTTTTAAAATTAATATTTTATGGCCTAGTTATCCTGATGGCATCAAGTTTAATGATTTTGCTGAGTCTTCTGGTGTCACGTGAAAATGTTTTAAAATTAATATTTTATGGCCTAGTTATCCTGATGGCATCAAGTTTAATGATTTTGCTGAGTCTTCTGGTGTCATGTGAAAATATTTTAAAATTAATATTTTATGGCCTAGTTATCCTGATGGCATCAAGTTTAATGATTTTGCTGAGTCTTCTGGTGTCATGTGAAAATATTTTAAAATTAATATTTTATGGCCTAGTTATCCTGATGGCATCAAGTTTAATGATTTTGCTGTCTTCTGGTGTCACATGAAAATATTTTAAGATTAATATTTTAATTTTATGGCCTAGTTATCCTGATGGCATCAAGTTTAATGATTTTGCTAAGTGTTCTGGTGTCATGTGAAAATATTTTTAAATTAATATTTTATGGCCTAGTTATCCTGATGGCATCAAGTTTAATGATTTTGCTAAGTCTTCTGGTGTCATGTGAAAATATTTTAAAATTAATATTTTATGGCCTAGTTATCCTGATGGCATCAAGTTTAATGATTTTGCTGAGTCTTCTGGTGTCATGTGAAAATGTTTTAAAATTAATATTTTATGGCCTAGTTATCCTGATGGCATCAAGTTTAATGATTTTGCTGAGTCTTCTGGTGTCATGTGAAAATATTTTAAAATTAATATTTTATGGCCTAGTTATCCTGATGGCATCAAGTTTAATGATTTTGCTGAGTCTTCTGGTGTCGTGTGAAAATATTTTAAAATTAATATTTTATGGCCTAGTTATCCTGATGGCATCAAGTTTAATGATTTTGCTGAGTCTTCTGGTGTCGTGTGAAAATATTTTAAAATTAATATTTTATGGCCTAGTTATCCTGATGGCATCAAGTTTAATGATTTTGCTGAGTCTTCTGGTGTCACGTGAAAATATTTTAAAATTAATATTTTATGGCCTAGTTATCCTGATGGCATCAAGTTTAATGATTTTGCTGAGTCTTCTGGTGTCGTGTGAAAATATTTTAAAATTAATATTTTATGGCCTAGTTATCCTGATGACATCAAATTTAATGATTTTGCTGAGTCTTCTGGTGTCACGTGAAAATATTTTAAAATTAATATTTTATGGCCTAGTTATCCTGATGGCATCAAGTTTAATGATTTTGCTGAGTCTTCTGGTGTCGTGTGAAAATATTTTAAAATTAATATTTTATGGCCTAGTTATCCTGATGGCATCAAGTTTAATGATTTTGCTGAGTCTTCTGGTGTCACGTGAAAATATTTTAAAATTAATATTTTATGGCCTAGTTATCCTGATGGCATCAAGTTTAATGATTTTGCTGAGTCTTCTGGTGTCACGTGAAAATATTTTAAAATTAATATTTTATGGCCTAGTTATCCTGATGGCATCAAGTTTAATGATTTTGCTGAGTCTTCTGGTGTCGTGTGAAAATATTTTAAAATTAATATTTTATGGCCTAGTTATCCTGATGGCATCAAGTTTAATGATTTTGCTGAGTCTTCTGGTGTCACGTGAAAATGTTTTAAAATTAATATTTTATGGCCTAGTTATCCTGATGGCATCAAGTTTAATGATTTTGCTGAGTCTTCTGGTGTCATGTGAAAATATTTTAAAATTAATATTTTATGGCCTAGTTATCCTGATGGCATCAAGTTTAATGATTTGCTGTCTTCTGGTGTCACGTGAAAATGTTTTAAAATTAATATTTTATGGCCTAGTTATCCTGATGGCATCAAGTTTAATGATTTTGCTGAGTCTTCTGGTGGCAACTTGAGGTGTGGAAACATTTTTCATGCTGCCCTGTCCAGATTTAAAGGAAACAATAAAGAGGTAAGAATTTAACTCTCTGATCATAGATAAATGTATTTAAGTTAAATCTTTAAATCATTTCTGCTTGACTAGATTCATAATGTATAAACTTTATCCTACCCCTGACCACTTAACTATCTCTTATAAGCATTAATAGATAGTTAGGCATAGATAGTTAGGCATAGATAGATAGTTAGGCATAGATAGATAGTTAGGCATAGATAGATAGTTAGGCATAGATAGTTAGGCATAAATAGTTAGGCATAGATAGATAGTTAGGCATAGATAGATAGTTAGGCATAGATAGATAGGCATAGATAGATAGATAAGCTTAAAGTCATTGGAAAATCTTCCCTTACCATTTCTAACAAGAAGGACAAAACATGTTTCACCAGGAGCTAGCTTCATATTACTAAACAGCTGTTACTGTATTTATAGGGTAATCCCATTGATATATAAATACATTTTAGTTGGAGGCTCTGGTTGTAAAATTATTGGAGGGAGCAGAAAAAATACAAGCCAGTTCTATTTCAATTCCTGCCCTTGGCACTGGAAACTTGGGATATCCAGCTGGTGAGTTATCCTTTTCTACACTTTTTAAAAAACTTTTTAATTGCAAGAGCCTATAGACTATAGAGTGTTTAAAGAAAATTTTTTAGTCAATCGTTAAAAGCAATATTGTAGGTAAAGATCATTTTTTGAACCTGATGGTCCATGGGGCAAGCAAAGTAGAGTTCATGTTTCTATGACCTTGGCATATAAAGAGATTATGTGGTCAGCACTATGCCCAGCTGGCTGTCTGTACTTTTCTAACATGGATTAGGTACCCATCAGAGCTAGGTGTACTCAGAGATGTTCTACTGACTTGAACAATATTTGCACAAATTTGTATTTTTACCACAAAGTAGCATCTGATTACAATGCACCTACTAAGCTACTGAGCTAAATTTATTAATAAAACTTAAGTTTAGCTTCTCTAAAAAAACAATTTACAATGCTTTAAACTATATTACTAAAATTATAATTAACTAGTTTGTTTCCTAAGAATGAAAATGTTTTCTGGTTTTGTTCTATAACTTGTTATAAATTTCCAGATTTGTCTGCATCTGTGATTTCTGAAGCTATCAGGAAGTTTTCTAAAACATCAGCATCCTCTCTTAAACAAATAAATATAGTTGTATACCCAAGAGACCAAGAAGTTGTCAAGGTAAACTTTTGAGACTCTCTTATACAAAAGATTAGTTTATTTTAATCTAAGATTATAAAAAAAAGTTAACTAACAATTCATTTTTTTAGTTTCGAATTCATATTTTTACACAATGTAGATAATGTTTTAAAAAAAATATTCTGTGGATACAAATACTATCTAATTTCTAAGCTGGGCTTATACAAATACATGATCCCAAGGTTAAATTTAGCATGGCAAAAAACCATTACTACATCAGCTTAAAATAAATGCATCAGTCCATGAAACTGATTTGCTTACATTTATTTCCTAAATGAATTTTTCAGATTAAATGCACCAACACAAAAACCTCTCTGCCAAAGTATTTTCTATTTTGTTTAAACTTTTCTCTACAGGTATTCCGTTCTGTTTTAGAAGGAAAAGAAGATGAGCAAGGTATAAATTAATGTTTATTTATAAAATTAATATTTATTTATAAAATTAATTTTGTTTATTTATAGACGTGCCAAATTTCATGTTTTGATTGCTTTTTTAAAAATTATTTCTTTACCAAGACCCTTGCTAAAATAATGTTTGTTAATTATTTTTTAGGGGCTTCATTTTCAACCTTTCATAAAGCTGCTTTCAGATCTGATCATTTTGGCAGAGGTAAAATTAGAATAGAGTTAAAGACATCTGCTGGTAGCCGCATAACTGTTTGAAGTTGAGAGTTATCCACTTAGTATATATTGCTGTTTTTATTAACTTGCTTTTATACGACGTGTGTTTTTGATATTGTATTCCTCAGAATATATTTGAAGTAAATATTGTAAACATTTTAAATTTTAGACGAGAGCAAGAACATAAAAAAATATGGAGCAGTCACTTTGGTAATTAAGAAAGGTGACATAACTCAAGCGAAATGTGAAGGAATAGTCAATGGCATAAAGGACTCAATGGATCTAACAAATTCAGGTAATTGTTTTATAATAGATTAGTTGTGCGCAAACAGTCATCTGATATAAGATGATCTCTGTGTTTAATAAAACTAGCCTACAAAGAGACAAAAAATGTTCTCACTACCAACTTTAATCCCCAGGCCAAGTGTGTAAGGCTCTGCTCAAGTTGTGTGGCCAGACGCTGCAGGATGAATGCTCTAATAAACGTGAGTAAAATTTGTGGTAGGGTGGTGACGGTCAGCTTTTGCTGCACTATTTATTGGTCATAAGAGGGTAGCTATAGTCTACCTCCCCTTACCTCAAATGTGTTTGTTTATTCTAATGCAAGTCACTGCTTTATATTTTATCATTGATAGTTTTTTAAGGTCTTTTATTTTTCTATATTATTTTATTATTTTAGACTGTGTAGTTTGTTTTCTTTTCCACATTTCTCACCAAAACTGTCATTAAAATTGTGAATATTGTTACAGAAAGTGAGATGGCTAAAGATGGAGTAGTTTTAACCTCAGCCCCCAACATGTCCTGTCAGCACATCCTTCATGTCAGTCAGGACAAGTTTGCTAAACATTGGGATAAAGGAGTCACTGCAGTGCTGGCTGAAGCTGACAAGGCAGGATTAAAATCCCTGGCAATACCCGCACTTGGCGCAGGTCAGATAAAAAAAATGTCACATTTAGGTGAAAGATTTGTTATTTAAATCTTTTGCTGTTTTTTAATGCTGAATCTTATTGTAAAGTGTAATAAAAATCAGCTGCTTGATCCTCCTATAGTTCTTATTATCAGAATTTCTTGTTCCTTGATGTTCCCAAAAATAAATGATTCCTCTAGGCCTATATATTATCATTTATTTTAAACTTTTAACAAAAATATTAATCATTTATTGACAGGTACAAGAAATGCTAACATTCCCTTGTTAAAGAAAATGATTCTTGGTGCTATAAAAGATTTTAGCAAGAACTCACCAAGGTCATTGACACTAATCAACCTGGTCATTTATGACCAACATGTTTTGGATGAATTTCTTGAGCAAGCTCAGAGCAAACACTTGAGTCATAACACAGAAGGTAAAACATAACTATAGAAACAGACACAATACTTAACAATTGTAACAGTAGAGTCAAATTTTAAAAGTTATACAAAATTGATACATCCAAATTATTAAAAGCATTGTTCAAAGAATTAGAAGAGGATATATTAACTAAGTTATTCATTTAACTTTTTCATGTGTAATATATTATAGCTATCTGTGTCTATTTGTACCCTATACTTACTAGGTGAATTTTTCTTTCAAGGTTCAGGTACAACCACAAAGGTATCAGAGCAAGTCACTCTAAAATGTTATTCTAACCGTGCAACCCAAATAAGAATGGCTGAACAAAGCCTCTTGCAAGAGTGCAAAGCTGCATTCAAAGAGAACTCTGTCAGAGAGGAAAATGTGAAGAAACTGGACAAAAGTCAGGTCTCTACCATAATTTTTTATTCTTTTATTAAAACATTTTTAGGTTAAAACATTTTTTCTTATATAATAGTAATACTATCTAGCTTTCAAGATAATTAGTAAAGTTATTTCTGATGATTATGAAAGTGTTTATAGTAATTGAATTTTGTTGTAGATTGTAGTGTAAGGATGCAGTGCAGTGGGTGTGGTGAACTTGTAAATCTATGAATGCCTTTTTTCCTTCTGTGGATTGTTGTAATGTCACTTAAGGTATATGTTGAGAGGTTTCTTAGTTTGGGCATGGGACGGAGTGGCCTAGCGGTAGAGAGCTGTACTGCTAACCCGTAAGTCTCGAGTTCGAATCCGAGTTCAAGTCAGTAGACCATCCCTGAGTCCACCCAACTCTGATGGGTACCTAACTCCCATTAGGGAAAGTACAGGCGACTGGGCATAGTGCTGACCACACTATCTCTTCGTATTACGAGGTCACAGAAACAAGTGAACTCTACTTCACTTGCCCTATAGACCGTCAGGTTTGAAAAGGGAACTTTACTTATACTTAGTTTAGGCAGCTATTTTTATTTAATACTGGTAAAAGGAGACAGATTAAAGTAATTCTACTCTTCTAAGTAACTTGGCATTGTGTTATCAAACAAGGAATCTAAACAAAAAGTAATAGCAAAATTTGCCTAACAACTTAAAGTGCATTTAGCTTGACAGAAAGACTTGTACAAGTACACGAGTCAAACTTAGGCTCTTGTTAGTCATGGCCTTCTTATTAGGAACCAAGGCATGGATACCTAATGCAGAGCTCTAGACATGTAACAGTCACTTAGATGTTTGAGCAGACTTCTAAGGATTTTACATATGACAAATCAGGAGGTCAATGAAACAATCATCAATATGATTGGTTCTTTCAAAAATCTGATAAGCATTTTTGAGCCAGATGGTATGAATACATGACATTATCCAATGGCCTTTCAAATAATCCTGCAGTGCATGGTGCCAGTGGGGGGGGGGGGGGGGGGAAGAAAGCAAAAGACAAGAAGATGGCTGGGTGACATTAGAGAATGAACTGTGAACACATACTGAAATTGCATAGAACTGGCTCTATTTTTAAAAAATACTATTTGATAATTATTGTAATTGAATGTATTTTCAGATAGAGAAACTAAAGTCTGTGGGATATGAAAATCTTGTCCAGGTGTCTGTAAAACCGGAGGCTGGGATCATACTCATGCAGGGCTTTAAAGTGGATGGCATGCTCAAGGTACAGCAAGTTCTGCAGAATTTTCTTGTGAAAGCTGTAGATGAACATCATAAACAGCTCCACAGACATATGCCCTCAGCAATACAGTGGCAGTATGAGAAGGGGAGAAAGTGGACTGACTTTGAGCCAATGTAAGAATGTTTCTAAAATTGTTTAATTGGCATTTTCTGATCTATGTTCTTGTAACCATGTTTATGTAATGATGCAACCTTGTTTTTCTGACCATAAGAACTAGCTCTCCTGCCCTTGTTCATTTACCTTGTTGCTGTGTTGTCCCTGAGTCCACCCAGGGAGAGTTAAGGCAGCTGGGTGTAGTGCTGACTATACTATCCCTTCATATAGTCAATCACTGAAACAGGTGAACTCTACTTCACCTGCCTCATGGACTATGTTTAGTACAAGCTTTTATTTGCTTATTTGCAACATCTGACTTGTAAAGCTGAACAAATTGATTTCAGTCTTGAAAAGTAGGTTATGCTACAATGAAAATGCAATGTGACATACATTTTGACATGCACAGTAGTTATGATATTTTATTAAACTAATAAGCAACAAATAACACATTTTATCTATATACAAATAGTCATAATAACAAGCTTTTATCTATGCTAAAAGTAAAATGCCCCCAAAAAATCAGACTTCCTTGAAACATAATCCTAATATATAAAAGCCCATGTGTGCACTTCTCTCTCTCCGTCCGCAAAATATTTTTGCAGGATATCAAATCAGAATCTTCGGCGATATATGGAGAACTTGATAAGGACTTTTGTTGAAAATAATATGGTAGATGTTTTAAATGTATAAACACAATTTTATTTAAAGAAGAAAAATAAAAAATAAAGGCGTATTCGAATGTAGAAAAACAATTTTAATTATGCAACCGGAAAAGTGTTTATAGTTGGGACAAGAACGCATTTAACAATGACATCACTTAATGTTTACTTTAAGGAAAGAGCTTTTGTATCCATAGTCTGTCTATTGTTTAAAAGGAAACTATGCACCATAGCGCTCACAGGATAACCCAGAGCGCCAAATCAAACCAGCCGGGGCACCGCCGGTTTTAATATAGTGAACAATTATAATACTCTAAGTTTAACTGCAAATGGAAAGAAGTAAACATAGAGGACATTTAGGAGCTGGCTTCTTAACTGTTATTGATTAAAAATAATAATTAATAAACAGTACATTCAGAGTATAAAATAAATAAAAGGTGGTATTTTAAATACCCACCACATTGCACTTGATCAATACACACTAATTACGTAATTATTTTTTTTCCAGCACCAAAACAAAGTAATATAAAGAAAAGTTCAAACCACCCCCCCCCCCCCCCCCCCCGATGTAATGTTTTTTTATAATTTATGTTTTCCTAATTTATCAAGGGACGTGAGGAGTGCTAATGAACTAAATGTGAATCATTTTCAGACACCATTAGAATTTTTGTGAATGGTGATAATTTTTTTTTTAAATTTTGTTTGACAGACATGCCAACAATTATCACGATAAGTTTGAGAAATGAAAATTGTTTTACAACACCTTCAGTATTAATTTTTTATATTATGAATTTAAACGATGAGCAATGTAGAAGTATAACACTATGATGACGTAAAGTCTTATTTTTTCTTATATTCCTTTGTAATCCCCGGTCCTCCACATACAGAATTGAACTTTATATATTAGATAAATATAAATATATATATATATATATATATATATATATATATATATATATATATATATATATATATATATATATATATATATATATATATATATATATACAGACAGAGAGACAGAAAGTGAGACAGAGGGACATACAGACAGAGGGACAGACAGACAGATAGATAGCCAGACAGATAGATAGATTGAATAAAGAGGTTAAGAAAATAATCATGAAGTTTCCAAACTATTTTTCTTTGTTTATGAAAGCTATTATTTGTTAGCTATCTACTTTGAGAAAAAAAAAGAAGAACCTTTACAGAAGTGTGTATAATATTTGTGTTTTAGCTTAAATAGTGAGTTGGAGAGAAAGTACCAAAAGAAAGCAAGTCACCACGACATTACAGATGCCAAAGGACGCAAGTATCGGGTTGATTTGACTGCCATGAAAGAGTTTTATATTGATGATATTGATAACAGTGTAGATTCCAGACATGGTATAAACATTCGTAGGAAGGATAGGACCAAAGGTGAATAAATCTTCGGAATTAATTTTTCGTCCTTTTTATAGTCAACCTCCTATTGTAGCTAGACAGTCCATTCTACTAAAGATACACTATATATATATATATATATATATATATATATATATATATATATATATATATATATATATATATATATATATATATATATATATATATATATATAGGCTACATACATATAGTAGTTACACCAAGGTTTAGGTTTATGTACCTGATGTGGTACTAATTTCTTGATCACTAAATAATCTAGACCATTATACTGTAGTAACCTTATCAACAACAGTTGTAGGAGATGTATTCTAAGGTTATTTTTAGACTAGAATTTATTTTATGTGTGAGTTTATGTTAAGTTTTTTAAAAATAGGATAAATTTATCTCATTACTTTTGTTTTTTAATAATTATAGAGACAGAATTATCTATCAACTAAGATAGTATAAATGATCTAATATGATGTTAGCGTGTTTTGTTTTTATTATTGTTAACATATGTAACTAGATCTGTCAGAAATTTGATACTTTTAGAATCTGTGTAAATTAGCTATGATAATTCATTATATTGTATGGCTTTTTACTGACAAAAAAAATATGTTTACTTCCTGAGAAATCATATATATCTAACATTTATATTATGTAGCAGATTTATGTGTGTTGATTTATTTCAAATAAAATATATTGAATTCTTGATTCTGCTACAAGTAAAACAACTATCATTCTACTCCTAAAACAATTAATGGTTGATAATCCATAATCAATGGTTCTTATCTTATGAATTTGTCACTTAAATCTGGTAATTATTACTTAGATCTACCTCAATGTTTGCAACAACATCCTGGCTTGGATATCTATTTTATATTATAAATTAACATGTTTAGTTCCAAATTGTGCCATGGTTTTGTGAGGGTGGTAGATGTTTTAAAGGTGCTTTCAATATTGGCCAATATTTTAATGCATTTTTTTAACAGGGGGAGAGCCTTTACCTGAAAAATGGACTCCAATGGCAGATGATGAAAATGTGAAAATTGTACCTTTAAAACAAGGAAGCCAAGAATATACTAAAATACAGCAGTTCTTTTTACAAGGAGGAGCAAATGCTTCAATTAAAAAGGTAAATTTGAGAGCTTAATAATCTAGGTTTGTTTAAACTGTTTATTCATTAAAGTATTGTTTAAAGAAAATAACAGGTCACATGGTGAAGAGCCAATGTATTTAACACGGTTGCATTACTACAAAAACATGGCAACCTGTTGTTCTAAGACAATGTGCCCCATGCCTACTTATTATATAACTACTTACTATGTGGCTTTATTTTGTCCAACAGATTGAGCGCATCCAAAACAAGGCCCTATACCAGCAGTATTCTGTCAAGAAAAGAGAACTGGAACTGCACAATCCAAAAGGGCACAAAAATGAGCTCAGATTATTCCATGGCACCAGTGCAAATACTATCCAGATGATAATTAACAATGGTTTTAATAGAAGCTACTGTGGGGTCAATGGTAAGTTCATCTCTTGAGTTGGCCTTTTGAAAACTTACACAACTTACACGAAGCATAATTGTCAGATGACAAAATATGCATGAATAATCATATTTTTTCGTATTGAATCTGTATTCCTTGAGATAAAATTATATTTTTTTTTCTGTCAAGATTTTCAAAAAGCTTGACCATAAGTGTAACTTTCTCGTTTGTGCCCAAGACACATGGGGCAGATGAAGTGCATGTTTTAATGACCCTGTCATATAGGGGGATGGTGTGGTCATCTGCCTGTTTCCTTAATGTGGGTCATGTAACCATCAGAGATGGATGGACTAAGGGGCGTCGTACAGACTGGTGACCAGGATCCGAACTGTGACTTTTGGGTTAGCAGTTGAGGATTCTACCACTCAGTTACCCAGTCCCTATCTTTGGAATCACAGTGTTTAGACTTCTCGAATTCTCTTGTCAATCACCTCCTTTATTTTCAGCTACAAATACTAGCATGTTTCAGGAACTTCAAACTAAGCAACCAATAATTTCTTTCTATTTTAATTTAGCTGACAAGTTTTATGCAAATTTATTCTAACTTAACTACTAACATTTTTAAAATTACAGGTACAGCATATGGAAAAGGTGTTTACTTTGCAGTACAATCCTCATATTCTGTCAACTATGCTGCACCAGATGCTCAAGGAAATCGTCACATGTTTGTTGTTCGGGTTCTTGTTGGGGAGTCAACTCCAAGCAACTCTTCAATGAACTTCTTACCTAATAAACCTGGCACCACTAGGCCTTATGATTCTGGCAGTGCTAATGGAATCTATGTCATTTTTTATGACACACAGTGTTACCCTGAATATATGATCACCTTTTGATAACTGCCCAGCAAGTCAAATTTTGGATGAGATTACATTATCTTAATACCAGGTTTTGAGTTGAAGTAGGTTTACTAAAATTCTGTTGCTTGAATACCAGTTTTTTTTTCTTAAATAGCAGACAACAAATTATTACCAATCTGAATGCTTTGTGTTGTAACTAGAATTTTTTTTCTTAATTAGTGATGTATGCCATTGTACGATAAAACTGATAAAACTATTAAACAGGACACAAAAGCTTTTATTCCTTTGCATGCATTGTTTTAGTGCACACACAATGTAGAAATTCTATTTGAGATTTTAAAAGGCTGTGATGTTATCTTCTAACTAATAAATGCTGATATGTATTACATGGAGCGATGTTACTCCTGTAAGCCTCTGAGGTTTCATTATTCTGGCCCTGTTAGGCTTAAGCTAAATCATTATCTACAGTCTTAAACTAACCTATACTAAAAAACAAACTTTGACAAAACAATTTCTTTATTTCTTACTAAAACTGAGCACCGCCATTGAATTTTTGAGGGAAAAGAAATCTGGCTTCAAATGATATTTTTTTGTAATGTAAATTAAATTTGAATAATTCAATGTTTAAACTATTAAAATTATTGAATGCTGCTCATTTTTTGCATCATCTGTGTCCTATTAAAGAAATATTAAAATGTAATATTTTGTGAAAATGCATCAGCATAATAAATCAACTTAATTGACCAAACGTTAACCTTAAAAGTATTAAGGTGTTAGTGAATGAACTGTACTTTTAATCAAGTATTTAGCATGAAGTAAGATGGTTTAAAGAAGGGATTTTAAAAATACATAGAAAGAAAAACACAGGAAAAAAGAAAATCAGTGTTAGAAAATTACTGATTGTACACATTTTGCATTTGTGGTCAAGGGTGTTTAAAACAGTAGTGTTGCTAGGTCGGGTGTCACCCAGTCAGTGTTTCTTCCAGACTTTTTTCTCCGGGGGTGCACTTATAAATTGAATATATGCCGCATACGCGTACAAGTATGTGCATATGCATTAGTCACTGCAGCCGTAATAGTAATAATGTTTGTCTATAGTCTGTTAATAATACAGTTGGATGTAACATTGTTTTCTCTATATTTGTTGAATGATAAACATAAAATATAATATTTATCTCTTGATTTTTAATGTAATTATTGTTTCATTAACAATAAATTCGACCTTTTCTGACCTTATTGTTTTGCTTTATTATTTTGATGATTTTGATGTTTGTATAAAACAGTTTTATTTTTATTTTAGTGTAAGCCTAAGATATATAAATCTAATTATAGGGCTGCACTGTCATACGGCCCCGTCAAAATAGCCCCGTCAAAAGGGCACCGACATATTGGCTATATGTCGGGAGTCTTATTAACTGGAGCCCTTTAGTCAGGAGACTATTTGACGGGAGCCTAAATGACGGGAGCCTATTTGTCGGGAGCCTATATGACGGGGTCCATATGTTGCTGGCCCTTTTGACCGGGTCGATTTGACGGGGCACTTATGTCGGGGCCGATTTGTCGGGGCCGTTTTGTCATTGGCTGTTTTGGCGCCGCACGCCTTGGTTTAATATAACCCTTTGCAGTCGAAACAAAGGAATCCCTTTAGATCTTCCACTTCAAGTATCACAACCTTTCACAGCACAGATTGCCATTTTGAATGCGGACCTGTACACCGCGATGGCGAATGTTTACATACTGAACGATCCATGGGGGGGGGGGGGGGAGAGAGGAAATGAACTGTGAATTGGAAATTTACACGTTGTTAAAAATAGCAACGGAAATATCTAATGTTTATTTGATGTTTATAAAAGATGTTTATGTTTATGCGTTTTAAAACCGAAGCAGTTTTATTAACAGACATCTAATCTAAAATCCTAAAAATAAGTAGTATACATCTAGTCTAGATCTTGAACTAGATCTAGGTCTAGATCTAACAACTAAACCGAAAAGATATGACATTTCAAAAGGTCTTTTATATAATATAGATCTCTACTTTAAAAATAACTATAATAGAGTAAAGAGTTTATTTAGTAAATATTATTTATTAATATTTACCGTCTGGGTTAGTCTATAGTCTATACTATAGTAGATATTAGATAAATATTAAATATAGGCCTAACTAATAGTTACATTATTACATAATACAAATTACAAACTGTTAGCCTATTTATTTTAATAATGAATTAAGTTAATAATCATATTCACTAGCTAGTCTAGTAGTAAAAGTAGCTATACTACTGTGAGAACTTTACAACAAAGTACTAGTCTAGTAGATCTTTACTTTACTTGTACTAGTAGATCTAGTTGTAGTCACTATAATACTATATAATAGGCATATAATAAATAATAGCCTACCTAATTTCAAGTAATTTCACCTTTGTATCATGTATGTCTAGGCCTAGGTCTACTTTAAGTTAAAACTTACACTTACCTATAGTTATAGTCTTCAATACATAATTATATATATATATATATATATATATATATATATATATATATATATATATATATATATATATATATATATATATATATATATATATATATATATATATATATATATATATATATATATATATGTATATGTATATATATATATATATATATATATATATATATATATATATATATATATATATATATATATATATATATATATATATATATATATATATATGAGTGGCTGTCCCCAGCTATTGAGCCTCATCTACATAGGGGTTTGAGCTTGGGACTTATCTTTTTGTGACTGTTCAGCAACCATGAGTATAACCGACCCAACCACACCAACCTTGGTCTGGTAATTAAATCTCTGATCATTTTGTGTGATCAAATTGGTGGCGTTCAAATGACAGCGTGTATACAGCTAGACCAGGCAGAAGAGAACCTGGTCAACATCTCACCACAGGAAAAGCAATACAAACTCCACAAAAATGTTGAAGAATTTCTTTTCAAAGAAAAACAAGTCAGGCAGAACAGAAAAGAAGTTGCATTTCCCTTTGGCAAACAACAAATGTTGGAAAGGTTCATGCAGAATGATCATGACAAGATTCTCAATGACAAAACTGCTAAAGTAGAAAAACTTGCTGACAGATTTATTGTCACAGGCCTCATGGACAGTGTCTACAAACTTACTGAACAGCTGCAAGAGCTCAGGTCTGTTGTTAGTTTTCAATTTTCAATTTAGTCACTTTGGTCTTACATTTCAAAACTTAATTTCATTAATGAAACAAATAATAATTTCTTTGTTTTTATATTTTTCTACAGCTTAAAAATTACTGTTCAAGATATAGAGCTAAAATATTTTGGGATTCAAGAGTTCCTTCAAAATGCAGAGGGTAAATCTTTAGTGAAAAAGGTTGAAGATCAGAACCAATGTGTCATTTTGATAAAATCAGAGGATGTGAAGGCAACTTTTGGTTCTCCCAAAACAGAAACAAAACAAGTAGAACCTTCTGTCATAGCCAGGGCAGAGGTGTACAATGTTGAGCTAGTTTTCTTGCAAGGGGACATAACTACCATTAAGGCAGATGTAATTGTCAATCCATTGGATTCTTCTCTAGCAACATCAAGTGCACTGAGCAGATCACTTATCTCTAGAGGTCAGTGGTTTGGTTTTTTTAACTTAAGATCTTATTAACACTTTAAATTTCAATTAGCAATTTGTAATTGTATTGGTGATTTCTTATCTAGGTCCAGCTGATTTATTCAAAAATCTAAAACAGTTATCAAAGGGATCATTGGGTACAGTTATTCCAACAACATGTAGCAAGATTCCCAACCTCAAGGCTATTTTCAATGTTGTCTGTCCAGTCTCCATTGATGACCTGGATAAACTTCGTTTAGCTGTGACCAACTGTCTGATGGAATGCCAGAAACAAAATTTTAGTTCCATTGCTTTACCAGTTATTGGGATAGGGCGTAAGTTCAGTGTTATTAAAAAATATTTCTTCATAAATAACTAAACCTGCCACAGGCAACCTGTGACATAGCAACAGGATGTCTCAGTTTCATTGTGAATTTCTTCTAAGAAAAGAGTAGGACAAAAATACTTGTAAAATTTTTTTTTTCATGAAATGTAGTTTTAACACTTTAAAAATATCAGAGGCTAAAAGCTAAAAAGAATCTTTCAATAACTAAAAAAATGAAAATGGCAACCTTTGTGAAGACTTGGTTATATTTTAATCAACAGAAAAATTTCCCATTTTCACTACATGTATTCGCATGATGGATGCACTGTACGACTATCTGAATGGAAGTCCAACCCTGACACACATTTACTTCTGTGATGTTCAGCCAAATCATGTTGAAGAGTTGATGGACAGGTTTGAAGCCAAGTTTGACCAGTGTACTTTACACCATGTATCAAAATCAGGTGAGCAGGAATGTAATCTCCCAATCTTAAACTGGACTAATGTAGGAAACAATCAGAGCAAACTGTTCTTTAACTTCAATATGGGATCATAAACAAGTTAAATGATGGTGTTATTGATTACTAATTTTAAAGTCTGAAGTTGAATTTACAGACTTCAATTGACAAGATGCCCCTGACTCCACCGTGCTTTGATGGGTGCCTGACTAAAGGAGGAAAGTGTAGGGTTGTGGTTGGGGTGGGTTACAGTGCATTTTTTATCTAAAAAGTTTTCCTTCAAATGAAGCATTATTTTTCTTTGTTTTAAACATTTTTTAAAAAGAAAATAATATAAATTTATTATTTGAACTAATGAGTATTTAAAAATTGAGCATTACTACTCATTATTACTGTGCCTAATTATTAAATAAAAACCGTTTCATTTTACTTATAACTTGGCTCATAGTAATGTGAACCTGTGAAGCTAAATTTAAAATAAGTAGATTCCTTTTGTCTGCTAAACAAATACTTGTTGATATTTGGTATTGTGTTCAGTTGCCCCATTGTTATGTAGGCAGTCACAGCTTTACTTGCCTCTGAATCAAAGTCTCTCTAGTCTTCATCTTTGTGCACTGCGTTAGCTGCCTCTATTGGGTTAGAGCTGGTCTCCGGGCAGTGGAAGAGCTAGAACAAAGGCTTGTCCCTCCTTACCTATGCTATAACAAAAATGTTTATGGATTTATATATATATATATATATATATATATATATATATATATATATATATATATATATATATATATACATTGTACATTAATGTGTAAAGATATGATGGCAGGTTTTGATGCTCTGAACCCTGAGTCAAATCGAATAGCTGAACCTTCTGTCATAGCCAGGACAGAAGTTAACAATGTTGAGCTAAATTTCTTGCAAGGGGACATAACTACCATTAAAGCAGATGTAATTGTCAATCCATTGGATTCTTCTTTAGCAACATCAAGTGCACTGAGTAGATCACTAATTTCTAGAGGTCAGTGGTTTGGTTTCTTATTTTAAATCGTATTAACACTTAAAATTCTAACTAGCAATTTGTAATTGTATTGGTGATTTCTTATCTAGGTCCAGCTGATTTATTCAAAAATCTAAAACAGTTATCAAAGGGATCATTGGGTACAGTTATTCCAACAACATGTAGCAAGATTCCCAACCTCAAGGCTATTTTCAATGTTGTCTGTCCAGTCTCCATTGATGACCTGGATAAACTTCGTTTAGCTGTGACCAACTGTCTGATGGAATGCCAGAAACAAAATTTTAGTTCCATTGCTTTACCAGTTATTGGGATAGGGCGTAAGTTCAGTGTTATTTGAAATTTTTTTTCTTAAATAACTATTCCTGCCGCAGGCAACCTGTGACATAGCAACAGGATGTCTCAGTTTCATTGTGAATTTCTTCTAAGAAAAGAGTTGGACAAAAAAACTAGTAAAAAATTTTTTTTTCATGAAATGTAGTTTTAACAATTTAAAGTATCACAAGCTCAAGCACAAAAAAATAAATAATTAAAATTGTTTCAATATGGCTTCTTTAAACTTTTAAGCAAAAAAAATTTGTATACAATTCTAAGTTGAAAAAAACATGTTACAAGAATTTCCATAGACATTATTGTTGGTATGTCTAGTGTTACTAAAGAAATGAAAATAGCAGCTTTTGTAAAAACCAATTCCGTACATTTAATCAACAGAAAAATTTCCTGTTTTCACTATATGTGCTCGCATGATGGATGCACTGTATGACTATCTGAATGGAAGTCCAACCCTGACACACATTTACTTCTGTGATGTTCAGCCAAATCATGTTGAAGATTTGATGGACAGGTTTGAAGCCACTTTTGACCAGTGTACTTTACACCATGTATCAAAATCAGGTGAGCAGGAATGTAATCTCCCAATCTTAAACTGGACTAATGTAGGAACTCACAAGCTAAAATCTGCAACTACTAATTAGAAAGTCTGGAGTTTACAGTACTGGACTGAAAGACGCCCATGACTCAACAAAACTTTGAAACCAATTTCATTAAATGAAATGTATTATACAAATCTCTCTGCAGGAAATGACATGTGAACAATAAACCGTAATAGTGGTTTAAATTGTATTCTTCAATTTAAATTGTCTTATGTGTTATCATTGTTTAATTTTGTTATTTTTGATAACTAATGTATTTTTACACTTAGATGAGGAAAAGAACATAACAAAACATGGAGCTGTTACATTAGTAATTGAAAAGGGGGACATAACTCTAGAGAAATGTGATGGAGTAGTTATTGGCATAAAAGACTCAATGGATTTAAACCACTCAGGTGATTATTTTAATTTTTTTAGGCCAATAGATTTTTGTGTAGCACACACAGGCAAGTTGTTAGTCAGTGTTTCTCATTATCAACTGATATAGGATGATCTCTGGGTTTATTAACCTAGTCTACAAAACTACCTAACTTCAATCCCCAGGCCAAGTATGTAAGGCTCTGCTCAAGTTGTGTGGCCAGACACTGCAGGATGAGTGCTTTTATAAACGTAAGTAAAATTTGTGGTAGGGTGGTGACAATCAATTTTTGCTGCACCATTTCTGGGTGACTATTTTCTGCACAATCAATCGGTTAATAAAAGATAGCAGTCTACCTCCACTTACCTCTAATGTATTTGTTTATTCTGCTGCAAGGCACTGCCTTATTTTTTTACCACTGATAATTTTTTAAGGTCTTTTATTTAAAAAATAAAACATGATGGCTTTCTATATTATTTTATTATTTTAGACTGCAAAGTTTGTTTTCTGTTTCTCACTTGTCACCAAAAATGTGTCATTAAAATTGTGAATGTTGTTACAGAAAGTGAGATGGCCCAAGATGGAGTAGTTTTAACCTCAGCCCCCAACATGTCCTGTCAGCACATCCTTCATGTCAGTCAGGATAAGTTTGCTAAACATTGGGATAAAGGAGTCACTGCAGTGCTGGCTGAAGCTGACAAGGCAGGATTAAAATCCCTGGCAATACCCGCACTTGGCACAGGTCAGATGCCATTAAAGATGTGTTTCTCTTCTAGATGAAAGATGTATTAATAAAAATGTAAACATTTATTATTTTAAAAGGGGTCGGCGTGGTCGAGTGGGTAAAGCTCAGACAGCCACTCTTCTAGGAGAGACAACTCCAAAATCAAACAACTGCTGCCTTGTAGATTGTTCTTGGTTGGACAAAGGCTATGGAAGCAAATCCAAAAAGAAAAGCAGGCTGAAATCAATGCTGAGTCAATGGCCTCAATGGCGCATAACCAGTTGACACGTAACGCTTAATTGTGTTGGTTAATTGTGTTGGAGGTGTGGTTGAGTCGGCAAAAAGCTCGTGGTTGATAAATTCGAACAAAGTCTCGAGTTCAAACCCACTGGCAGATAAATCTCGATCCCCTTTAACACTAATAATTAAGAACGAAGAAGAAGAAGAAGATAGATTATTTTAAACAAACCTTAAGTATACTAAAGTTTAACAAAATCTGCTACAGGATACTCCTATACACTTTGTTGTCAATATTTCTTGTTTCTCAATATTTTTCTCAAAAATCAAGATTGCTTAGTGTTTGTAAATTCTAAACAGAAACTTGAAACATTTTTGACAGGCGCAAGAAATGCCAACATCCCTTTGTTAAGTAAAATGATTCTTGGCGCTATAGAAGATTTTGGCAAGAGTTTACCAAGGTCATTGACACAAATCAAGCTGGTCATTTATGACCAATATGTTTTGGATGAATTTCTTGACCAAGCTCAGAGCAAACACTTGAGTCACAACATAGAGGGTAAAATAGAGAAACAGACTAATACAATAGTGACAAAACATAATCCAAATTAATAACTATTTGTATTTAAAAAATTGATACATTGAATAATCTAACTCAACATTAAAAGAATTAGATGAGCATATATAAACTAAGTTATTCATGTAATTTTTTCAAGTGTAAAATATATAACGCCTGTCTGTGTCTTCCAAGGTTCAGGTACAACCACAAAGGTTTCAGAGCAAGTCACTCTAGAATGTTATTCTAACCATCCATACCAAATAAGGATGGCTAAACAAAGCCTCTTGCAAGAATGTAAAGCTTCATTCAAAGAGAATAGTGTAAGAGATGAAAATGTGAAAAAACTCAACACCAAGCAGGTCTGTTACTTTTATTTAAATAGAGCATTTTTACCATCTCTTTCTTAAAAACACTTTCATTTTTGTATGAACTCATTTTAAATGAAATTTTTGCAAACTTTTTACAAGTTCTTCCAAGGAAATATTATCAGCATTATGATTAAGTTAAATCATTAATTTTAATGGTATTTCACCAAACCAAATTTTGAAAATAATATTTCTAGAGTTTTTTCTGTAACAAAAACTAGACAGCTGACTATTAGAGTTTTAAAATGAAGGATCAATGATTATATGATCAATATATATGTTAGTTTATTAACTTTTGAACCTCCACAAAAGAAAGTTTTTTTCCAGATGGCCACCATTACCATGGCAACCATACTTTCAGAAAAGTCCCTGATGCACGCAATTTTGTGTTATTAACTCATCAGCATTACTGATATCTCACCACTTCAAACAAAGAATTGAAAGGGATGTGGTGTGTGTTATCTTTTGTGATGAATCTTAAAATCTTCTTCTTCTTCGTTCTTAATTATTAGTGTTGAAAGGGATCGAGATTTATCTGCCAGTGGGTTTGAACTCGAGACTTTTTTTTTTCGAATTTATCAATCATCAGCTTTTTGCCGACTCGACCACACCTCCAACACAATTAAGGATACGTGTCAACTGGTTATGCGCCATTGAGGCCATTGACTCCGATTTCAGCCAGCTTTTCTTTTTGGATTTGCTTCCATAGCCTTTGTCCAACCAAGAACAAGCTACAAGGCAGCAGTTGTTTAATTTTGGAGTTCTCTCTCCTTGAAGAGTGGCTGTCCCCAGCTAACGAGCCTCATCTGCCCGAGGGTTCGAACTCAAGACTTTTCGGTTTAGCAACCATGAGCTTTACCGACTCGATCAAGCCGACCCCATTCTTTAAATAATAATAAGGAACTTGTCTTCATCCTAATTTTTCAATAATTGTTAAAAATTCTATTCGCAATTATATGAATGTGCGATAATAAGTATTCATCAATATTTACCAATTTTAAAAGATAGTTTCATATATCTTTAGATAGAAAAACTAAAATCTGTTGGATTTGAAAACCTTGTCTTGGTGACTGTGAGGCAGGAGGCTGGAATAGTTCTCATGCAGGGATTTAAAGTGGATGGGATTGTCAAGGTACAGAAACTGCTGCAGAAATTTCTTTCAATATATGTAGTGCATGAAGAGCTTCACAAATCTCTGCTGTCAGCTATAGAGGGGGAAGAGTGGGATGATTTTGAACTTATGTAAGTTATCAATAATCAAAACCTTGTTTATGTGACCTTATTCTTTGGGCATGGTTTTGAGACATTTTTGTTTATCTGTTCATACACATAAACAAAAATAGTAGCCTAATAAAACGTCTGTTGTTTGTTTAGATAAATAAAACAGGAGAAATAGTATTTTAGGGGGGGGGGGGTGATTTCATAGTAAATTTAAGATAAACCAGTAAGCTGCACTCATTAAAACCTTACATGGCATTTTAAACACTAGGTTTGCAGTTTTAACTAATGATTCCAGTTGTTTAAAAAAATGGCTGCTTTGTATAACAAAGCAATTATTTAAATAATATAGTTATAAATAGAATAATTGTATTCATTAAGCAGCTGATTACTAGTAAGTAAGCATGATTGTTTACCCCCTAAACACACTTTAATGTAGAGTGTATATATATATATATATATATATATATATATATATACCACCCAATATCACACTGCATCAATCTTAATAATATAGTGAAATATACTTTAAATTAGATTTCGTAACTTCTGATTACTAGTAAATAAACATATTGCTTTTGTTGTCCAACTCTACATTTATTTTGTTATACAATATACACTTTTTATTATAGAAAAAAATGGAATATGTTTTAAATTAAATTAGAGAGCAGGATGTTGGCTGGGAAAATTATAATTGGCTTTTTTAAACTTCTACAGATTGCTGGATGGGAGGGTGGGTGGTAAACACTCTAGCGTAGTTGTTTATGAAACAGTATGTCATATGTCACTTAACACATATACATTTACCTATATCTTTGTTCAAGAGAATATATTATTTTTCCAACTATAAAACAAATCTGCCAATATTGCGTCTAGACTTACTACATTTGCAAATTAGAATGACCTATGCTTCATTCTCATAGTCACCATCTTCATTGTTTTCTTTTCCAAGCCAGGTTTTTGTTTGTTTGCCTCCTTTTCTTTAGTCTTATGTTCTCAAAATTTGAGGCGATGAAATGTGTTGTGCTAGTCACAAGCTTCCTCAGCTCAGACAATCTTGAAATGTGTTCCATCCCATAAGTTGATAATATTTGCTGTATTCCTTCCCATTTGTACACTTGTTTCAATTGCAAAGACTAGTAGATTTAATTTTAAGTTTTGTAGTAAAAAACTTACAGGGATGCTATAGAATATCAATATATTAAAAGAGTTGTTATGGTAACATAACTATCAAATCTATTTCTGCCCACTGCTCACAATGTCCTAAAGTGAATGTGGTTTGCAATAATGTCATGAACATTCACAATATCCCAACAGGAAGTGGGTTAAAAAATATTTAAAAATTGTTTTAAATAAAAAAATCATTGTTGAAAAACTGATGAGTCATTTGAATTTTGTAATGTTCACTTTTTATTCTATTAAGTGATGGTTTGATAATAATTTATTACTCTTATTGAAAAATTTATCCCATTGGTAAGTGATTAAATAAATCTTATTAGGATTGGAAATAAATTACTGTGTTTCAATCATATAATAATTGTTTATAAAGCATACATTAAAATATGAGATAAAAAGATCTAATATAATAAGTAACATAAGAATGTAAAATATTTGTGTTTGTTTTAGCTTGACAAGTAAGTTAAAGCACAAAGTAAAGGCTGGTAAGTGATGCCATCTTAGTTTTGTTTTCATTACTTTTTTAAAGAAAATATTGTCCTTTTTTACTTTCTCGTATATACGTAGTATAGAGAAAGTATTGTAATCGTGCAAAAAAAAAATCGAGATTTTTACAAATCTCGACGTTTTACACCTCACTGATACGGAAAAACATAATTTTGCAATCTTGTCCGTATGTCTGTGTGTGTGTGTGTCTGTGTGTGTGTTTGTCCGTGTGTAAACACGATAACTTGAGTACCGTTACAGCTAGGTTGATGAAATTTCATATATAAGTATTTTATCAAAATCGTAGATCCGTATCAACTTTTGAGCGATTTCCGATAACCGGAAGTGGTACTTTTCCTACTTTGAATTTTTCAAAAGCCTATAACTTGAGTACTATTTCAGATAGATAAATGAAGTTTCACATGTAAGTAAAAGATCTAATTCTCTACCTTCTGTTAAATTTTGAGTAATTTCCGTTGACTGGAAGTAGTAATTTACGCTACTTCCGATTTCTCAAAAAACTAATGTAAATTTTTAAAGTACTAATAATATTGCGCACTATTATACGCGTTTTTATTCGGCGTTTACTTGGTGCGCAATGTTTTTTTTATGAGATTCTATTCTATTTTTAAAAGTTTAAGTATTTAAAATGGATTAAAAATCATAACTATATCCCCAGTTACCATCCCCTGTTGTTTTATATAAGAATATTCGAGAAAGTTTAGGGGAGATCACTACCGGTTTATTCTATATAATGGTTTAATGAAACAGAAGAGTCAGTATTATAACCACTCAAGTCAAATTCCTGTATCAAGTCAGTCGGGTGACAACAGCTCTAATTGGGGAAAATGACTGATTTGTAGACAACCATTAATGTATTGATTATAAGTGTTGCTACTATAAAAACATACTTTACTACTTGAACTTATAGTAATAGAATAGTAGTTTACATTTAAAAGTATTTTTAAAACTTCGATATTTTAATGTCCTTTTATAATAGCTTTTGAACTTGTAATCTTTTCTTTTCTCCTCATTGCAACATTGCTCTTTATAGTGACCAACAATTTTATGCAATGATTTTAAAGGGGTAGAGTCTTTACCTGACCAATGGACTCCAATGTCAACCGAGGAATCTGTGAAAACTGTACCTCTAAATCATGGATGTTGTGAGTACAATGAAATTAAGCAGCTGTTTATACTAGGAGGAGCAAATCTTCCAATCAAGAAGGTAAATATGGGATAATTCAAAACACTTTATTCTTTATTAAAAATAAAACTAATTTTGTAATTGATCTTGATGCTAAGTAACTTAATGTTGCATAATGATTGCATTTAATGTTGCTTAACTACATATGGATATTTATATAAATGCATACATACATATATACATATCTACATATATTATGATATCTATCTATCTATATATATGTATATATATATATATATATATATATATATATATATATATATATATATACATTCACCAGATTGAACGCATCCAAAACAAGTTCCTCTACCAGCAATATTCTGTCAAGAAAAGAGAGCTGGATCTCGTAAATCCAAAAGGTCACAAAAATGAGCTGCGATTATTTCATGGCACCAGTGCCCAAAGTATTCCAATGATAATTCATAATGGATTTAATAGAAGCTACTGTGGCATGAATGGTACGTTCATTATTCAGAATTGAAAAAGCATGAAGCACATAATTATCCTACTATAATTTTTATCATTTTTGTGGTTGTTTTAAAACCTTAATCTAATTCTTTAAGTGTAGATTTTTAATTGGCTCAACTGTGAATGTACCCTACTACAACAAGATTCTATTCTGTGTTAGCTAGAAATACTGACAAGTTTCAGGAGAATCTCAATCAAAATTTTTCTGTCCCTCTGATCATTGAAACACTGTTATTTTGATTTCTAAGAATACATACCAAATCTAACAAACATATACTGCATTTTAAATTCCAGGCACAGTTTATGGAAAAGGTGTCTACTTTGCAGTAAACTCCTCATATTCTGTCAGCTATGCTAAACCAGATGCTCAAGGAAATCGTCACATGTTTGTTGCTCTTGTTCTCGTGGGCGAGTCAACCCCCAGCAATGCTTCAATGAATTACTTACCAATTAAACCTGGCACTACCAGGCCTTATGATTCTGGTTGTGCTAATGGAATGTATGTCATTTTTCATGACACACAGTGTTACCCTCAATATTTGATCACTTTTTAATATCTTCCACTAAGTTAATTTTTGCACAACTTTCATTCAGGGTGTAGGTATTTGAATGTAGGTACAGAAAGAAATATAGGGCAAAAAAGGTACCTTTTTGGTTGATTTAAGCTTGTTAGTGAATAATCGGCCCAAGGATAATTAACAACAATTTGCAAGTTTTATTGCTACAAATTTAGTTGTCTTGTTAAACATGCATGTGATTTTTATGGTAAAAATTACTCAAAAGAGAACCATAAACATTTGTGTGTGGTAAAATGTTAAAATTGAAGTAATTTAATTTAGTATAGGCTGCAAAATTTAGAAATTTTAAATTATTTAATTATTTCCAGAAAATATTTTTAAAAGGGTTTTTATGTTGAATATACTGAAATGTTTATATTGTTTCCACACTATGTTTATATCATGTTTCTCTTTCAGGTTATATCAAAATTAATATTTAGTGTCTTATCCATATCAGTTCTAATGGAAGCAGACTCTCAATTTGGTCAAAGTAAATTCTTTAATCCCTTCTCAATTAAAAAGCATCAATGAACTAAATATTTCACCTAAGTAACATTTGACAGTAAAACTTGAATGAAACTAACCCAAACACTTCAAATATTGAAATAATTTAATTCAACTAAGTTTTGGAACTAACTGTCTCCAGTATAGCATTGTAACCGTCATACAAAATGTAATTTCAATGTAAAGAAATTAGAATAGAATATGTCAAGTGCAATACTTATGTCATGTGCTGGTATTAGCCTACAAATGACATGTCATATGCTGGTAATAGCCTACAAATAACATGTCATGTGCTGGTATTAGCCTACAAATGACATGTCATGTTCTTAATATACCAACAAATGACATGTCATGTGCTGGTATTAGCCTACAAATGACATGTCATGTGCTGGTATTAGCCTACAAATGACATGTCATGTGCTGGTATTAGCCTACTAATGACATGTCATATTCTGGGTGTACTTACAAATGACATGTCATGTGCTGGTATTAGTCTCCAAATGACATGTCATGTGCTGGTAATAGCCTACAAATGACATGTCATGTGCTGGTAATAGCCTACAAATGACATGTCATGCATTGTCTTAGAGGACCACAAGTTACCATAGCAAATACAAAGTGTATATACACTGTGGTCATTGGACCACAACACAAGTGAAACCTTTGGAAAGGTAAAGTAAGAATTTTAAAGGTATTGTTAACTAAGATTTTAAAAAGGTAAAAGTAAGATTTCTAATGTAAAGTAAGTAAAAATTGTAAAGGTACTGTATGTATTTACCATACAGTTGAAATAGTTGAATATTTAAATAAAGTTATTTTTAAAACAATCAAAGAAAGAAAAAACACAATAACAAAAAAAATGAAAAAAAAGTTGTTACATAGTTATGGGGAAATAATTCACGCTGTGATAAATTTTATATTTTCTGTATATTTTATATTATTTTATTATTATAATATTATTTTATATTTTTCTTTATATTTTCAAGAGTGGTTGGAAAATATTTCAGTCTGCTCTGTGCTCATTCTTTATGTTTTTAAATTGTTGGATGATAAACATAAAAAAATGTTACATGTACAATAAAATGGTATTGGTTGTCAACGTTAATAATATTAAATAAGTGCTTTCTAAATTAATTCTGCCATCTTGTTTTCTTTTCTTAATATCACTATGAAATGTTGATTTTATATTGTTAAAAAACATGTTTAGATTCGAAGCAAGTGTACTTCTATTTCTTGATGTTGCGTACATTAATAAATTATTGCGTAAACTGGTATGACAACCCCATTCATTTAGTTTAACTTGTATAGTTAACACAAAAAAAAAAAAACCATAACGGACTCGACTCATCAGCAACCTAGACCAACCAGAAGGAAAAAAGGTTGGTGCAACAAGAACACCAATGACATCTGGTCTAAAACTGTTGGTCGTACCGGGTTTGGCCGTCCAAATATTAGGCCTATCTTGAAATTTAGAAGATCTCAAGACCGACAACTTTGGACTGAAAAGAAAATATCAGTCGATGACTCTTCACATCTGAAGATTGTGTTACATCCGGTCATGTGATCTCATGGCACGCGAGTATGAAACTGGAGTGTAAACGAGTCTGGTTTTCCATTCATCCCTTCATCCAACGCTAAAGACTGGCCGTTGCTAACTTTGGTTAGTGTAATTGCCGGGACACTCGTAGCTTGCTTTGAACAACATACGACTCTCTTGCATCTAGCCTCGGCAATCTTGCAGCAGGGGCAACACAAGACTTTCATGAACTCAGTCCTGAAGTTATCATTCAGCCAACCGTACAAGACTGGGTTCAGACACCCCGAACACAGCACCAGCATGTGGCAGATCGCATACGCCAACTTCATGTCGACTCGACCAGTGAAGAACTCGCCCCTAAAGTCGGTCATCAAGTTAAAGATGTTGAGCGGCAGCCAGCTCAGCGCAAACACCAGAGCTATCCCAGCCAGCAGAAGATTGGTTTTACGCTTACGTCTGCTTCTTCTTTCGTTTTTCTTTTTCTGGAAAGATGTGGTCGCCGAGGTGGTGAGGTTCTGTGTGACCATGCGGTAGCGCAGCTTGTTGCAGATGCGCAGGTGGGCCACACTGAGGATGAAGAAGGGGAGCACGTACTGCACGACCATCTGAGCCACACTGTAGGCGCGTTTCTCGATCTCCAAGGTCACGTCCTCCAGACACACGTACACGTAGACGTTTGGCACTTCCGCCAGAGCCTGACGACGGTGGACGACGGAGAAGAGAAGGGCGGGGCTAGCTATGAGGAAGGAGATGAGCCAGATGGAGATGAGGGCGATGGCAGCGCCGATTTTTTTCATGCTGTCTTTGGTCGGGTAGACAATAACCTGCAACAGAGGGGAAAGTTTTAAGCTGGTAAACATTTTTTGTTTCACAGAGGGGAAAGTTTTAAGTTGATAAACGACATTTTTGTATTTTGAATGATTTCACCGCCGTCGTATTATTGCATATTTATTGGTTTCTCAAAGATCCTATACTGTGAGTCAATATTTTCCCACATAGAAAGATGTGAAAAATAAATTTCTGGTTTTAATGAAGCAGTTTTTTAGTTTCTCTGGCCTCGGCATATAAAACTATTGTGCTGTCAGCACTATGTTTTCTTTACTCAACTAGCACAAGGTACCCATTAGAGTTGATTAGACCCAGATGCCGTTCATAAATGCCATCACACACTGGGGGGGGGGGGGGGTAAGGGAGGGTCAATTGTGATAATGTATGGCGAGTGAGATGGTAAGAAACGGTGACGTCACACTTTGGCATTTTAAAAAAGTAATTTATTTAACTTAATTCAGCAGCTATTTTGCATTTGAAAATATTTTTTTGTAAATTTAATTAAAACTAATTTACTCGTCCTAACTTGACCTAGGGCAATCTATTTTGTAAAAAGAAAAAATGCAATTTGGAGAGCGACAATAAGCTAAAGTCTGACGTAATTTTAGGAGGGCATGGACCCCACATTTTGTGGCGAGGAGGGGGGTAAAAAAAAAGAATCGTGGCGTCATTATTATTTATTTTGGACGGCTCAGTTCAGTGAGTCACAATCACACTCACTCAACTAAACTTGCGTGTTAGAATTCACGTTCCCTACTACTCGACCACCCCATTCCCACAAAGATATGAAACAATATCTCTATTGTATTAAGGTGAATATGTTTCTATGTTAAAAATTTGTCAATATCTGCCCACATTGTAAAAATGTGAAACTATATATTATGTTGTATTAAATATGTACTTTGAAAGTACGGTTATAAATATCTGCCCACACGGTAAGGATGTGAAACTTTACCTCTGTCATTAATTATGTTCTTATAATGTCAGGTTTTCAGTATCTGCCCACATTGTAAAAATGTGAAACTATCTACATCTGTTGTATTAAATATGTTCTTATATTGTGAGGGCATCAATGTCTGCCCACACTGTAAGGATGTGCAACTATGCCCCTGTCATTTATTATGTTCTTATATTGTAAAGTCATCAATATCTGCCCACACTGTAAGGATGTGAAACTGTCCTACCCACCTGGAACCGATCCAGAGCTATGGCCGTGATGCTGATGGTGGAGACGAAGAGGTTGGTACCCTGGGCCATGGTAACGAACTTACACATGAACTCCCCGAGCCCCCACTGTTTGTACAGCAGCAGGTACATGTTGAGGGGCTGGGTGAACAGACACAGGGTGAAGTCTGAGATGGCCAGGTTTATGATGAAAATATTTCGTGGTGTCCTCATGCTGGGGTTTCTCATCACCTGATAGGTTCATCGATAGGTTGATCAGCAGGTCAATCATTGAAATCAATAGTTGAATAGTGAAACTAACAGTTAAATAGTTCAATCATTGCAATCAATAGTTAATAGTGAAACGTACAGTTAAATAGTTCAATTATTGAAATTACTAGTTGAATAGTTCAATCATTGAAATTACTAGTTGAATAGTGAAACTTACAGTTAAATAGTTCAATCATTGAAATTACTAGTTGAATAGTGAAACTTACAGTTACATAGTTCAATCATTAAAATCAACAGTTGATTATTGCATGATTATCGCAATCAATAATTCAATAGTTTAATGATCGTGATATCTTATTAACTAGTACGATTATTGCAATTAATAGTTGAATAATTCAGTTATTGCCATGAACATTTTATTATTTAATCATTTCTATCACAGGTTGAATAGTTCAATCATTGAAATTACTTGTTGGATAGTTCAATCTTTGCAATCATCAATAGAATAATACAATCGTTGAAATCAACAATTAAGCAGACGATTTCAATCAACATTTCGGTCGTCAGTTCGATTGTAAATTTAATTATCTCACTCAACTGTTACGATCCACTCGAAAACCTTTTCGCAATCGGAAAGGCCTGTCAGTCGTGAATCGATCTCTTTGGGCACCCGCTATGCAAAACTTTACAAACTGTAGGGTAGTTACAGGGGGGGGGGGGGGAAGAGGAAGGGTCGTTTCACCCAAGTTGGCACAGTATTCAGTTTTTGTCATGCCGAACCAGGAAACAGGAAATGTTGCGATCTGACCTGCATTTTGCATATTGGCAAGTGTTGCTGATGTTCGGCCAGACAATGTCTGATCTTTTTCTTGATCTCGGACTTTGGCCAGCCAGTTTGCGAAAGGGCATGGGGGCAATCAGCCAAAGGGATTTAGGATGTAAGGCTGGGATAACGACCGGAGCCTGGCATTAGCTCATCGAAATTAGTTTAGGACGTCCCAGTCTTGTATATTGTCACACACATCGGACATTGGCCAGTGTAATGGAGATTGCCGGTTTGGCCCGTAAAAAACTCGCGTCTGCCCGAAATATTTAGTGCCGTCGTTGGCCTCTAGGATCAAGAGAATATCATGAGAACGGTCGAGTTTTAAATTTGTTTCTTAGACGAGCATTTGGCTTTGGCTCAGAGTTGAGCGCGTACAAAATAATGAAATAAACAATCTGATTATTTGACAAAATATTTTAAAACATAAAATCTGAAACGATGTCAATCAGGAGGGGGTAACAAAGTTAAACCATTTACGAAACAATACAGGACTAGTTTTAATATTACTAGCAGGTTACCGGAAATAACAACAGGCCGTAAAACATACGATTCATCTATGTATTTCTATTAAGTTCATTGGCCATTCGATATTTCTATTTTTAATTCCAGACGATCAATTTTTAGCTTGATTTTATTATTTTCTATAACCGATTGTATTTTTAAAAATATATTCTTTTAAAAATAATTATGGGTGTAAAATTAGACATGTACTGGTGTAGAGGAAGTACTTTAAGGACTGTGTCGCACTGTTATAGCGAGCTGTCAGAAACAGATAAAGCCTTTAACCACGAAGTTCTATGTGTGTCAGAGATTTGAGGGGGCATTGTCAACATGTTGGTCACAACATATGAGCACAGCACACATACATGAGCACAGCACATATACATGAGCACAGCACACACAAACATTACCACCGCAAACTTACAACAAACAAGACCACAAACATGACCCCATGGCACAAACATAACTACAGTACACAAATATGAACCTAAAAAACTTACCACAAACATGACCGCAGCACACAAACATAACCCTACCACAAACACGACCCTAACAAACTTACCACAAACATGACCCCAACAAACTTACCACAAACATGACCACACCACAAAAACGACCCTAACAAACTTACCACAAACATGACCAGTCCGTTGCCAACAGCACCAAACGTGATGAGGAGGGAGAAACATGTGACCAGTGTGGTCTCGGTGGCCGAGTCGAAGTAGCGCTCTTGTATGTCCTCGTGTAGAATCAGCCTCAGCCACTCGTTGTCTTTCGTCTGGTTCTCCGTCTGGTTCGGGAATTTCAGCTCAAGACCTGCCATTGTCCTTGACTTTCTACTAGCACATCATTACCCAACTGAAATGGTGTGAAGATTTTCTTGAGATCCTGGGAGAAAAGTTTAATGATGTTTTTATCGTCCCCAACAATCTCATTAGTCGCAACACAATTTATCTGCGCGTTTTTTTTTAAAGATAACTAACAATTCCGTATGGACTTTTTTCTGCCCGTATCTATGTTAAGGTTAGTGTTAAGGTCATGGCTAAAGTCAGTGAGAAGCTTTGATTCATGACTATGGTTAGGGTTAGGGTTAGGTTTGCGGTACCAGCGAAGAAACAGCCAGTTAATGTCTCACGACATATTTGTCCTAGTACTATGTCCAGTTAAACATGCAGGCAAACACAATCTAACAGTCCTATGTCCAGTTATACATGCAGGCAAACACAATCTAACAGTCCTATGTCCAGTTAAACCTGTAGGCAAACACAATCTAACAGTCCTATGTCCATCACCATCCACCAGCAGTGTTTCTTCCAGGCATCTACACCCCCCCCCCCGAACAAAACGGAATTTATATATTAAAAACATATACTTTTACCAGTGTCCGCCCCCCCACCCCCCCGAGAAAAAAAAGTCTGGAAGAAACACTGTCCACCAGTAACCTTAAGTCTACCTACTGGACATGTTCTGATCGATAGCCCTACATTCTCCCCGGGCACCCAGTGGGGGACAACTTCAATCTATTAATCCGGACGTGACTGGTGAGGTAATGAATCGGAAGCCGGAAAATTTGAGATTGAATTGACCGTCCCGGCTGTAGGTAGTTATAGGCTGACCAGCTGACCGAGTGGTAAGAATAGGGACAGTACGACGTGACGACCTCGCTAATTTATTTCGGGTGCTTGAGTGAGTTAATTTCACTGGGTGAATGGCTCTAAGTCGTAGGGGTGGGGCGGCGTTTGTATAGGCGGGGTGGGGCGGTGTTTGTATGGGCGGGGTGGGGCAGCGTTTGTATAGGCGGGGTGGGGCAGCGTTTGTATGGGCGGGGTGGGGCAGCGTTTGTATAGGCGGGGTGGGGCAGCGTTTGTATAGGCGGGGTGGGGCACGTTTGTATGGGCGGGGTGGGACAGTGTTTGTATAGGCGGGGTGGGACAGTGTTTGTATAGGTGGGGCAGTGGTTGTATAGGCGGGGTGGGGCAGCGTTTGTATAGGCGGGGTGGGGCAGCGTTTGTATAGGCGGGGTGGGGCAGTGTTTGTATAGGCGGGGTGGGGCAGTGTTTGTATAGGCGGGGTGGGGCAGCGTTTGTATAGGCGGGATGGGGCGGTGTTTGTATAGGCGGGGTGGGGCAGCGTTTGTATAGGCGGGGTGGGGCAGTGTTTGTATAGGCGGGGTGGGGCAGTGTTTGTATAGGCGGGGTGGGGCGGTGTTTGTATAGGCGGGGTGGGGCAGCGTTTGTATAGGCGGGGTGGGGCAGCGTTTGTATAGGCGGGATGGGGCACGTTTGTGTGGGCGGGGTGGGGCAGTGTTTGTATAGGTGGGGCAGCGTTTGTATAGGTGGGGCAGCGTTTGTATAGGCGGGATGGGGCACGTTTGTGTGGGCGGGGTGGGGCAGTGTTTGTATAGGTGGGGCAGCGTTTGTATGGGGGGGGGGGTGGGGCAGCGTTTGTATAGGCGGGGCAGTGTTTGTATGGGGGGGGGGTGGGGCAGCGTTTGTATAGGCGGGATGGGGCACGTTTGTGTGGGCGGGGTGGGGCAGTGTTTGTATCGGTGGGGCAGCGTTTGTATAGGCGGGATGGGGCACGTTTGTATAGGTGGGGTGGGGCAGCGTTTGTATAGGCGGGGTGGGGCAGTGTTTGTATAGGCGGGGTGGGGCAGTGTTTGTATAGGCGGGGTGGGGCGGCGTTTGTATAAACGGGATGGGGCAGCGTTTGTATAGGTGGGGTGGGGCAGCGTTTGTATAGTAGGTGGGGCAGCGTTTGTATAGGCGGGGTGGGGCAGTGTTTGTATAGGCGGGGTGGGGCAGTGTTTGTATAGGTGTGGTGGGGCAGCGTTTGTATAGGCGGGGTGGGGCGGCGTTTGTATAAACGGGATGGGGCAGCGTTTGTATAGGTGGGGTGGGGCAGCGTTTGTATAGTAGGTGGGGCAGTGTTTGTATGGGCGGGGTGGGGCAGCGTTTGTATAAACGGGATGGGGCAGTGTTTGTATAGGCGGGGTGGGGCAGTGTTTGTATAGTAGGTGGGGCAGCGTTTGTATAGGTGGGGTGGGGCAGCGTTTGTATAGGTGGGGTGGGGCAGCGTTTGTATAAACGGGATGGGGCAGCGTTTGTATAGGCGGGGTGGGGCAGCGTTTGTATAGTAGGTGGGGCAGCGTTTGTATAGTAGGTGGGGCAGCGTTTGTATAGTAGGTGGGGCAGCGTTTGTATAGTAGGTGGGGCAGCGTTTGTATAGGCGGGGTGGGGCAGCGTTTGTATAGGTGGGGTGGGGCAGCGTTTGTATAGGCGGGGTGGGGCAGTGTTTGTATAGTAGGTGGGGCAGCGTTTGTATAGGCGGGGTGGGGCAGTGTTTGTATAGTAGGTGGGGCAGCGTTTGTATAGGTCGGGTGGGGCAGTGTTTGTATAGTAGGTGGGGCAGCGTTTGTATAGGTGGGGCAGCGTTTGTATAGGCGGGATGGGGCACGTTTGTATAGGTGGGGTGGGGCAGCGTTTGTATAGGCGGGGTGGGGCAGCGTTTGTATAGGCGGGGTGGGGCAGTGTTTGTATAGGTGGGGTGGGGCAGTGTTTGTATAGTAGGTGGGGCAGCGTTTGTATAGGCGGGGTGGGGCAGCGTTTGTATGGGCGGGAAAAAAAATGGAGAGGGGGGAGGGTGACAATATACGAGAGTAGTCTTTAGACAAGTACCCGGGTAATCCGGATAAAAAAAAAACAAATAGTCAACAACCGAGGCAATGTATTTTTTTAAGTACATGTAATTCGTTTTTTTTTTCTTTTTCTTAGTTCTTAATTCTAGTGGTGGAGGAATCCCTCCAACACAGTTAATTATTACGTGTCAACTGGTTAAGCGCCATATGTCGTTGACTATGATTTCAGCCTGCTTTTCTAGCCTTTGTCCAATCAAGAACAAACTACAAGGCAGCAGATGTTTGATTTTGGAGTTCGAACTCGAGACTTTTCGGTTTAGTAGCCATGAGCTTTATCGACTCAACCACGCCGACCGCAGACACCAAATTCGTTTTTGAAAACTAAATATACAGCAAAAACACATTTATACATAAATAGGCCTACTGTTAATATATTTTTAAAAATATCAAATTAATATAAATAACAAGTTAACATTTAACACACATTTTAAATTTTTATACATCTGAGGAGACGGGAAGAAACTTAATGCCTCTTTATAATGGCTATGGCAGGGGTCGGCAACCTTTTGAAGCGGAAGAGCCAAAAGTTACAATTTTCAAAATTTCCCTGGTTTGAAAGAGCCACTAACATTTTTTTAATTTCAAATATTTTTTTTATAAAGATTATTAGTATTTGTTAAAGGAGCTGGAGAGCCGCATCTTGATATCAAAAGAGCCGCATGCGGCTCGCGAGCCGCAGGTTACCGACCCCTGGGCTATGGGAACAAAGATACTAGAGATACGTACACATTACTTTGGGTATCGCGTCAATACGGAATGTTGTTAGCTAGGACTAAATGATGTACGGAGGTCTTAGAGAGTCATGTAACTAGATTAACAACTAGACAAGGGGGGGGGGGGGGTACATAGAAGACGTCACACTCGTTCAGATAGTGTGACGCCACACGTTTAAAAGTAATTTTAGAAACTGAATTTTAGAAGTTATTTGGTATTTTAGAAAACTTTTTTAATACATTGTAACAGAAATAAATTGATGTACTCTGTGTTGGTCGAGCTCAGGAAATATTTTAGAAAAAAATCGGTTTAAAAGAAAACAATTCAAGTGCAACTTTGAGGGGGGGGGGTGTGTAAGCTGTGAGGATGTGTGACGGAGAGGAGGGGCGAGGTAAAAACGTGAATAAAGTGTGACGTCATTAACTGATGATACTACAGATTTTAGACGAATTTAATGACGTCAAGCGAAGGAGGGGGGGGGGGGGCCTGACCGAAATGTGACCTAAGAAAAATAATGATGAATCAATTTTTTCCCGCTGAAATTGTAGCGATGCGTGAGTGAAAGAGGTGGGGGGGGGGGGGGGGAAGGAGGGGGGAAATGAGGCTGTGACTCTGAGACTGTAAGCGAATAATTACTGCCTCTGGTATTAAGTTACGAGATATGAAAAGGTGGACAAAAATAGGTTAAAATGACATGACGTCATTTATGGCCGCCCCCTAAACAGATTTAATTATTGCGTAATTGATCACCCAGAAACGCTGAAGAACTCAGGTTAGAAAGGCTATGTTATTACATGCTCGTTATCAGCCATTACCACTTTAAGCAGTTGTGGGTACGGCTAATCGATGCAAGGAGCGATAGAATAGACGTGAGTTGATGTGTGGTGTGTTGTGTGGAGGTGAGTGGGTGTGTGGTGTGTTGTGTGGAGGTGAGTGGATGTGTGGTGTGTTGTGTGGAGGTGAGTGGGTGTGTGGTGTGTTGTGTGGAGGTGAGTGGATGTGTGGTGTGTTGTGTGGAGGTGAGTGGATGTGTGGTGTGTTGTGTGGAGGTGAATGGATGTGTGGTGTGTTGTGTGGAGGTGAATGGATGTGTGGTGTGTTGTGTGGAGGTGAGTTGATGTGTGGTGTATTGTGTGGAGGTGAGTGGATGTGTGGTGTGTTGTGTGGAGGTGAGTGGATGTGTGGTGTGTTGTGTGGAGGTGAGTTGATGTGTGGTGTGTTGTGTGGAGGTGAGTTGAGAAGGACAATCACCTGGTGATGTGTATCTACTCTACAGACTGGACATTAGTCAAGTGTGACGTCAGTCAAGTCAATGACCGCTGTAACATTCACAGACCCGTACATTAAGACCAGCTCGACGACACAAATGCCGCGAAACTAAAAACAATCAGACCTATAGACCTATGCTTAAAATAAAATGAGGCAGAATTATTTTCTCAATTGTGAGCCAAAAAATATTTTTATTTAGGTCAAGATGGACGTTTTTTCCCGCGATAACCTACAGCATTTTAAAATACAAACGATCACAATCTAAACACAACATGAACTGTCAGGAATCCAAAAATTATCCAGCAAAACTAAAATCACCAGATCCTTACCTGCGATAAGATAGATAATAATGCCGATGATAAAATGGCGAGCGAAGAGCGGAGTGGCACAGCGTCGTGTGACACGGTGTTGTCTGTGGGAGGGTCTGGGGACTCGATGCCATCAGTGGGCGGGCGAGGCGGGAGGCTGGCAGAGTCACGTGATCGATTGGAAAATCTTTTCCCAGCATGGAAGTAAGCGATTCGTAACAGATTGTCTTTAGTAGCATCTCTGGGGCGGTTAAGATCTTCTGTAAAAACATCATTAGGTGGTAAAGATTTTTTAAAGAACGTCATTAGGGGGTAAAGATTTTTTAAAGAACGTCATTGGGTGGTAAAGATTTTTTAAGAACGTCATTAGGGGGTAAATATTTTTAAAGAACGTCATTAGGGGGTAAAGATTTTTTAAGAACGTCAATTGGAGGTAAAGATTTTTTTTAAAGAACGTCATTAGGGGGTAAAGATTTTTTAAAGAACGTCATTAGGGGGTAAAGATTTTTTTTTAAGAACATCGATAGAACAGTAAAGATTTTCTTTAAGAACATCAATAGAACAGTTAGGATTTTTTAAAATAACATCACTTAGCTTAGACAGTAAAGATTTTCTTTAAGAACATCCCCTAGACAGTAAAGATTTTCTTGAAGAACGTCCCTAGAGCAGTAAAGATTATGTAAGAACACCACTTTGACAGTAAAGATTTACTTTAAGAACATTACTCAGACAGTAAAGATTTTCTTTAAGAACATCACTTAGACAGTAAAGATTTTCTTTAAGAACATCACTTAGACAGTAAAGATTATGTAAGAACATCCCTTAGACAGTAAAGATTATGTAAGAACATCCCTTAGACAGTAAAGATTATGTAAGAACATCACTTAGACAGTAAAGATTTTCTTTAAGAACATCACTTAGACAGTAAAGATTTTCTTTAAGAACATCACTTAGACAGTAAAGGTTTTCTTTTAGAACATCACTTAGACAGTAAAGATTTTCTTTAAGAACATCACTTAGACAGTAAATATTATGTAAGAACATCAATCAGACAGCAAAGATTTTCTTTAAGAACATCACTTAGACAGTAAAGATTTTCTTTTAGAACATCACTTAGACAGTAAAGATTTACTTTAAGAACATCACTTAGACAGTAAAGATTTTCTTTTAGAACATCACTTAGACAGTAAAGATTTTCTTTAAGAACATCACTTAGACAGTAAAGGTTTTCTACAAGATCACCACGAAAACATTAAAGATCTTCCCCAATAACGTCATCAAATACAAAAAAAAATCCCCCATAACTCCATAAAAACTCGACACAGTTTTTCTATCTCATCAACAAAACCAGTAAAAGCTCTTTCTGATAGATTTCACCCAGGAATAAGCGACCTTATTGACGGGGGAGGTGGGGGAAGGGAAGGATATAGCCTCAGGATCCATGAAGCTTCAAGTAGGGGAGGGGTCAAGAAAGGCCAGCTGGTCCCCTAAATGCTACTAGAATCTATGACTATCGAATATATTAAAATTTCGAATGAACTTTCTTTTTTTTTATCTCTATGTTGAGAACAAAAGATAAATTAATCTCTGGTACAGATTGTAGTCAAATATTAAGTAAAACATGTTTTACTTGCATGTAACATATGGTTTTTTTATCATTTGTTTCATGCAGATCTAATTTATTTTTCCCATGAAAAAAATTCTGATAGCTAACTATATTTCGTATCAATGTTTTGTTTTGAATATATAGATATCTACATATATAAACATATTATATATATATATATATATATATATATATATATATATATATATATATATATATATATATATATATATATATATATATATATATATATATATATATATATATATATATATATATATATATATATATATATATATAACGGCTGGACAGCGACATGGATGCTATATAGTACAATGCCAGCACACACAAAATGATGGTAAAATTCTAGCGCAAAAAAAGACTATGGTACAATTCTGTGACAAAAATAATGATGGCACATTTCCCCATCAAGGGTGGTAACTTTCCATCATTCAAGGGGCCATAACCCTTTGGAGTGAGGGCAGAGGAAATCCCTCTGGGGAACTTCTAATGACGCACAACAGACCCCACAAAATCGATAGTTCACGTCAAAGTTGTCGGTCACAGCTGATCAGATATTTCTCAATCACTTTTTGTCAACTTTGTTTTTACATCAGGACAAACGCACGGAACAAACATCAACAACATTGAACTAACAGAAAAAACTTCTAACTAATAAAACTAACATAAGAAATAAAATTGTGCAGATTAAAGCGCTGAATAATATTCAGAAATAAATCATAAAACGTGTTTGCTAAAAAAAACATCAGAAATGAGTTAAATCAGAAATAATTTGTAATAAAAAAACGTGAGATAAACTCAGATTATGTAAATTACATACGGGCTCTGCATATTGGAATAAATAGATTTGTCGATATATACGCAAGCATCATGCGTAAACAGTTTAGAAGGGTCTTAAAAAATTACAATAACGTTGTTTTTGCTGGAAGATAGAATCGATGAAATGTGGGTTTTAGCTTGATTCACATAAATGTCATATGTGGTGTTTCGCTAGTGTCATACAAATGTCTTAGGTGGTTTTTAGCTAGTGTCATACAATTGTCTTAGGTGGTTTTTAGCTAGTGTCATACAAATGTCTTAGGTGGTTTTTAGCTAGTGTCATACAAATGTCTTAGGTGGTTTTCAGCTAGTGTCATACAAATGTCTTAGGTGGTTTTTAGCTAGTGCTATACAAATGTCTTAGGTGGTTTTTAGCTAGTATCATACATATGCGTTAGGTGGTTTTCAGCTAGTGTCATACAAATGTCTTAGGTGGTTTTTAGCTAGTGCCATACACATGTCTTAGGTGGTTTTTAGCTAGTGTCATACAAATGTCTTAGGTGGTTTTTAGCTAGTGTCATACAAATGTCTTAGGTGGTTTTTAGCTAGTGTCATACAAATGTCTTAGGTGGTTTTCAGCTAGTGTCATACAAATGTCTTAGGTGGTTTTTAGCTAGTGTCATACAAATGTCTTAGGTGGTTTTTAGCTAGTGTCATACAAATGTCTTAGGTGGTTTTCAGCTAGTGTCATACAAATGTCTTAGGTGGTTTTTAGCTAGTGTCATACAAATGTCTTAGGTGGTTTTTAGCTAGTGTCATACAAATGTCTTAGGTGGTTTTTAGCTAGTGTCATACAAATATCTTAGGTGGTTTTTAGCTAGTGTCATACAAATGTCTTAGGTGGTTTTTAGCTAGTGTCATACAAATGTCTTAGGTGGTTTTCAGCTAGTGTCATACAAATGTCTTAGGTGGTTTTTAGCTAGTGCCATACAAATGTCTTAGGTGGTTTTTAGCTAGTGTCATACAAATGTCTTAGGTGGTTTTTAGCTAGTGTCATACAAATGTCTTAGGTGGTTTTTAGCTAGTGTCATACAAATGTCTTAGGTGGTTTTTAGCTAGTATCATACAAATGTCTTAGGTGGTTTTCAGCTAGTGTCATACAAATGTCTTAGGTGGTTTTTAGCTAGTGTCATACAAATGTCTTAGGTGGTTTTTAGCTAGTGTCATACAAATGTCTTAGGAGGTTTTTAGCTAGTGTCATACAAATGTCTTAGGTGGTTTTCAGCTAGTGTCATACAAATGTCTTAGGTGGTTTTTAGCTAGTATCATACAAATGTCTTAGGTGGTTTTTAGCTAGTGTCATACAAATGTCTTAGGTGGTTTTCAGCAGTGTCATACAAATGTCTTAGGTGGTTTTTAGCTAGTATCATACATATGTGTTAGGTGGTTTTCAGTTAGTGTCATACAAATGTCTTAGGTGGTTTTTAGCTAGTATCATACATATGTGTTAGGTGGTTTTCAGCTAGTGTCATACAAATGTCTTAGGTGGTTTTTAGCTAGTGCCATACACATGTCTTAGGTGGTTTTTAGCTAGTGTCATACAAATGTCTTAGGTGGTTTTTAGCTAGTGTCATACAAATGTCTTAGGTGGTTTTTAGCTAGTGTCATACAAATGTCTTAGGTGGTTTTCAGCTAGTGTCATACAAATGTCTTAGGTGGTTTTTAGCTAGTGTCATACAAATGTCTTAGGTGGTTTTCAGCTAGTGTCATACAAATGTCTTAGGTGGTTTTTAGCTAGTGTCATACAAATGTCTTAGGTGGTTTTTAGCTAGTATCATACAAATGTCTTAGGTGGTTTTTAGCTAGTGTCATACAAATGTCTTAGGTGGTTTTCAGCTAGTGTCATACAAATGTCTTAGGTGGTTTTTTAGCTAGTGTCATACAAATGTCTTAGGTGGTTTTTAGCTAGTGTCATACAAATGTCTTAGGTGGTTTTTAGCTAGTGTCATACAAATGTCTTAGGTGGTTTTCAGCTAGTATCATACATATGTGTTAGGTGGTTTTTAGCTAGTGTCATACAAATGTCTTAGGTGGTTGTTAGCTAGTATCATACATATGTGTTAGGTGGTTTTCAGCTAGTGTCATACAAATGTCTTAGGTGGTTTTCAGCTAGTGTCATACAAATGTCTTAGGTGGTTTTAAGCTAGTGTCATACAAATGTCTTAGGTGTTTTTCAGTTAGTGTCATACAAATGTCTTAGGTGGTTTTTAGCTAGTGTCATACAAATGTCTTAGGTGGTTTTCAGCTAGTGTCATACAAATGTCTTAGGTGGTTTTTAGCTAGTGTCATACAAATGTCTTAGGTGTTTTTCAGTTAGTGTCATACAAATGTCTTAGGTGGTTTTTAGCTAGTGTCATACAAATGTCTTAGGTGGTTTTTAGCTAGTGTCATACAGATGTCATTTGCCGTGGCTGGCTATTGGTGTGTAGATATAACGAATGTTCATTTAATAACCATGGACGATGGCAAGATCATGTTTACTCGGGTGGGTGGGGGGAGGGGTTCATAAATTAATCAACAAGTACTAGAACATCTGTGTCAGATAAAAACTAGGGCTCCTTTGTTGGGGAGTGATAACCTAGTAAACAACACACTTTATTTTAAAATCTTCGCGTCATCTTGACAAAAAATTCCCACTGTGTTGATGTAATGACACCAGCCCCCCCCCCCCCCCCCCACCCCATCTGTCCTGCACCCCACGTTGTACCTTGACACGATACGCCTCTGTCCATCAGACACAGCAGACGGCGACAGACAAGAGATTAGAGACCCAGAATCTGGAGGACATCGGTCTAACGACGACTTCTGCTCGGCTGGGCATGGTCAAAAAATGGCTGGACAATTTGGAATGACGTCCTGATTGGTCAGTTCCACCGAGAGCAGTGAAGCGTGGAAGCATCGACTTAAACATCAGAGGAACAGCTCAAGCGATGGACGTCACTGTATAATGTGGGGAGGGGAAGGGGGCGGACGGACTTATCAAACTAATCTGTCTCTCAGACTCGATTTTCTTTTGTTATTTTTTTTATTTCTATCAGTATCAAGATGGAATAGAATCAAGACTTTCTTGCAGTTATATTTGTATGTATGTATGTATGTATATATATATATATATATATATATATATATATATATATATATATATATATATATATATATATATAAATAATATATATTATATATATACATATATATACATATATATATGTATATATATATATATATATAAAATATATATATTATATATATACATATATATACATATATATACATATATATATATATATATATATATATATATATATATATATATATATATATATATATATATATATATATATATATATATATATATACCTGTAAGAAACAGAACATACAGGTGCAAAAAAAAGCACACAAAGAAAACTATAACATAAAGTTAAAGCCAAAAATAGATAGGATATTTCAACTTTGTTAAAAAAAAGCGAATGTCGCTCTTGTAAATGATGTGAAAAAAGCTAAATATAAAGTTTTCTCTGTTAGTAAATTGAACCCATTTGTAATGGCGTTTTTAATACAATTTCATATGGAGATTTTTTTTATCCTAAATCGGTTGTCTCGCTTGACTAGACTCAGGAAATTAGGAGAGAAGAAATCCGTGGATCGATGGATGGGATTGTGGCTGTCGGCCTCCAAGGGATGCTTTGTTGATGGATAAATATGTCAGTCTGAAATGGATGCTTGATTAATGGATAAATGTGTCAGTCTGAAATGGATGCTTGATTAATGGATACATATGTCAGTTTTAAATGGATATTTGTCAATGATTATAGCGTTTTTAAATCGATGCTTTGTTGATGGATATATATGTCAGTCTGAAATGGATGCTTGATTAATGGATAAATGTGTCAGTCTGAAATGGATGCTTGATTAATGGATAAATGTGTCAGTCTGAAATGGATGCTTGATTAATGGATACATATGTCAGTTTTAAATGGATATTTGTCAATGATTATAGCGTTTTTAAATCGATGCTTTGTTGATGGATATATATGTCAGTCTGAAATGGATGCTTGATTAATGGATAAATATGTCAGTTTTAAATGGATATTTTGTCAATGATTATAGCGTTTTGAAATCGATGCTTTGTTGATGGATATATATGTCAGTCTGAAATGGATGCTTGATTAATGGATAAATGTGTCAGTCTGAAATGGATGCTTGATTAATGGATACATATGTCAGTTTTAAATGGATATTTGTCAATGATTATAGCGTTTTTAAATCGATGCTTTGTTGATGGATATATATGTCAGTCTGAAATGGATGCTTGATTAATGGATAAATATGTCAGTTTTAAATGGATATTTTGTCAATGATTATAGCGTTTTGAAATCGATGCTTTGTTGATGGATATATATGTCAGTCTGAAATGGATGCTTGATTAATGGATAAATATGTCAGTTTTAAATGGATATTTTGTCAATGATTATAGCGTTTTGAAATCGATGCTTTGTTGATACACCTCTTTGTTTTTAATGGGAACTTTGTAAATGGATAATGCTGTTTAGCATAGATACTTTACTGAAAGATAATGCTGTTTAACGTGGATATTTTACTGATGGATAATGCTGTTTAGCATGGATACTTTATAGATGGATAATGCTGTTCAGCATGGATATTTTATCGATGGATAATGATGTTTGGCATGGATACTTTATCGATGGATAACGCTGTTCAGTATGGATTTACTGACGGATTATGCTATTTAGCATGGATACTTTGTCAATGGGTAGTGCTGTTTAGCATGAGTACTTTGTCGATGGCTGAAAACATCGATTCCATAAGATCGGCTCCATCTATCTGTGTAGTAAACATCGAAGATTTCTTGGCGAATTTTTTTAATGGTAGGAGAGGATAAAATATTCGATGAACGAAAGGGCTTTGATAGACAGCGAGAAACGCTTTGGGTGGCGGTTTTGTTTGATACTTGGATTCCCGTGAGGCGCTTTTCAATATTTTCTAAAGAGAAAGTGAGAGCCAATTCTAGTGGGGATATGAAATTCAGAATTTCTTTAACATTTGCATGTGTGGTGGTTTGGGGAGGGGAGGGGGCATGTTCAAAAAGTGTGGCTAAATTTAGTGGGGAGTAGGTTTTACCTAGAGCGTGAGTACGGTATAAACAATAACTTATTCAAAAAATGGTTGATAACATTCGTGCAATAAAAACGTTCAGTCAAGTGTAAAAAATATTAAAGTGTTTAATATACAGTAACATTTTAAAAAGTTATAAAACAACAAATAAATATGGAAGACTTCAAGTTTAAGCTGTTAAAATTATTTGGATACCAAATAATGCTCATTGTTATACCCCATCTAATGCTTCAATAACAGTAACACGTATTTCAAGAACATTTGTGTGTCTAGTTTTAATGTATATTCCACGACTGTCTATATTAATGTGTGTTTGTATCACTATGATCTCTATTGTGTGCGTTTGTATCACTAGGATCTATATCGTGTGTGTTTGTATCACTAGGGTCTATAATGTGTGTTTTTGTATCACTTGAGTCTATATTGTGTGTGTTTGTATCACTAGGGTCTATATCGTGTGTGTTTGTATCACTAGGGTCTATATCGTGTGTGTTTGTATCACTATGGTCTATATTGTGTGTGTTTGTATCAGTAAGATCTATATCGTGTGTGTTTCTATCACTTGCTTCTATACTACGTATATCTGTATCACACGGTTCTATGTGTCGCCTGTCTCTAGGCGTGTCCGTACCAACACCACAAGCTTCACTGTCCAAGAGATCGACCTTGAGCTCCAGACTAGCTGCCTCCTGCATCTCTTGTTTGGCAACACCACAAGCTTCACTGTCCAAGAGATCGACCTTGAGCTCAAGACTAGCTGCCTCCTGCATCTCTTGTTTGGCCCACGTCTGCAGATCACCACTGCTGAAGACGATGAAGAAAATGGCCCCGAACACGTAGATGGCCGCGGCGATGTAAAACACTTGCCGCCATTGTTCTTGTGTTTGCTGTAGGCCGGAAACAGGAAGAGGAAATTATGTTTCTGTTAAGTCAAGATGGGTGGCGAAAAATAAAGTTCCTTTTTAGCTCTGGAGGTCCATTTATATTTCTATGACTCGGGGTAGTAAATGAGTAATGTGTTAGAGCTATGATAAGATTAGACGTCCTTTTATCCACGACTGGAGTTGGTACCCTTCGTGGTTGGAGGAATCGAGCCCGGAAATCGAACTCGAAACTTTTAGGTTAGTAAGCGTGTGCTCTACCTCCCAACCACGCTGTCCCACCAATAAGAATGTTCTAGAGAAGGTAGGAGAGTGTACTCTACCTCACAAACACCTTGTCTCACCAATAAGAATGTTCTAGAGAAGGTAGGAGAGTGTACTCTACCTCACGAACACCTTGTCCCGCCAATAAGAATGTTATAGAGAAGGTAGGAGAGTGTACTCTACCTCACAAACACCTTGTCCCGCCAATAAGAATGTTCTAGAGAAGGTAGGAGAGTGTACTCTACCTCACAAACACCTTGTCCCGCCAATAAGAATGTTCTAGAGAAGGTAGGAGAGTGTACTCTACCTCACAAACACCTTGTCCCGCAGATAAGAATGTTCTAGAGAAGGTAGGAGAGTGTACTCTACCTCACAAACACCTTGTCCCGCCAATAAGAATGTTCTAGAGAAGGTAGGAGAGTGTACTCTACCTCACAAACACCTTGTCCCGCCAATAAGAATGTTCTAGAGAAGGTAGGAGAGTGTACTCACGTCTGGGGTGAGGAGGCCAATGGCCAGGGGTGAGAGGAAGCCAGGGATGGTGGCCACGGTGTTGGAGATCCCGTAGATGACCCCCGCGTACATGGGCGCGATGTCCCCGGCACTCATGTACAGCCCGCCCCCGTACTGGAACCCCGTCATGGACACGCCCAGTGCCAGCAGGGACACGGCCAGGTACGGCTGGGTACAGTCCACAAAACTCACGGCAATCAGGAGCAGGGCAGGGACAAATTTACCTGGGGACAAACAAGTCGGGCGTGAACACATGCAAGATGGGCATTAATACATGCAAGATGGGCATTAATACATGCAAGATGGGCATTAATACATGCAAGATGGGCATTAATACATGCAAGATGGGCATTAATACATGCAAGATGGGCATTAATACATGCAAGGTGGGCATTAATACATGCAAGATGGGCATTAATACACTGGAAACCATACATGCAAGACTTGTAATAACACGTATAAAACAGCTAGTAGGCTCACATTTTAACACTGACACAACAGACATCAGTACACGCTAACAAACAAAAAACATCATAAGATACAGGTGTATTGACACATACACAAGTTATAATGACAGTATAAGACGTACGAGTCAATAGCTACCAAGATACATGGACATTTTTGAGTCAGGTATCGACATATGGATACATGGACATTGTTTTGATCAGATATCGGCATAATTTATATCGCAATTACGAAAAAACAAGGACATTTTTAGTCATATTATATCGACATTTTCGCCAAGCAGCGCAGACAACAAATTGTACAAGTGAACAAGCAATTGACGTCACAGACTAATATTGACGGCTTCACATCCACAAAACTAATCTTAATTGAATAATTTTCCAGTCGTACACTCTAGAAGCTAAAAGCTGCTCAGCTAAAACTAAATTGTGCAGCGGAAATACAATTCTAGCTTTAAATGCAACCGATACGACTAATTCAATTGGAGATATTAAACGTGCCAGATACCACTCAGGAAACCCTGCCGAAGGAAGGTGCCAGAAATACGCTGTGAAACGGTCTAATTTACTAATGCCCTAGGCTGTCATACCCGAGTTCGGGAATTCCCCGCAGACGTTTAACAGACGCGTGCGGTTGTGAGAAAACGGACAGATGATTGGCGGGAAAAAGACTTGTGCTCCCAAGCGCGTCTAGCAGTAGATTCACGCGCCCAGTAAATTTTGATTAGAGTCAACGGTCGCGCCCAGCTATTACTTGCAGGGTCCCAGTGGGCACCAGAAAAACACGAACCATCCCGCCATCTCGTGACATAGTCTCCACCACCGTGGTGTCATTGCTTGGTTTAGATGGTGCTTGTTTTTTTACGGACCGGATGGGTTCAATACAGTCGGATAGTTGGCTATTGTGTGGGATCGTGTTCTTAGTTTCTCCGATACGGTGTTTAGTGGATGTTTTGTAATTGTGCATAAATTTGAAATTGAAATTTTCTCAATCACGACGTTTTTGCACCTTCCTGTGTCGTAAAAACTCAGTTTTACAATAATTTCTGAGTTAGATTACGATAAGCTATGTATTGTTTCCGTAAGGTAGACGAAATTTCATATAGATCCACAAGGATTAGATCCTCCACGTAGGTTTTTGTATCAACTTTTGAACGATTTCCCGTAAACGAAAGTTGTGCTTACTCTATTTCTGGTGTATAAATTACCAATTACTTGAGCACTGTGTCATTAGAGTGGACAAAATTTGACACAAGTGTTTCATACTGTAAATAGGTATCTTTTAACTTTTTGAGCGATTTCCGGTAACCGGAAGTATTACTTCGTCTTCGATGTTTCAAAAACCTTCAGAATGTGTTTGATAATTTTATGTCATTAAGTAGCATAATCTAAGAACTTGTTGCCCAAATAAAAAAGAAAAAACCCATCGGTTTTGTCAGCTACCATTTCTAAAGTCAGATTCCACTGGAAGTACCATCCCAACCCTTATTCTATAAAAACATACGAGAAAGCCTAGAGGAAATCCCCTCAATTTTGTTTGACTTACCGACTGAGTTAAAAAGTTTTCTGGTTGCTGTTGTTGACAAGAGTTGTTTGCTCCTGACCAGGTCTGCCAGCCAACTGGACACGGTGATCAGAAGCCAGAAGCCGAGGTACGGCAGTGCTGAGAGAAAGCCATTCTGGAATTTTTAAAAGCGTCGCGAGCATTTAATCTACGGTCAATCTCCTTTGATTGTCTTATATAGACATCGAACACTTTTAATTCCATTTAAAATCAGGTTTAAGCTGAACTATTAAATTAAGTCTCTTTAGCTTTTTCGTATACGGAGTATAGAGGAAGTATTGTACTCATGCAAAAAATAGAATTTCATATTTTTACAAATCTCGACTTTTTACAACTCCCTGCGTCGAAAAACAGAGCAAACTTGTCCGTTTGTTTGTCTGTGTGTATGTAAACACGATAACTTGAGTGCCGTTTCAGTAATGTCGACGAAATTTCATACATGTATAACATTTATTTAGTAGTTTTCTTTCAAACTTTGAACAATTTCCGGTAACCGGAAGTGACTCTCAAAAGCCTATAACTTGAGTACCGTTGAAGTTAGGCGAACGAAACTTTACATATAAGTATTAAGTTATATGCCCAATTGTCTAACTACTTTTGAGCTACTTCCTCTCAGTAGCGTAGCGAAGGGGGGGGGGGCATATGTCCCCGGGCGCCGACCTTAGGGGGCGCCAAAATGGGTTGGAAAAATAAATTGAAAGGTTGAGGGGGGTGCAAATCGAAAGTTTGAGGAGGGGGGGGGTGCAAATTGAAATCTCGAGGGGGGTGCAAATCGAAAGTTTGAGGGGGGGGGTGCAAATCGAAAAGTTTGTCCCCGGGCGCCGGGAAGGGTCGCTACGCCTCTGCTTTCTCTATTCCCGTGGGAAAACGATAACTCAAGTACTGTTTCAGATAAGTAGATAAAATTTGACCTAACAGTAAAATATCTTATAAGTGAATTAAATTCAACTTTTGAAGGACCTGAAGTGGTGCTTTATTCAATTTCTGGTTTCTAAGTGGACTAAATCTTACACATAGTTATAAGATCTTATTCACTGGTATCTGTCAAATTCTAAGTAATTCCGGTGAACGGAAGTAGTACTTTACACTATTTATATAACTTGATTCCTTTGTCTATCGTCCGTCACGGGAAACTCGTGAGCAAAAATTCGACCACTTCTATCGGACCGATTTCTTTCAAACGTTTTTCGTAGCTTAAGACTCGATGACAACGCACTGTGACATAGAATGTGACTCGATTAGTTGTTTAAATAACTTTTTAAAAATTAATCCAGGTCTCCTTTATAAAGTACTAATTTTCCGTTCCATTAAACATACATCTGTTGCCGTCTATTTAGTGTATTTTTTTCAATGCCATTCCATTCTATTTTAAAAATGTAAGTATTAAAAATAATCAAAAACATTTCTATATAGACCGATAGCAGTAGAAGTGCCATCACCCTTACTGTTATTTAAGAATATACTATTATTATACGAGAAGGGCTAGGGGTGATCAATCCCGCTTCATTTTTTACTTTCTCGTATATACGTAGTATAGAGAAAGTATTGTAATCGTGCAAAAAAAAATTCGAGATTTTTACAAATCTCTACGTTTTACACCTCACTGATACGGAAAAACATAATTTTGCAATCTTGTCCGTATGTCTGTGTGTGTATGTGTGTGTGTGTGTGTGTGTCTGTGTGTCCGTGTGTAAACACGATAACTTGAGTACCGTTACTGCTAGGTTGATGAAATTTCATATATAAGTATTTTATCAAAATCGTAGATCCGTATCAACTTTTGAGCGATTTCCGATAACCGGAAGTGGTACTTTTTCTGCTTTGAATTTTTCAAAAGCCTATAACTTGAGTACTATTTCAGATAGATAAATGAAATTTCACATGTAAGTAAAAGATCTAATTCTCTACCTTCTGTTAAATTTTGAGTAATTTCCGTTGACCGGAAGTAGTAATTTACGCTACTTCCGATTTCTCAAAAAACTAATGTAAATTTTAAAAGTACTAATAATATTGCGCACTATTATGCGCTTTTTTATTTCGCGTTCACTTGGTGTGCAATTAATTTGTCTACGAGATTTTATTCTATTTTTAAAACTTTAAGTATTTAAAATGGGTTAAAAATCATGTCTATAGCCCGAGTTCCCATCCCCTGTTATTTCATATAAAAATATTCGAGAAAGTTTAGGGGAGATCACTCCCGGTTTATTTTTAATAAGAGAGATACTGCAAAGACATGGATTTTAAAGAATAATGCCTGTGTTATGTTAAAATATTCAATCCCTGTAGCGTTAAACTACAGTGCCTACCTGTTTGATGTCGAACTTTAACACCTCCTTCATGTAGGTGGGGATGTTGGTTAAAAACGTGTACTCCCCCCAGTTACAGCACATGTGAGCAATGATGATGGCCCACACCGGACCGGAGCCAAGGATTGAGAGCCACGGTGTTTTGGTCTGAAAGGCAAGAGGGTAACATCAGTGTCGGTCTGTCTATACATATCTGTTTAATTCTTTCGGAAACAAAAAAGCATATATATATATATATATATATATATATATATATATATATATATATATATATATATATATATATATATATATATATATATATGTATATGTATATATATATATATATATATATATATATATATATATATATATATATATATATATATATGTATATATATATATGTATATATATATATATATATATATATATATATATATATATATATATATATATATATATATATATATATATATAGAGAGAGAGAGAGAGAGAGAGAGAGAGAGAGAGAGAGAGAGAGAGAGAGAGAGAGAGATAGAGAGAGAGAGAGACTTTGCATAGTTCCTGGTGTGTGACGCGCATGACTGCTCTTACAAGTGTGTCAGTGTGTTCACAACATAACTGATTGGTAATAGCCTCCATTTAATCCACTATCCTTACAAACACGTCTTTTCTGTTGTTTTGAATACATGAATTTCTCTGGTCTAAATACTCTACTGGAAGTTTCTCTGTAATCATCACTACTGGTTTCAATACTGTCCATTCAGTGTATAACCTATCGTTAACTGAATGCAACAAGGCTGGTAGGGCGTACCTGTGACAGGTTGTTTACTTCAAGTAGGACTTACCTTTTACATGTTAACTGCCACAAGGATATTAGGACTTATCTGTGACTAGTTAACTACCACAATGACATTAGGACTTACCTGTGACCTACCACAAGGACATAAGGACTTACCTGTGACCTGCCACAAGGACATAAGGACTTACCTGTGACCTGCCACAAGGACATTAGTCTCACCTGTGATCGGCCGCTGACCATGCCGGCTAGGCTGGTCTCTATGTAGTCTCTCTCACGTGCAGATATCCTCGGGTGTTGGGAGGGGCTGTCGTAGACCGTCAGGCACCAGCCAACAAACCAGACTACCCCAACAATACCTGGTGGGTGGGGTGAGACAATACAGGACTACATTCTACAAACTATCTTAACTAACATATCACACACACACACATATATATATATATATATATATATATATATATATATATATATATATATATATATATATATATATATATATATATATATAACATCCTGATTCTGACATATTGACATATTCTCATACAGAAACATAATTACCCCCACACAATCACTCCACATCATGTGCACAACACGTGATCATAATTCAGAACTATATGGTCACAAAGAACATTATCATTTCACTTTTAAATGATAGCTAAACATCGTTAAACAAGGAAATACTTATCACAAATAACGCAATATAACATCATAACTTGTATCAAATGATATAGCAACAATAACGTATCATGTATACATTCACAATGCTCAACAAGGCTCCACACAGTCCCAGACTAAAACTAACAACTACTATCTCTAGACCCAGGGTTCGAATCCCGACCCAGCAGTCAGGGTTCAAATCCCGACCCAGCAGTCAGGGTTCAAATCCAGACCCAGCGGTCAAGGTTCAAATCCCGACCCAGCGGTCAAGGTTCAAATCCCGACCCAGCGGTCAAGGTTCAAATCCCGACCCAGCGGTCAAGGTTCAAATCCCGACCCAGCGGTCAAGGTTCAAATCCCGACACAGCGGTCAGCGTTCAAATCCCGACACAGCGGTCAGGGTTCAAATCCCGACACAGAGGTCAGGGTTCAAATCCCGACACAGCGGTCAAGGTTCAAATCCCGACCCAGCGGTCAGGGTTCAAATCCCGACCCAGCAGTCAGGGTTCAAATCCCGACACAGCGGTCAAGGTTCAAATCCCGACCCAGCGGTCAGGGTTCAAATCCCGACCCAGCGGTCAAGGTTCAAATCCCGACCCAGCGGTCAAGGTTCAAATCCCGACCCAGCGGTCAAGGTTCAAATCCCGACCCAGCGGTCAAGGTTCAAATCCCGACACAGCGGTCAGGGTTCAAATCCCGACACAGCGGTCAGGGTTCAAATCCCGACACAGAGGTCAGGGTTCAAATCCCGACACAGCGGTCAAGGTTCAAATCCCGACCCAGCGGTCAGGGTTCAAATCCCGACCCAGCAGTCAGGGTTCAAATCCCGACACAGCGGTCAAGGTTCAAATCCCGACCCAGCGGTCAGGGTTCAAATCCCGACCCAGCGGTCAGGGTTCAAATCCCGACACAGCGGTCAAGGTTCAAATCCCGACCCAGCGGTCAGGGTTCAAATCCCGACCCAGCGGTCAGGGTTCAAATCCCGACACAGCGGTTAGGGTTCAAATCCCGACACAGCGGTTAGGGTTCAAATCCCGACACAGCGGTCAGGGTTCAAATCCCGACACAGCGGTCAGGGTTCAAATCCCGACCCAGCGGTCAGGGTTCAAATCCCGACCCAGCGGTCAGGGTTCAAATCCCGACCCAGCGGTCAGGGTTCAAATCCCGACCCAGCGGTCAGGGTTCAAATCCCGACACAGCGGTGTGTGCTACTCACCCTGCAGATAAAACAAGCTCGGCCAGCCGCCGTCAAAGCCGTACTCACACAGGAGTGCCGTCATTGGGTACGTCAGGACCTTGCCCACCTGGGAACCTGGGAGATGATATACAGGTGATGTGGGTAAGTGGTGTGGGTGGGTGGTGTGGGTAGATGATGTGGGTAGGTGGTGTGGGTAGGTGATGTGGGTAGGTGATGTGGGCAGGTGATGTGGGTAGATGGTGTGGGTAGGTGATGTGTGGAGGTGATGTGGGCAAGTGGTGTGGGTGGGTGGTGTGGGTAGATGATGTGGGTAGGTGGTGTGGGTAGGTGATGTGTGGAGGTGATGTGGGTAGGTGGTGTGGGTAGGTGATGTGGTCAAGTGGTGTGGGTAGGTGATGTGGGTAGGTGGTGTGGGTAGGTGATGTGTGGAGGTGATGTGGGTAGGTGGTGTGGGTAGGTGGTGTGGGTAGGTGATGTGTGGAGGTGATGTGGGTAGGTGGTGTGGGTAGGTGGTGTGGGCAGGTGATGTGGTCAAGTGGTGTGGGTGGGTGGTGTGGGCAGGTGATGTGGATAGGTGAGGTGGGTAGGTGATGTGGGCAGGTGATGTGGGTAGGTGATGTGGGTAGGTGGTGTGGGTAGGTGATGTGGGTAGGTGATGTGGGTAGGTGATGTGGGTAGGTGATGTGGGTAGGTGATGTGGGTAGGTGATGTGGTCAAGTGGTGTGGGTAGGTGATGTGGGCAGGTGGTGTGGGCAGGTGATGTGGGCAGGTGATGTGGGTAGGTGATGTGGGTAGGTGATGTGGGCAGGTGATGTGGTCAAGTGCTGTGGGTAGGTGATGTGGGTAGGTGATGTGGGTAGGTGATGTGGTCAAGTGGTGTGGGTAGGTGATGTGGGCAGGTGGTGTGGGCAGGTGATGTGGGCAGGTGATGTGGGTAGGTGATGTGGGTAGGTGATGTGGGTAGGTGATGTGGGTAGGTGATGTGGGTAGGTGATGTGGGTAGGTGATGTGGGTAGGTGATGTGGGTAGGTGATGTGGTCAAGTGGTGTGGGTAGGTGATGTGGGCAGGTGGTGTGGGCAGGTGATGTGGGCAGGTGATGTGGGTAGGTGATGTGGGTAGGTGATGTGGGCAGGTGATGTGGTCAAGTGGTGTGGGTAGGTGATGTGGGTAGGTGATGTGGGTAGGTGATGTGGGCAGGTGATGTGGGTAGGTGATGTGGGCAGGTGATGTGGGTAGGTGATGTGGGCAGGTGATGTGGGTAGGTGGTGTGGGTAGGTGATGTGGGAAGGTGATGTGGACAGGTGATGTGGGTGGGTGATGTTGGCATCAATGGCTCATGTGAAACACTACAGAACATTTTTGCCATGTTATAGCAATACGTTAGAACAACACCGTGGGGCCACTACAAATTACGGTCCCCTGGCTGCAGACCGACCCTCCCCACAGAACCTACCAGCAAAGCAGATACTCCTCAGTCTGCTGCTCTCTAATGGAGGCGCCCAGTGGGACCACAGGGACTGCATGGCTGGTGACACGAACCCCTGCAGAGATCACGTGATTAGTTGATGGAGTGATGAATCGATAACATGGTGACATGGCTGGTGACACAGTCCGATAAGTGTGTTGGTATGATGTGGTGACATAAAGGAGGTTTGGTAGCAGTGACGAGCTACGTATTTTGTGTGCCCGGTGTTCTAAAAGCCTAATAAAGGATATATGTATTTTACATAATGACTGGGCGGCAGCTCAAAAATACTGCGCGGCCGCGCAAGCCGCAGCTTAGAGAAATCTGGTGATGAGTATAGTGACACATCCTGTAACTAGTGTTATATGGTGCTAAATGGTGACACCTATGATTGTCTTACCTGTGATTGTCTTACCTGTGGTTGTCTTACCTGTGATTGTCTTACCTGTGAAGCACCTGTGAAAAACCTCAGTGCCATCAGACCCTGCACACTACTCCCGTGTTATGGTGACACCTGTGAATGTCTTACCTGTGATTGTCTTACCTGTGTTATGGTGACACCTGTGATTGTCTTACCTGTGATTGTCTTACCTGTGTTATGATGACACCTGTGATTGTCTTACCTGTGATTGTCTTACCTGTGAAGCACCTGTGAAAAACCTCAGTGCCATCAGACCCTGCACGCTGCTCCTGGCAACCACCGGCACCAACAGGGTCAACAACGCCGACGCCAGCAGAGAGAGGCCGATCACGTGTTTGCCGCCATATTTGGTGGCCAGCACGCCGCCCGCCAGATTGGTGACCAAATAGCCCCAGAAGATGGAGCCGTGGATCAGCCCTTGGGTCTCCTTGTCCCAGTTCAACTCGCCATCCTAAAACACGCAGAAAGGGGGGGGGGGCACAAGGACAACGGAAGAAAATAAACAACAACAGGGATGTAAGAAATGCAAGATATACACCCCGCTTGTAGACTGTCTCATGTGTCAGAGCCAGTGTTTCTTCCAGACTTTTTTCTCCGGGGGGGGGGGGGGGGCACTTGATATTTTCTGGGGGACGGACATTTTCCGGAGGGCGGACAGTGGTAAAAAGTAAAAAGTGTATGTTTTCTATATAAATTTCGTCGGGGGGGGGGGGGGGGGGTAGACTTTCCTGAAAGAAACATTGTTCAGACCATTAGCCCTGTCCCGTCATACCGTGCATTAGAGAGATAACTAGACAATAAAGACGCTATAACGATTGTCCAACGCTTGAAAGCAATTGCAATTCAAATCTAAGACGAGCAATGCATGCTATTCATTTTAAAATAATGAAACTCGATCGAATCGTTTCAAATAAATTCGTTACACCTGACTGATTATTCTAAAGTTGTTTTTTTTTAAAAAAAGTTTCTGTAATCCACATTGTAGTTGCGCCTCCGTTCAAGTTTCTCCCCCCCCCCCCCCCACTCACGTAATAAGATGAAATCTCACCTCCAAGCCAGTCTGACCGGAAGAGTTATCATCCTTGTCTGGTCGACACAAATCAAACGACGCTGATGAGTTCTGTCCAACTGAGGCATGCTGGGAGGAGTGATTGACCATGCAGACGATAGCTATACTCATGTTGACCCGTAGAGCGTAGAAGTTGAGGAACCCCAAAAATGCAAAGATAGCCAGGGTCAGTCTCGTCGATCTCCATAGTGGTGCAGCTAGAAGATTATATATATATATATATATATATATATATATATATATATATATATATATATATATATATATATATATATATATATTGTGAATCTTGTAAAGTTGAGGAGTTGTTACATCCCCAACAGGATTGAGAGGAACACGAGCTCAATAATTGACTGTACTATTGTACTGTAGCTTAAAACGTCAGACTTGTCACGTGGAGTCCGTGGGGGATTTACCACAGTGAAGGCTCATGTGCGTATGTTGGTGTAGTTATACAATGTCAGATATATAAATAGTGCTATGTAGAATATAGTGATTGTATGTATGTAGATATCAAAATTCATAATTTTATATATATATCCATAATTTTATATATATCCATATTTATAAAGTGTGGGTAGGTATGCATATATATATATATATATATATATATATATATATATATATATATATATATATATATATATATATATATATGTATGTCACATGAGAAAGATATTCCATTACAGATGTAATTACACCGGTGTCTTACATTAGAAATTTGAACGATATCATTACAAAATTGAACGAACACAAAAGACATTGACTCTCACCTTTCATATTACTTGTTCCACCGACAACTAGGTCACCCCAGAAAAAAATAACGGATGTGCTCGGCCGCCATACGCCGTGACCCAGTTTCTGAAGAACGTGTGCTGGTTACTTGGCACAGATTTGACGACACGCAAACCGTAAAACCGTTAAATATTGACGGTTCGGACAGCCACAATTGGGACACAGTTGTGATGGGCGTGTCATAATTTCTACCCAGATTACTGGTGTGTAAGTAGTTTAGCTGTGCTCGATGTGTGAGTGGGAGTAAACAATCGCACGTGCCGGCAGAGCAGCTGTACTCGAGTCAGCGATACTTGGGACTTGCTGTTCGTTTATATGACGAACCGCGGGCCGTATGTGACCATCAATGAAAAATATACGCATCCTCTACTTGATAATTTAAGTGATAAATGTATTTGATTATTAAACACATACTAAACCTAATTTCATATCATAAATTACAAAACGTGAACAAAGATTGCAAACGATCTAATCTACAATAGGAAAAAGATACAGTCAATAACGAACTAGACAAGTATAAAACACTTAATACTAATGATACATGATTACAGCGACAGTCGGCTTGACCCGGACATTGCATTGTGTCAAACTTCCAGCGTGTCATCTTACAACCTATGACCTAATTATTGATCTCGGTCGAATTTTTTCTACACGTGTTGCAAGCATCCGGGTAGAGAAATGGGACACGCTCGTGACTGGGTGATTATTCAATTGAAATCCACTCAGGCGTGAAAGAAAAGTACACGCATTTGATCAACGAGTGTTTGGAAAATCCCCTTCAACATAATACAATAAATAAATAAAATACTTAAAAAAAACCTTTTTAAAAAAACCACGTTTTTCATGTGGACTAAAAAGTAGAAAATAACTATTTACATACATTTGATGACAAAAAACGTGGGTCGGGCAGATGGGTCGGGAAATTTGATGGTGAACGTACCCACGTTTTTTGTCATCAAATGTATGTAAATAGTTATTTTCTACTTTTTAGTCCACAAGAAAAACGTGGTTTTTTAAAAACGTTTTTTTTTAAGTATTTTATTTTCTCCTTTTTAGTCCGTTGCTACACATGAAAAACGTGGTTTTTAAAAAAGTTTTTTATATAGTTTATTTTCTACTTTATCTAATGACTCGATTAAGTATGACTTTACTAAGTGTTTATAAATACACGGACTAAAAAAATCTTGAGCGTCCAGGATTCGAACCTGGGTTGTCGCGGCCACAACGCGAAGTACTAACCACTATACGATCACGGCCAGCGCGCTCACATCGAATGGGGCCGAAGTAACTGTGTCAATAAGCCTACAGTCTTGTCGGTATCTTTAGAAATCATGTCCTCAATTTTATGGTCCTTGGGCGTAATTAAATTAAGCTAATTACGGTCTCTAATTGCTAGTTTTTATGATTGCATCTGAAATTGTTAGGCGAAAGTAGCGTGTATGCCAAATTTCAGATCTCTAGAGCAATCAGAAGTGGGCTAATTTTCGATGTCAATTTTAACAACAAACAAACAAATCCACAAACGCGAAGCTGAGTTAAGAATAAAATACTTAAAAAAAACTTTTTAAAAAACCACGTTTTTCTTGTGGACTAAAAAGTAGAAAATAACTATTTACATACATTTGATGACAAAAAACGTGGGTACGTTCACCATCAAATTTCCCGACCCATCTGCCCGACCCACGTTTTTTGTCATCAAATGTATGTAAATAGTTATTTTCTACTTTTTAGTCCACAAGAAAAACGTGGTTTTTTAAAAAGTTTTTTTTAAGTATTTTATTTTCTCCTTTTTAGTCCGTTGCTACACATGAAAAACGTGGTTTTTAAAAAGTTTTTTATATAGTTTATTTTCTACTTTATCTAATCACTTGATTAAGTATGACTTGACTAAGTGTTTTTAAATACACGGACTAAAAAAATCTTGAGCGACCGATACGCTTTAAACAGAGAAAGGGTGTAATTTACGTTGCTGGCGTGGAGATCTACTCACGAATCACGTGATCAAATCTCCCATAAACAAACAAATAAACGCGAAGCTGAGTTAAGGAAAAACGTGTTTATGTGTATTTTAGCATGCCCAGCGTACCAACCGTGTCACCGTTAACAATGTGTTACCGTGTCCGTTCTCCTTTTTAGTCCGTTGCTACACATGAAAAACGTGGTTTTTAAAAAAAGTGTTTATAAATACACGGACTAAAAATCTTGAGCGACCAGGATTCGAACCTGGGTTGTCGCGGCCACAACGCGAAGTACTAACCACTATACGATCACGGCCAGCGCGCTCACATCGATTGGGGCCGAAGTAACTGTGTCAATAGGCTTCAAGTCTTGTCGGTATCTTTAGAAATCATGTCCTCAATTTTATGGTCCTTGGGGCGTAATTAAATTAAGCTAATTACGGTCACTAATTGCTAGTTTTTATGATTGCATCTGAAATTGTTAGGCGAAAGTAGCATGCATGCCAAATTTCAGGTCTGTAGAGCAATCAGAAGTGGGCTAATTTTCGATGTCAATTTTAACAACAAACATCCAAACAAACAAACGCGAAGCTGAGTTAAGAAAAACGTTTTAAAAACGTGTTAAAAACGAAGAAGTTATGCGCCATATGTCTTGTTGACTCTGACTTCAGCATACTTTTCTTTCTAAATTCGCTTCCATATCTTTTCTATTCAGCATTTTTCTTTTATTTTGAAGTTTTCTCTATCAGATGTGTCTCTGTTTGTAGCTAACGAGCCTCGTCTGGCTGGGGTCCGAACTCGCGACTTTTGAAGTTTGCAATCATACGCTCTCCCTCCCAACCAGTTCTCTCCTCTTACAACTGTTTCTAAATTGCGACTTAACTCTATTTGGTGCCTCCCACCCCTTCACCACCTCGATGCTTTGTCTTTCCATGATCGTGTCTATCGTTATTACAAATATGCACTAAATCTAGTGTTATTAGTTTTATAAATTAATGGCATGATCATGCACAATATGGAAGGGATTGACGTGACCATGCACAATATGGAAGTGATTGACGTGATCATGCACAATTGACGTGATCATACACAATATGGAAGTGATTGACGTGATCATGCACAATTGACGTGATCATACACAATATGGAAGTGTTTGACGTGATCATGCATAATATGGAAGTGATTGACGTGATCATGCACAATATGGAAGTGTTTGACGTGATCATGCACAATATGGAAGTGTTTGACGTGATCTTAAACAATATGGAAGTGATTGACGTGATCTTGCACAATATGGAGGGGATTGACGTGATCTTGCACAATATGGAAGGGATTGACGTGATCTTGCACAATATGGAAGGGATTGACGTGATCTTGCACAATATGGAGGGGATTGACGTGATCTTGCACAATATGGGAGGGATTGACGTGATCATGCACAATATGGAAGTGATTCCAGAGCTTGAAGAAAAATTGCTTGACCTACATCGACATGCCACTTCGGCCCGCGGTCAACTTGTAGTTCGGACCGCCCATTCTAAAAGTGCCACAGTCATGATCAGGGGCGGAACTACAGTGCCGCCAGACCCCGCAATGCGGGGGGGGGCCCACGACGTTTAGGGGCCCAATTCCGACCAAAAAAACAATGAATTTTCTTTTCATAAATAATGTTTTTCGTGCACCTTGATAGTGGTTTTGTAAAAAACAAACAGGTCTACTATAGCAGTGATTGTTCTACAGTAACTAACACACACTGTTGCGTAGAAAAATATAAAATCTACAAGAGCTCTGCTTTGAAAGATAGGCAAACGTTCACACTACTTCCATGACTTACTGCCCTTCATTAAAACACAAGTGCCCATAAAGCTCATTTAAATAGTTTTGTACTATGTAAATTAAAGAGCCATTTATTCTCTTATTTATTATTTAAATGAGGCATACTAAAGAATTCTATAGCTATAAAAATGAATGTATTCAAAACTAATAATATAAATACAAAAAATCATAAAAATAAACATAACGCGAGAAACCATTGCAAAATCAAGATTACGTGTTTATATAATTTTGACCAGCCAACATTATTTGGTGATTTCGGTAACCATAAGGCGTAATACAATCATTTGTAAAACACGATTATTACGGGCCCGAAATGAGTTCGGACTTATTGTTGACTTTGTTGTCTGGCTCGTTATCTCAGAGTGGTTATACATTGCTATAGAATTGATTAAAATACTCAGGTAATACACTATTTAAAATTTAGAGGAGCGGGCTACTTATATATATATATATATATATGTATGATTGTATGTATATATATATATATATATATATATATATATATATATATATATATATATATATATATATATATATATATATATATATATATATATATATATATATATATATATATATATATATATATATATATATATATATATATATATATATACATATAGGGGGGGGGCCCAAATTTTTTTTTTGCGGGGGAGCCTTTTTTTTCTAGTTCCGCCACTGGTCATGATACGTCCCCTGAGTAATATCTCTCCGGTAACTTTATTACTTTTTTGAAAGACTAATATTCCCGATTGAGGGAAAAAAAAGTAGATTGAAAGGTCACGTGTTGTTAGTTTTAACCGAAATAATTTCAAAGTACCAAGGGTCTTGGTCGCTTTTGTGGTTTTCCGAGTTGTTTCGTTGTGTAAACATTTTTGTTTTTACAGTTTTCTTTTTTTTTTTTGGGGCCAATGTGGCACGTCTGTTCAGTGTGCTGTATCTTGCTCTGTTTGTGCCAGCTAAGCACTGTCACGTATTGTTGAGACCAAATCTACGTGACTGATAATGTAGATTAGATTAGGTTCAATTTAATTGGTACAGTAGCGGGAAAGGGTACCAGGCAATCCTGGCTCGGCGTCAGGTTCGTTAACCTAGTCCTTATCCTAACCAGAACTCGACTGTTGGCCCGAGAGTCTCGAGATCCGAACTCGTGACTGCGGGGCGTCCCGATGGGTGCTTGACTCATGCTAGGCTGACCACACTATCCCTTCATATGCCAATGTCAAGAAACACATAAACTCTACTTCATCTGCACTATGGATCGTTTGGTCTGAAAAAGAGAACTTAACTCTTACTATCCTAACCGGATTAATATATAACAGGCCGTACATTTAGTATCACACATAGTACCTGGTTTTTCAAATTATGATTAGGAATTATCATGAACAATACAAGCGGTTCCGTTATAAGGCTACTGCTCAACGGTAGGAAACAAATCCTACCTAGCCTTAAACCAAAATAGCAGCAGAATAGTCTTAAAGAAGAAAAATAAAAGCAAAGTAATTGTCACGTGATAACCTTTGACCAAAAGTGAAATGCATCCTATTGGAAATTTTTACCACGTCGTTGCCTTACCCGAGGCTGTAAACTGGTGCAGTTTGTTGTTTTTTTGGTTGAGGAAATAATTTGGTGCCTTCGTGTACGTTCGCTCTTGTTAACGTTTCACATGAAGTGGGGGGGATGTCAAAACAAAGTCTCACAATACGAACAACATGAGACATTTGTTAAATAAATCCCTCACGTAACCGATCGTGTTGTTTTTGTAATACATTAATATTACAATGTCACCCATCTTCTACAACTTATAATATATGTGGTCTAACATATCTATATATCACTCATGTTTTATGATTTATGTCTAGACCCCCCCCCTCCCCTCCTCCCCCCCCCCCCCCAAAACACATCCCATCCCCAGTACACAATTTTTTAAAAATATTCAAATTATGGAAATCAAATTTCCCTATAGAGAAAACAGATTGTTTAAATTATTAACTGCACACGCAAAGCCTAATTTTTTTGTACAATGAACGAGCGTGTATGCAAAGTTTTCAACTATCTGAAAGTTTGAAAAATAAACGATGAATTTGAACCGTTCCATAAGCTTCAAAGTGCACTTAAAAATATAATTTATTATTGCTTCCTCGAGACATAAAATCGGTCCCTCTTGAAATATTTAAACAGTTAAAATTGTATCGACCAACACTGTCTTGTTTAAAAAAATATTTCATTTATTGTGACTAGAAAATAGAGTAGCACTGGTTTAAATAACAAGCAAAACATGATGTCGGTTAATGGAGTTAGGTTATTGGGTGGTGTCAGGTCATTAGGTGATGTTAGGTCAGCGTCCGGTCGATTACTGGTCTGGTCAATATGTAGTGTCATACGCGTAGTGAATTGTCAATTTATGGTGTCAAAGTTGTAGTGCATGGTTAGTTTGTAGTGAAACTGAATGTCGTACAGTGTAATGTCAGGTCCGTTTGTCAGAATATCAATTTCTTCTGTCTGGTGTCACGTCAATATCTGATGTCATGTCAATACCTTGTGTCACGTCAATATATGATGTCATGTCAAAATCTGGTGTCAATATCTGATGTCATGTCGATATCTGGTGTCACGTCAATATCTGGTGTCACGTCAATATGTTACGTAAGTATCTGGTGTCACGTCGATATCTGGTGTCACGTCAATATCTGGTGTCACGTCAATATATTTTATCACGTCAATATGTTACGTAAGTATCTGGTGTCACGTCAATATCTGATGTCACGTCAATATCTGGTGTCACGTGAATATCAGTGGAGACAGCAGCTGTCAGATTATCCACACGGTTGAACTCAAAGTAGGTTGTTGTTGGCTGTCTTTCTGGGCTAAGTCGGCCTTCTTTCTCGGCTGTTAAACTAAAGTCGGCTGTCTTTCTCGACTGTTAAACTAAAGTCGGCTGTCTTTCTCGACTGTTGGCCTTAGTTGGCTGTCTTTCTCGACCGTTGGACTTAGTGAGCTGTCTTTCTCGACCGTCTTCTCCAGATTCAGGTTTGGACTGGCCCAAGGCTGGACATCACCAGAAGAAAAGATGGCGAAGAAAAGCGCGCCAAAAGCGTAGATCGCGCAGGAAATGATGAACACAGTTTGCCATTGGGCTTGTGTTTGCTGGAGCAAAAATTTGTTAAAATGTCGGATTATGCAGATTTGAAAAAAAATATTTTAAAACAAGAAAAATTTTAAAAGATGAAATATAAACAAGAGTATTAAAAATTTATATTATGGATGTAGAGGTGTAATCCAGAAAAGTTTCAAGCTAAAGATTTTTTTCAAGGGGAAATGCAAAATCCAAAGAGGAATATAAAATAAATAAATTCAATGTTTCGTAAAAAGTTAAACCTGTAGAGGTATTTAGGAATATTGAGGCAAAAACTTTGTTTTTTTGCGTAATAAAATATTTATCAAAACATCTACATCCTAAATACAATTGAAAATAAACCAAAAACAAACGACAACAAACAACGGGACTACATCCTCTGTGATGTAGCCTATGACACTTACAAATTGTGTGGTGTAGCCTATGACACTTACATCTTGTGTAATGTAGCCTATGACACTTACATCTTGTGTGATGTAGCCTATGACACTTACATCTTGTGTGATGTAGCCTATGACACTTACATCTTTGGTGATGTAGCCTATGACACATCTTGTGTGATGTAGCATATGACACTTACATCTTTGGTGGTGTAGCCTATGACACATCTTGTGTGATGTAGCCTATGACACATCTTGTGTGATGTAGCATATGACACTTACATCTTTGGTGATGTAGCCTATGACACATCTTGTGTGATGTAGCCTATGACACTTACATCTTGTGTGATGTAGCATATGACACTTACATCTTTGGTGATGTAGCCTATGACACATCTTGTGTGATGTAGCCTATAACACTTACATCTTGTGTGATGTAGCCTATGACACATCTCGTGTGATGTAGCCTATGACACATCTAGTGTAATGTAGCCTATGACACTTACATGTTTTGTGATGTAGCCTATGACACATCTTGTGTGATGTAGCCTATGACACTTACATCTTTGGTGATGTAGCCTATGACAGCCGGCGCTATAAACCCGGGCAGTGTAGCAAAAGTGTTGGAGATGCCGAAGATGATGCCAGCATAGGGTGGGGCAATGTCCGAGGGGTTCGTCAGGAACCCGGCGCCATACTGGAACCCACTCATCGAGACGCCCATGATCAGGAGCGTCACCGCCCAGACCGAGTTGGTGCAGTCTAGGAAACCGACGCCCAGCACGAACAGGCCGGGCAGCAGGACCCCTGGGGGAGAGATGGACACATTAGACCCCTGGGGGAGAGATGGACACATTAGACCCCTGGGGGAGAGATGGACACATTACACCCCTGGGGGAGAGATGGACACATTAGACCCCTGGGGGAGAGATGGACACATTAGACCCCTGGGGGAGAGATGGACACATTAGACCCCTGGGGGAGAGATGGACACATTAGACCCCTGGGGGAGAGATGGACACATTAGACCCCTGGGGGAGAGATGGACACATTAGACCCCTGGGGGAGAGATGGACACATTAGACCCCTGGGGGAGAGATGGACACATTAGACCCCTGGGGGAGAGATGGACACATTAGACCCCTGGGGGAGAGATGGACACATTAGACCCCTGGGGGAGAGATAGACACATTAGACCCCTGGGGGAGAGATGGACACATTAGACCCTGGGAGAGAGATGGACACATTAGACCCTGGGGGAGAGATGGACACATTAGACCCCTGGGGGAGAGATGGACACATTAGACCCTGGGGGAGAGATGGACACATTAGACCCCTGGGGGAGAGATGGACACATTAGACCCCTGGGAGAGAGATGGACACATTAGACCCCTGGGGGAGAGATGGGCACATTAGACCCTGGGGGAGAGATGGGCACATTAGACCCTGGGGGGGGGGGGGGGAGATGGACACATTAGACCCAGGGAGAGAGATGGACACATTAGACCCCTTTGTATGAGGGGGTTTATGTCAGCATTGAACTACGTCAATGTGTAAATGATTTTGTCATTCTCTATGTGTTTATGTATGTTTGTATGCGTTCATATCCCACTGAAGTTCTGTGATTGTATATCTATAATAGTTTATGTTATGTAGTTATTTACGTGTTTGAATATTATATAAGTAAGAAATACATTTTTAACCAACTTGAAATTTGAAACAAACCCAGACAATAATATATTATTTGAGAATTTCAATTTACATTTTTTCTAGACAAGATCCCTTGCGTGAGCTCATATGTCATCCCGAAAAATTCGATTAGGTATTACTTTCATTAAGTTCGTAATGAAAAAAAAACATTGAAATGACGGAGTCAGTCTGACTGTAATTAAATGGCCACCTCAGGTTAATTAGTTAGCTGATAAAAATGTATTACGCAAGACCCATATAAATTATGCAATGATAATCAGAGTTTCTTCCAGGCATCTCTTCAGGGGGGGGGGAATAACCCCCCCCCCCCCCCCCCCCGAAAAATTTCTACCGCCCCCCCCCCCGAACGAAATGAAATGTATATAATTTATATAGAAAATAAATACTTTTAACAGTGTCCGCTACCCCCCCCCCCCCCGAAGAAAGTCTACCGCCCCCCCCCCCCCCCCGAAAATTTCTAGTGCCCCCCCCAAGGAGAAAAAGGCTGGAAGAAACACTGATGATAATTGACACTATCTAAGATCTACTTTATTAGTCTACACGATAATGCCACCATTATAAGTGTACAATGCTAGTCTACATGACACCAGTACACTAAGTACCACGTGATCATGACACATAACACCACTAAACTGGTGTCTTACCGAGAGTGTTTCCAATTTTTCTGCCCAGAGTTCTCGAGACAATTTGTTTCCGCATGATGACGTCAAACACAACACCGCTGATGTTGATGACGATAAAAAATCCGACGTAGGGAAGGGCAGACAAAGCCCCGTTCTGTGAACAGTTGGTTAAATACTGGACAGTTGGTCGATTACTGGATAGGTGGTCAAATACTGGACAGATGGTCAAATACTGGACAGTTGGTCAAATTCTGGACAGTTGGTCGAATTCTGAACAGTTGGTCAAATACTGGACAGTTGGTCAAATACTGGACAGTTGGTCAAATACTGGACAGGAGGTCAAATACTGAACAGTAGGTCAAATAATGGACAGATGGTCAAATACTGGACAGGAGGTCAAATATTGAACAGTTGGTCAAATACTGGACATTGGTCAAATACTTGACAGGTTGTCAAATACTGGACATTGGTCAAATACTTGACAGGTTGTCAAATACTGGCAAGTTTATTAAATATTGGACAGTTGGTCAAATACTGGACAGTTAGTCAAATATTGGACAGGTGGTCAAATACTGGACATTGGTCAAATACTTGACAGGTTGTCAAATACTGGCAAGTTTATTAAATATTGGACAGTTGGTCAAATACTGGCCAGTTGGTCAAATACAGGACAGTTGGTCAAATATTGGTAGGTGGTCAAATATTGGACAGGTGGTCAAATACTGGACATTGGTCAAATACTTGACAGGTTGTCAAATACTGGCCAGTTTATTAAATATTGGACAGTTGGTCAAATACTGGCCAGTTGGTCAAATACAGGACAGTTGGTCAAACACTTGACTTTGTCAAATACTGGACAGTTGGTCAAATACTGGCCAGTTGGTCAAATACTGGACAGTTGGTAAAATACAGAACAGTTGGTCAAATACTGGACAGTTGGTCGAATGCTGGATAGTTGGTAAAATACTTGACAGGTGGTCAAATACTGGACAGTTGGTCAAATATTGGACAGTTGGTCAAATACTGGACAGTTAGTCAAATATTGGTAGGTGGTCAAATACTCGACAGTTGGTCAAATACTGGACTGTTGGTCAAATGCTGGACAGTTGGTCTAATACTGGACAGTTGGTCAAATTCTGGACAGTTGGTCGAATTCTGAACAGTTGGTCAAATACTGGACAGTTGGTCAAATACTGGACAGTTGGTCAAATACAGGACAGTTGGTCAAATACATTTTTATTTGACTGTTACAACATTTCACATCTGTTAGAAACAGGGATTGGATCATGACGTCATCTGACACCGTGTTACACTAGTCACGTCTCCACCAGTCACTAACAGTTTAGGAAAGTTATCTGGGAAATGCTTAGTAGTCGCTAACTGTGAAATAAAATTTCTCTGGGAAATTCAGGTATCACCCTCTGCCTCTGTAGTGCCACGTATGACGTCACTTCCTAAGAGATCATCGAAAAATCTTTAAAACATGTACACGTACCGACTGTATTGGGAAATACAAAACCTCCTTTAAGTAGGTTGGTATGTTAGTGAGGAAGGTGTAGGTTCCCCAGTTGGAGCAGGTGTGGCTGACGATGATAGCCCAAACCTTCATGGACTTGGCGATCTCCAGCCAGGGGGTGGGGCGGTTGTCCTGGTGGGGGGAGTCAACGGGGTCAAATATTAGAACAATTTGAAAATACAACTTAAGTTTAAAAGGAGTGTAAAAAATTAAACTTCAATTCAAGACTTTTGAAGAAAAGCATTTCAAATACATATTATCTATAAAATCTAAAAAAAAAAAAATATTTAAAAAAAAAAGTATAATTTTAAAGGCATTTTAAAAAATTATTTCATGAAATATTAAGTCAAGTGTAAATTAATTCTACGACTTAAAAATGTGTCAATGGGATAAATTTATAAATTTTATAATTTTTTACAAGAATTATTTTTTTTAAATCTACTTAATTAAACGGCTGCAGATAAGGTAAACCTTACCTGCAGACAAACCTACCTTGACGTCTACAGACACAACAAACCTACCTTGACGTCTACAGACACAACAAACCTATCTTGACGTCTACAGACACAACAAACCTACCTTGACGTCTACAGACACAACAAACCTACCTTGACGTCTACAGACACAACAAACCTACCTTGCCGTCTACAGATACAACAAACCAACCTTGACGTCTACAGACACAACAAACCTACCTTCACGTCTATAGACACAACAAACCTACCTTCACGTCTACAGACACAACAAACCTACCTTGACGTCTACAGACACAACAAACCTACCTGACGTCTACAGACACAACAAACCTACCTTGACGTCTACAGACACAACAAACCTACCTTGGCGTCTACAGACACAACAAACCTACCTTGACGTCTACAGACACAACAAACCTACCTTAACGTCTACAGACACAACCTACCTTGACGTCTACAGACACAACCTACCTTGACGTCTACAGACACAACAAACCTACCTTGACGTCTACAGACACAACAAACCTACCTTCGCATCTACAGACACAACAAACCTACCTTGACGTCTACAGACACAACAAACCTACCTTGACGTCAACAGACACAACAAACCTACCTTCACGTCTACAGACACAACAAACCTACCTTGACGTCTACAGACACAACAAACCTACCTTGACGTCTACAGACACAACAAACCTACCTTGACGTCTACAGACACAACAAACCTACCTTGACGTCTACAGACACAACAAACCTACCTTGACGTCTACAGACACAACAAACCTTCCTTGACGTCTGCAGACACAACAAACCTACCTTGACGTCTACAGACACAACCTACCTGTACGTCTACAGACACAACAAACCTACCTTGACGTCTACAGACACAACAAACCTACCTTCACATCTACAGACACAACAAACCTACCTTGACGTCAACAGACACAACCTACCTTGACGTCTACAGACACAACAAACCTACCTTGACGTCAACAGACACAACAAACCTACAGACACAACAAACCTACCTTCACGCCTTAAGAAACAACAAACCTACCTTGACGTCTACAGACACAACAAACCTTGACGTCTACAGAAACAACAAACCTACCTTGACGTCTACAGAAACAAAAAACCTACCTTGACGTCTACAGACACAACAAACCTACCTTGACGTCTACAGACACAACAAACCTACCTTGACGTCTGCAGACACAACAAACCTACCTTGACGTCTACAGACACAACCTACCTGTACGTCTACAGACACAACAAACCTACCTTGACGTCTACATACACAACCTACCTGTACGTCTACAGACACAACAAACCTACCTTGACGTCTACAGACACAACAAACCTACCTTGACGTCTACAGACACAACAAACCTACTTTGACGTCTGCAGACACAACAAACCTACCTTGACGTCTACAGACACAACCTACCTGTACGTCTACAGACACAAAAAACCTACCTTGACGTCTACAGACACAACAAACCTACCTTGACGTCTACAGACACAACAAACCTACCTTGACGTCTACAGACACAATCTACCTGTACGTCTACAGACACAACAAACCTACCTTGACGTCTACAGACACAACAAACCTACCTTAATGTCTTTAGACACAACAAACCTACCTTCACATCTACAGACACAACAAACCTACCTTGACGTCTACAGACACAACAAACCTACCTTGACGTCTACAGACACAACAAACCTACCTTGACGTCAACAGACACAACCTACCTGTACGTCTACAGACACAACAAACCTTCCTTGACGTCTACAGACACAACAAACCTTCCTTGACGTCTACAGACACAACAAACCTACCTTGACGTCTACAGACACAACAAACCTTCCTTGACGTCTACAGACACAACAAACCTACCTTGACGTCTACAGACACAACAAACCTACCTTCACATCTACAGACACAACAAACCTACCTTGACGTCAACAGACACAACCTACCTTGACGTCTACAGACACAACAAACCTACATTCACGCCTTAAGAAACAACAAACCTACCTTGACGTCTACAGACACAACAAACATACCTTGACGTCTACAGACACAACAAACCTACCTTGACGTCTACAGACACAACAAACCTACCTTGACGTCTACAGACACAACAAACCTACCTTGACGTCTACAGACACAACAAACCTACCTTGACTACAGACACAACAAACCTACCTTGACGTCTACAGATACAACAAACCTACCTTTACGTCTACAGACACAACAAACCTACCTTGACGTCCGCCGACACACTGCCATCGAGGCTGGTGCTGATGTAAGTCCGCTCAGCCCGTGACGTCCTGGGGTGGAGTTCCGGCGAGTCGTAGACCATGAATGTCCAGAAGATGAACCAGACAACCCCTGCTGACCCTGAAGAAGTAACCGGAAATTTCCGGCGTCAATGGGGTGAATGCTGCAGCGGTGTAGATGATGGAGAAAAGCGAGGGGGGGGGGTGGGCAACTATATTCTGATGATTGTGTGATATATGATTTAATATGCTTGCTATGGATATTGTTGTAAGGTGGACGGTTGTTACAGTTGCTGTCAATTAGTGCCCATTATCCGGACACTGTTGTTTATAATATCCCATCCTATGAGTCTAAATATGGAGGACTTGTCAACACATAATGCTGCTAATAATAAAACATTGACGACTAGTTAGAAGGTGCTCAAATACACACACACTTATTTACCATTCAGCTCTGAGAAAATATGAACACATACCAGTTTTGACACAACAATGAGATGACGACCTCTTATAATTAACACATCCAACATTAAGAGAATGACCACATACGCTTAACATTATCTACCACTATGATGACCACACACACTTAACATTATCTAACACTGTGATGATCACATACACTTATACTAAACGATAAAATCTAAGAATATGAACACATAAACGTTTTAACACATGTAACATACAGAAAAAGACCACATACACTTAACGCCTCAAACACTGAGATGACCACACATACGCCTACCTAAAGCATAAAACACGGAGGGCCATCCACCACCGTATTCACATAACAACGCGGCTACGGGGAATGTTATCACGTTTCCAACTTGAGAACCTTCAGATGTAAATATGGCACATTAGGAGTTGAATCAATTACACTATTCAGCTCTTAACGTGACCTGAATGTCAACATACATTATATGTCTATTATTTAAACAAATATTGTATGTCTATTACGTCAACAGATAATTAATTCGCCTTTATGTATAGAACATGTTACCAGCATAGCAGATGCTACACAGCATTCCTCGCTCCAGGGGCGGCGCCCACCTGGCCCACAGCACCGCCATCGCTGGCCACACGACGCCCTGTGAAACACGTACAGCTGGTGTTTAAAGGCAGGGTAAGTAACTACACAACCCTTCAGACTAACGTGACAGCCAGACTGACTAAAGTGACAACCAGACTGACTAAAGTGACAACCAGACTGACTAAAGTGACAACCAGACTGACTAAAGTGACAACCACACTGACTAAACAGGCAACCTCTGACGACTAAAATAACAACCACACTGGCTAAAGTGACAACTACACTGACAGAGTTTCTTCCAGGCATTTCTACCGCCCCCCGAACGAAATGGAATTTATATAGAAAACACATATTTTGACCAGTGTCCGCCCCCCCCCCCCCCCGGCAGAGGCGTAGCGACCCCTCCCGGCGCCCGGGGCGATCTTTCAGTTTGGCGCCCCCCTATACATACATATATATATATATATATATATATATATATATATATATATATATATATATATATATATATATATATATATATATATATGCGTGTGTGTTTTGTGTGTGCGACAGTCTGGAAAAAAAATTAACAATAACGCTGATTGTCGTTCCCTAAAACTTCACTGGACGCCAATTAAATTCCCCTTAAGATGCCGAAACGAATAAAAAGTAGAAAATCAAAAGAGCTTAGAACAGTGGGCTCCATCGAACCCGAGAGGTACGGTAATTCAGTCTCAGGGCTTCCGCGGAGGTCAAGACACACACCCGACTCATAGGATTCACGATCGGATTTTGTCATTGTGGACGATACAACTATTAAGGAGGGTTCGGTGATTGCGCATATGAAACTGGTGGGATTCGGTATTCCAAAAATTTAAGAACCACTGCTTTAGAGTGTATTTTGTAGAAGGTACAAGAGTGTTGCTTCCCATCCACCCGCTCCATCAGTCTGCTATTTTACTGATAGGATAGCGATACAAGAATCCGTGATATTTATTTCTCTTTAATCCAGTGATCCAGGCAAGATGTAATGCAATCAAGTAAAGTATCTGATCTATATCGATCAAGTTGAGAGAATCGTAAGAATCGTACAAAGAACTTGTCGCGTTATTACTTAGCAAAACTGGGTAGTGAAATCGTACATTAAGTGTAAATACAATTGATTTCTTTTCTAAGTGTTAAAAGAGTTATCTAGCAACCGATCCAGTACAATCCTGCGATTTTTGTTAGTGAAAAAGCACCCCACCATCTTGGACAAAAATGGTAG